AGGAGGGTGGGGAAGAGGAGGGATTCTTCAAGAAGTGTCTTACGTTGACAGTCGCGAGATTCTTGAAGGCAGAAGGCTGAGCAGGGCCCATGGTCATTGTTGATCCTACGTACTCCCAGTGTTTCTTCTTCTGCTCAGTCTCCTGCTTGTCCATGTTTGCTATCAGCTCTTCGATCTCTGCTATCAACGGCTGAACCTGCACACGTGACCCAGTCAGCACGTCAACCACCGCCAATGACGTCATCAGAGGGCTCGTCTCACCGCGTAAAACTCTGCTTCGACAAGCATCGACTGCAACTTGGACTTGTTGGTCTTGTCGATGGCCAGGTGCGTGCACTGGGACCTCAGGTAGTTGAGGACGTAGCTGAAGAGTTTTGCTGCCAGCCATGTCAGCAACTTCATCTGCTCGTTCCCTACCGGCTCACGGTCTCTATCGATGAACAAGTTCCCCTTAGCGTCCCTCTGCCCCCCAAAGTTCCCCCCGATCAAGACGGAGAAGAAAGAGGGCCCGGCTGCCTCCAAAGTCTCCCGGGAGGTAGAGAAGAACTGTCCTCCGACATTCAGCTGAATAATCTTGTTGGCGCTCGATCCCTCCGCATCTGCTACTGTATACATTGACGAGAAGTGCCCTCTTGTTGTGAGTTGTTGGATAAACTGAGAACATCAGTCAGAAACAATGATGAAGGAAAAGTTGATTGCAAAAATGTATGAAAACATAATTAAGTACGAGATAACATCTCTCAGCGCGTGCGATGGTCTAACACAAGTATGCGATCGAAGATCAGAGGATTACAGAATAAGATCTTTTGTAGGAAACGAGGAAATGAGGAAATAAAATCATCGACGAATGAAAAGGCGATAGCATAACGATGTGGAGGAATGCAGAATGAGGTCGTAAGGTCGGAAAGACAATGGTCGCTGATACCAAAGAGATGACATAGAGAACGCAACTCGGTGAAAGAGAAGAAGAAACACACAAGGAAAGAGCAAGGAAAAGGAGAAGAAGATAAGAAAAGAATTTGGAACGAAGCATGAGCAGGAAGGGAGCTAAGGACCAGGACGGAGCGAGCAAAAACTGAGAGAAGCATAAAGTTGGCAAGGAAAGGATGACGATGACCAGGAAGGGAGGGGAGGAGGGGAGAGCAGGAGAAGAAGACATGGAAGAGGGAGGGAGGGAGGGAAGGAGGGAGGGAGGGAGGGAGAGGGGGAGGAGGAGGGAGGGAGAGAAGAATTCTAGCATACACACGCCTCTCACACGCCTCATCCGTTCGAATTCGAATTATTTCAGTTCGGTACCCCCAGTATGAGTACCCTACCCTAATTTGAAAGGGTATATCTTTTATGACCCCATCATGTATAAAGAAAAAAGGGGGTTTAAATTGTAACAAGATCACCACCGGTGGGACAATTACCCCACAACTTGATCACCCCCATCACCCTACCCCCATCAAAACAACCCACCCTGATTTTTCAACGTCTTCTGGACCCTACGAAACACGAAGATGTTTAATTGGAAGTACCCCTCTATTATCATCCTTTTTTCAGAGAAATATACCGGTACACTATACTACCCACCCTAACAAATTGAATATTCCCCCTTTTCTGAAGAGCAAAGTTTGTTTCACGTACAATGATGGATGTCATTGTTTTTTTTCGGGGGAGATGAAGATGAAGATGATGAAGATGATGATGATGATGATGATGATGATGATGATGATGATGACGACGACGAAGATGAAGATGAAGATGAAGAATGAAGATGAAGATGATGTTGATTGACAATAATGTTGCAGAGCACACGATGACAGGCAGCGATGGGAATATCAATCAACATTGCCATGATCGGCGAATGCGGGAGACTGGAGAAGACCATTTCTTTCGAAGAGCAGATGGATCATGTAATAGGATCCATGAATGAAACCAGGCCCACTGGTATGATTAAGTCATGAAAGGATGACGTAGAAAACACACGCCGAGCATGTTTCTTTCCACATATGAGGTTTAACCACAGCGAAATCAACATAGAAAAGAATCGAATCGTGATAAAAAACCAACCTGAACCTGACATCTGCACAGACCAGCTGCATGATCCGAAAAGACGTCGCCCACCGTTCATTTTTGTCGTTCCTTGCCGCTTGTGGAGATAGACTCCTTCCTTGAGCTGGTTCATTGCTGGGCACAGCTGCATGCGTGTCTTGGAGAGAACAAGTTTAACATTCCAACATTTCCCTTTCGACAGAATCGTTCAAAATGGGTCTGGAAAGCTCCAACGCCATCAGAGCTTCCTGACTGGCCGAAAATCCATTTCTTCATAGTCCTCGTCGTCGACTACCGCTCGTCCACGCGGAATCGTCATCATCTTCTCGGCTGCTGCCGCTGCCTCCTTGTCTGCAGCGACGCCACGGATCTTGGCAAGCTCATTCTCACGGTCTCCCACCTCAAAGGTGTTGCTGTCAAAGGCAGGGCCCTTCCCTATGATTCCTCTGCGATTCATGCCTGCTGCATTCCCTGCCCCACCAGCTCGCCAGTCATTTTCTGGAGGGACTTGTGGGCCCTTCTGTAAGGGAGCTGAGCCTCGCCCCACTTGACCCTGAGCGCTCCTCCAGTTTCCTCCCATCTCTTCTCGTGGCTCTGCGAGCAATCCGAACTGACCCCCTTTGGGTGACTGTGCAGCTGCTCTCCAATTGACATTCTGATCGTTTGCAGGGGCAGGCCGGGATCCCATATCTCCGTTCCTCCAACCACCTGACGGAGCCGAGCCAAAGTTGTTCCCGGGCTTGTTCGTCAAAATTCCAGGGTCCCGTCGCTCCATGTACGCCGGTCCAGGTGACCGCCCTCCGTAACCTCCTGCTCCTGGTGACGGCATCTGAGCCCCATTGCCACCTCGCCAGTTGTCTGTCGGAGCTGAGAGGATTCCACCTTGCCTGCATGCCAGTCAGGAGATATCCATGAGTGCTTGAGAAATCTTGCCTGAATCCTGCCTGAGGAGGACCGGCGGGAGGGGGCGGCCCCCCGAAGCCACGGCTCTTAGGCGGAACCCCTCGGCCATTCATCCCAGGAGGAGCCTGACCTGCCCTTGGCTTCACAAGGCCAATCTCTCGACCACCATTGCGCTCCAGCACGTCAATCACAGATCGAATCGATGGTCCAAACCCATCCTGCCTGCAAATGGCCATGGCCGATCGTCCATACCCGTCTGGTTCGTTCACCCGAGCACCCACTTGCAACAGGTAATCCACCATTTCAGCTGGTGAACAGGAGGGAGATCCAGCCCCAAGGCATGCGGCGTGCAAAGCAAGCTGGTTCTTTTGCTTGGATGTCACGTGCAGGATTGAAGGATCCACCGAGAGAATGTCATCGACTGTCGCTCTGTCACCCTCAGCTGCTGCTGTACAGAGCCGATCTGCACTTTCGTGCCTGTCCCCGTTCGAGTTAGCAAAGCTGAATATGGAACCCAAAGAAATGTAAGATATGACCTGATGACCAACGCTAGCACTTCATCTGACATGTTTCGATTGGCAATCATCTCTTGGATGTCCACTTTTGTCAGATTTGAAAGGTCATTGGCTTCAGCTTTAATCCAATTCCATATCTGTTCAGCATCGCCTGCCATGCGCGATTTTTGTTGAGAAAACAAACTTAGCAAAATTGAGATACACACGTCGTTCTTGCGGAGTCAGATTGGATGCGATTGAAGCGGGGGCCCTTTGGGTGGTGGAAGGGGCAAAAACTGATAAAAATCTATCCACGTTGTAACCTTGGGAAACTGCACCCAAACCTATGCAGGAGAAATCATTCCTTCATAATAGTTATCGTGAGGCTTTAACCTTGATTCTTGGCAACATTTAACAATTGGGCCCGGATCTCTCTCGTTAAGGAAGGTGAAAACTCAAGGACAGCTCTGTTGTCCTCAGCGAGTATCCTCGAAAACCATTCGAAGAGATTTGTGACCTGGAAGGATTTCTAAGGGAAACAAAAGCCTCTAGATTCAAGTACATTTGGTGGCGGGTTCTCTGCAGAAAAAGGTTGGATAGGGAGGGACAACTTCGCTATCTGCGAAATAATCAGTACCAACAATCAGATCATCAAACATCGTCAAATACCTCAACGCATTCGTCGTTCTTAAATTCCACATTCTCAGGGAATTCATAGGCAAGCTGAGAAAGAGAGATGTCAGCAAGAGTGCGTGGAGGGTTCTCTACGATCAAACACCTCCAGGCCCTCCAAATCAACTTGTCTCGTCGTCTTCAAAGAGATATTCACGGTTGCTGTCTCCAAGTTTATATCCAGCGAACTCAATGCTGTGACTTCTGATCCGTCTCCTTCACCACTGGCCATCTTCCTTCGCAAACTCGGGGGTACATATCTCTTACTCGTACTTTCTTCCAGGGAGTTTTCAGCCTCATCCTGCAATTTCGAAATCAGAGAGTCTTTCACGCAAACAGCAAGAAAGGGCCAACCTTCGGTTCCATCGAACAATTAGAGTTTCCTTTCAACAGCTACCCAACAATCCAAAATGTTTTCCAGCAAGCTATACAGAAGCAAAAGTTCAGTGAGTACGTGAAACTCAAGAATTCAAATACAGATATCCTATACCCATCTATCTGCATAGAAAAGAACCTTGCAGGTGTAGCCAAAAGAATTCTCAGTCCTCTCATCTACGATTGGAGAGCATTTTCACGATACAGATATCAGACTTCAGGGGTACGGTCCCGCCATTCATAAAGGATCCCACAAGTAAAAAGAAGTTGCGAAAAATCCGACAAAAAAAGGACACATCCAAGAGGGAAACAGCAACAAGCTAGCGTAACCCGATCAAGGTCAGGATGAGGCCGTTTGAGAGAGCGAAGGGGCAGAGAGGAGCAACAGGAGAGCGAATGGCGGGAAGTGAACATGAAGGCTGCGGCGCCGGGGCTGACCGCCGCCATTGCAAGAGGATGTTGCATGCGGCGCTAATGCCATCATTAGAAGGGGGTAGGGTACCTTACCCCACCAACAAAATTCTTGCAACCAAGGGGTCATCTACTACCATACCCAACAATTTCCAAGTAAAAAAGTGTTAAATATGGGGTGCGTGTAGTCAATAAATGTGAATTAGTAGGGTAGGTAATCAAACGTACGGGTGTTTTAGCCTTGGGGGTGGGATTTACAGAGATGCGTCTGGGGGGGGGAAGGTAAATGAAAGTTGGAAGAAGATATTTAAAAACTCTCCAGTTTATTTCAATTTCTAGATATAAATTAGAAATAATGAATTTCTTGAACTTTAACCGAAATCTGACCCCTGGCGCCAAAAAGTATTCCTGGTACCCTACCGGTTACTTTGGAGGGAAATTTCTTGTCAATCAAATAGCTAGTTCTCCTGTTGAGATTTTCCGGTAGGGTTATCCATTTTGTGAACTCATACAGACGATGGCGAAGCAAGGGGCGGGCTCGGTGGCAAGGTAAAACTTTGAAAACTTTCAAACCCGAAAACTCCATTCCAAAGTTCTCAAACTCCGGAAGTTTCGTATCGGAAATAGATCATGCAGAGCGCCGTGCACTTCTACGGCACTGAAGCACACAAGACAAGTAGACTCTGATCCTCCTCCTTCTCCTCCTTCTCCTCCTTCTCCTCCTTCCCCTCGTTGCCGCCCTCTCCTCGCCCTCTCAGATCTCTTTCATCCCCTTGCTCGGTTTCTGTTCCTGCCCCTGCCCTTAGCTCCTCCTTCCACTCGTCACTGCCCCCTCTCTTCCAGACTTTCTCCTGTGAACCTTCCCAATGTCGCCTGTGCCAACACCATCTCATCCTATTATGTCGCTCTCATCACATGTGAGCAAAGAAACCCACGGGAATGGGGAGGACGCAGCTTCGTCGCCTAGTGCGTCCTTGAACCAGGGCATGGACTCGACATCAACTTCTCTGAGGAGGCTAGTCGTCATCTCAACTTCGGCACTACTTGCTGTCTCTCTCATTGTTGTCTTCGTTGCAGACAGCATGTACGAGCACGCAGAAGGCGGTCCAGTCTCGCAGCTCCAGAAGTCTTCAACAGAGATCCTTTCTCTGGAATCGAAGTTGAAGTTGCAGACCGACAAGTTGAACCAGGTCGTCAAGAATTATGACTCGATCAAGGCGCAGGAGAAGAAGCTTCAAGTTGAGGAGGCAAAGCTGCGCACAGAAGCAAGCAGCATCCGCTCTTTGGTCCATGAGGCCAGGAACTCTGCCATCAAGACCAAGTATGAGATTCACAACCTGAAAGCTGCCGATTTCTCCAAGGCCATGTTCGAGAGCCACAGGAAGGAGAAGGCTCGAAAGAACATCGCAAAGAAGGCAAGGATGCACGCGCCTGTGAACGAAGCTCCTCACCCTCCTCCTCCCGCTGCTCGCCATCCCACAGCAGCTCAAGCTGTGCACGGAAAGGCCCCTGTCACCCCTCTCGTCAAGGCACAGGTCGTGGCTCCCCCGATGCCAGTCTATGCCGCCAAGCCGCTGATCGAGCAGGCGCCTAAGGTTGTGAGCCGACCGGCGTTACCTCCTCGCGCTGTCAGCCCTGTCTACGTGCGATCAGTCCCAGAACATGCGATCAGAGCTCAGGTGGCGCAGCAGCAGCTGCCGATTGCCCGACAGGTACGAGCAGCTGCCGTGATGTTTCCTCAGTACGAGATGAACGGAGAGAACTCAATCTGGAAACCGGTAAGGAAGAACGCATTGCAGCAGTGATGGCGACTGAAGCATTCACAGCTCCGCATGCCTGTAGTGATCACAAACCAGCCCAGTGACGCCTATCGTCCTCCTCAGGTGTTACAATCACCGGGATGACCTCACTCTCTGACCTTCGTGACGTCCAGTCCCTCGATCAAGCCACCGACTCAGCAGAGCAGAACGCAGTCCGAGCGCAGCAGCTCGCCTTCCTCCGGTCCCCCCAGTATGAGCGCCGGATGAAGGAGACGCAGCGGAGGCAGATGGTGAGATCAGAGTTATGGGAGTCTTTGTTCCCCTTCTAACTTCTCTTGGCAGGAGGCTACCAACTCTCCTTTCCCCCTCCTTCCAAGGCTCCGACCTCTCGGTAAACCCTCGCAGCTGACGTCACCTGGCTGAATCTCTCTTGCAGGCCCCGAAGCTGCGGACCCCTAGACCTTGAAGGATATTCTTTCCATGTTCGAATAAAGTCTTCAAAAATCAGTGCCCGATGATCCTTTCAGACAAGAAGAAACGACACTGATGATATGCTGCTTGAGGTTCTGCCTCTAACTAGTTAACCGAGCAGTCACGTATGGTGACATCTTTCAGTATGCAGTGGAAGAAAACGGGCAGTTCTCGGAAATTGAATTCACTGCTAAGTTTAATGAAGTTGCGGCCAGCAGCACCAGTTCTCGGTATTCTACAAAATTCCAGTTTACCGCGTGCCAGGAGCTCCGGGTCTGAGGCCTGACGTCAGAACGAGCCAACACACAGTAAACGGAAAACTTACGCTCCAGGGGCACCAGGAGATCCGCTTGCTCCTGAGCAGACAGACAAGTAAGTTCCGGCTCGTCACTCTCCCTTCCTCCCTCCCGCACCTGAGGGTCCAGCGGCTCCCGCACCACCAGGGGCACCATGAGCACCAGGGGCTCCCGTCTGCACCTCTAGTCAGACAAGAGACAAGCACGTGGGAATGTTCTTACGGCTCCGTTGCCACCTGCAGGGCCCGCCGGACCCGGGGCTCCGTTGGATCCAGAAACTCCTGCAGTACCAGCAGGTCCGGCTTGACCCGCAGGTCCAGCAGCACCCTGTGAAGAGCAAGCCGATCATTGGTGAGCCAGGAGAGCATCACATCCTGTACCTGAGCTCCTTGCGGGCCCTGGACGCCACTCTGTCCAGGAGGACCAGCGGGGCCAGTCTGTCCGTGCAGGCCGTTGGCTCCAGCCGGGCCGGGAGGGCCCGAAGGACCATCGGGTCCCATGGGTCCGGGAATTCCTGATGGACCCTAAACTCACGTGTCAGAAACATTTCGTGGAGGAATTGGGAAGACAACATCACCTGGACTCCAGGTGGGCCCGGAGGACCAGTGGGTCCCATAGGGCCGTCGGTTCCCTTCTGTCCTGGAACTCCTGCCGGGCCCATCGGGCCCATCGGGCCCATCGGACCCATAGGGCCAGCAGGTCCCTGGATGGAATGTCCCGGCTCTCCACGAGGTCCTTCTCTGCCTGGATCTCCCTTCAAGCCTTGAGGCCCAGGCTGACCCGGCAAGCCCGCAGGTCCCGGAGGACCGGCGGGGCCAGTGTGACCGGAGGGGCCTCTTGGACCGACAGGACCCGGGGGGCCCGGACGTCCCTCAATTCCAGGAGGTCCAGCAGGGCCCGCGGGACCAGCAGGGCCAGTCTTGCCCATTGGGCCCATGGGTCCCATGGGTCCTATGAGGTGTCAAAAGGAGAAGGTGGCTGGCACGAGGTTCTTCACTCACCGACAGGGCCCGGCAGACCAGTCTTGCCAGGAGCACCTGGATAACCACGAGGTCCACGTGGACCAGGGATGGGAGGCTGCTGGCTCAGACGCATGTAGTTCCTCTCGAGCCTGAATGCTCAAATCAGCACTGACATACCGTAGAGAACAAGCATACTACCTCTCGTACTTCCTGCGGAGAGCATGATTTTTGGTCTCAAGATCATCGAGTTCCTCCTTGTCAGAAGACTTGACGTTCTGCAGCTTCTTCTCTGCAGCGCTCAACTCGGAATATCTGACAAAACCGGAATCAAAAAACTAAAGAACGAATTCCCTCAGCTACTCACGCAGAGTTTACACGTCCTTCAAGGTAGACAACTTCTTCTTGAACAGTCGGAACAATTTGCTGAGTAACTGTGGTGGTGGTAGCTCCACAGCCGTAAGTCCCAATGACACAATTGACAGGACCAAAGAGAGCCATGGGAGACTGGCGACCCTGACGAAATCATAAGTCAGCATATACAACTGAACCATTCCGCTCTCACGTAGGGTGTGGAAACGGTTGCAATCAGTACAGCTGCTGAAACAGTGGCAAGGAAAGCAGCTGTGGGCCGTAGCCACCGCTGCATGTAACCTGAAAGAAGACAAGTCAGGAAATGCAACTACCAGTCGATTCGGCAGCACTTCGCTACATGCTGCACAAAGATGTCTAGGCCTCTCTTCTCCTGATTCAAATCAAATACATCGACTACAACTGTTTTCAATGACTGCATCGACATGCTTTAAACCCCATACTTCGAACAAAAAGCCATGAAACCCCTTCACTCTCCACTCGATCCGAACAGATAGTACACTTCTTGTCAGGTTGCAAGCAACTGGATGTCCTCCACACAACAGCAAAGCATTGCAGCAACTCCAACTATCACTCATGATACATTCAATTTTCATCGCTCATGCAAATGTCCATTGTCCTTCCTGCTATCTCTTATTCACAGTCTCACAGCCTCTCATTGAAACTTTGCATGCCTGAAAGCTTTCTGGTAGTTCCTTCATTGCTAGTCTAGCTGTTCATTCGCATCCTTCTAAATTCCTGTATCGTTTATATATTGATACCATACGTTTCCTCTTTTCATATTTCAATACCCTTGCCTACAATTTTCGCTTGCAACCGAACACAACATAGCTTCAGGTGAGAAAGAACCTTCAACTCATCCCTTCAACGGTCCCTCCTTCCTCTCCTTTCAGCTCTCTTCTTCTGTCTCATTGTTTCTTCCTCCTCTTGCGACGTCACTCTCCCCGTGCTCTCTACCACCACCTCCTCCTCCTCCGGCCCCGCTTACCTCGCCCTCTGCTCATGACGCTTAGCTCCACTGCGAAGAGCCGCGCTAAAAATCACTCAAATGTGACGGTTATTTCACGGTTATTCCATTTCGGCGGACTCCCGGGCCCGAGCCCGGCCGGGACCGCCGGGTGCCGGGCAGCCTGAGGCAGTCACAGTCACTGCCACGGTCCGGCGGCCCGGAGCCTCCGAAGCGGCTCAGCCCTCCGAGCGTGATGATCCGGGGTGACGGTGTCGGACCGGGAGAGCCGGGCCCGCTGTCCATCAGTGCTTAACTTTGAGTAAAGAAGAAGTGCGGCAGTGACTTGTGACTTGCACGGTGATCAGAGCAAACTTGCTGGACAGGCGAGTCCGGCCCGGGGCCAAGCCTGGACGTGTTAAGGGTATTGTTGATAGATGTGATATGTATAGTTATACATGGTAATGGGATTTAACTGACAGTTTCTAGATGGGTAGGGTACAGGGTAGGGTAGGCCTGGAGGGGGGGTGGTAGAGACTGCCGATACGGGTGTGAAGTTTTATCGGGGGACGATCCTGTCTGTTGTATCCTTACGTAAGCCCATGTGATCTTGACTTGTGTTGCTTCTTCTGATCTCAACATCTCTCTTTGCTCTCTACCCTATGCTCGTGCTCACCTACCTGCGTACGTTCTCCTCTTTTCTCAATCCTGTTCATTATCTCCAACCATTCCCTCTACTCTCAGTCAAGATTCATCACTCTGTGTCTTCCTCCTCCCCCCGTACTTTTTGAAGAGGAAATTAAAAAAGTCAAGGCAAGGAAGGGGACGTAAACAAGATGAGCGCAGGAGAAGCAGCAGATCAATTTCCTAGAAGCTCTTGAACAAGAGTAAGGCTAGTGTAGAGGTAGTGTAGAGGTCTCTCTGCTGATCCAGGATGCAGGTCTGAGGCTCGGAGGGGAGACGATTGGCGTGAGCGAAGGCTGTGAGGAGAGGAGATTCCTGTCCTTGCGCTGGAGGCGGCACAGGAAGGATGAGGTGCTTCCGGAGCTCGTCTTCATCTCGAGTGACACCGGAGAACAAGCAAGCAGAGGTGGACCTAGAGAAAGCAAGGGAGAAGATCTCAGAACTGGTCCAGAGGCTGGCTAGCTTGTCGAGGGAGAATCAAGAGCTCAAGGCGAAGACGGATGATACTGGCACTGGCTCCTACTCCTCACTTGAGCAAAGGTCGGAGCAGGCGACTGGGAAGATCTCAGAGCTGGAAGGAAAGCTCAAGATCTTGGTGGAAGACAATAACAAACTTCAAGCGGCACTCCAGCTGGCAACTGTGAAGGACCCGCCTGCCAGCCTTCACGAGACCCAGCAGAGCATGTCGATCATGTCAAGCCCGAGGCCTCAGCCACAGCCTACAACAACAGATCGTGTCACATCTTGGACACTCCCTCAAGACATTCGATCTACCCTCCGTGAGTACTACCAAGCCTCTCAAGAGCCCCAGGGATCCAAGCTCCTCCGCAAAGACCTCCTCGTATATCTCGGCGTGGACTTATCATCCGTCAAGCTTCAGTCAAGCCCTGACAAGCTCTCGTACGAGAACTTCGAGGTCAGAGTCGCTCGAGAGTGGGAGCTTGTTCGCAAGGCCAGCAGCCTCGCCGACATGGACATCCTGCGAGTGCTGGCGGAGTGCATCCCCGGCGGGAGCGCGGAGAGTCCTCTTGGGGGGCTACAGGGGATGACGGAGGCAGCAATATCGGCTCTATGCGAGACCACGATAGCAGGGAGGCTGGCAGCAGCGCTGAGGAGGCCGGAGAAGGCTCCAGGACGAGAGGTCGGAGACTATCCAACCTCGCACAACAGCAAGTACGCAGAGACGCGAGAAGCCATGTACGGGAAGATCGAGGAGTACTACGGGGGGCTGATGGACCGGATCGGGCTGCCTCAGACAGACCTGATGAAGGCGATCGAGGAGGAGCACTGCAAGGGCGAGGACGCGGAGGAGGCGTTTGTGACGAGCAACTACGGGATCACGACGACATCGAAGGAGGAGTGGCTCAACGTTAGAGACTCGGAGAGGAGGCAGAGGCTGTCGGACGGGACGCGGATCATCCGAGGGATCGAGGAGCTGATGGAGCACGAGACGGCGATCAAGGCAGGGCTACAGGAGGCGGAGCTGATCGCGCTGCAGCTCTACACAGGTAAGGGAGATAGAGAGCGAGAAGGAAGCTTGTAGGAGAGAGGGAATGAGAGGATATGCGGTATATGACGAGAGGCTTTGGTCTGACAGGGCCGATGTACCAAAAGTACAACTCTGTACTTCGAGCTCCCAAAGAGCTCCTCCAAGACCCCAAGAAGATCCCCAACAAGTACACGACCACCATCCACTGCATTGTCAGCGGCGTCGTCAAGCTGTCTCGTCACACGCCTCTGCCGGAAGACCGGCGGGTGTGGAGGGGGCTGAGCGGGCTGAGGCTGCCGGAGAGCTTTCTGAGCGAGAACGAGCTCGGCGTGTCTGGAGGAGTTGAGTACGGGCTGCTGAGTACCACGACAGACGTCGGGACGGCGATCCAGTACTCCGGGGCGGGGGCAGAGCCGATCGTGTTCGAGATGAGCTGCGGGGCGATCGACCGGGGGGCGAGCTTGGCGTTTGTGTCTCAGTACCCGGGGGAGGGGGAGATCTTGTATCCGCCGCTGTCGTACTTGGAGGTGGTGAAGACGCCGCGGTACAGGGAGGTAGAGGGGAGGCGGGTGAAGGTGCTGGAGCTGAAGATCAACGCGAACACGATGAGCTCGACGATCGAGGACTTTGTAGGGAAGAGGAAGCAGCTGTACGTAGGGCTGATGGAGAACATCGCGAGGGAGGTCGAGCGAGACTTGAAGGGGTGGGAAGGGAGGATCCAGGAGCGGCTCAGGACAGCAACAGGCGATGTTTTCAACGGGTACTGTCAGTCTCTTGTGGAATCGATCATGGAGGAGTGCTGGGGTCTGGTGGAGGCGAGCAAGGGGAGGGAGGCGGAGTGGTACAACAAGGAGTCAAGGTACAAGGAGGCGATCGAGCTTTCGAACCGAGTGAAGGACATGGCGATGAACAAGCTCAGACACTGGATCGAAGACACTCAGGGAGACAGGAAGTGTGAAGATATTGCGTACGAGCCGATGCAGTCAGTGTACTGGAAGACGATGGCGGGTCTGATGTACTCGATCAGCTCGCGGACTTCAGCAGGTGATAACGGCAGAGCCGAGCTGAGCAAGAGACTATGCCGAATGTACGGCTTGTCGATCTCAAGGTCGGACATGGAGGGGGAGCCGCCGACAGTTAGGGCGATGGTACGAGGACAGGGGGAGCTGATCGGGCTGCTCAAGGCGGCCGGAGGCGACATGAACGAGCGGATGGAGGACGGGAGGACAGGGCTGCATGTAGCAGGGATGCTGGGGAGGGCGGGGAGCGTGAGGGAGCTGATGGAGGCAGGAGCAGAGGTAGGAGCGAAGGACAAGGAAGGGAAGACTCTGGTGCACTGGGCGACGGCGTATGGGCATGTGGAGGTACTGAAGACGGTGGAGCAACAATGCGGGAAAGAGGCTCTGAGCACCTTGATGTTGGAGAAGACCGATGATGGCACGACATGCGCGCATAATGCGAGTATGGGAGGGCACTTCAAGGTGCTACGGTATGTTGCAGAGACATGTGGGGAGGAGCTGCTGAGGGAGAAGGACAAGGACGGCTGGACATGCGCGCACTGGGCGAGTGAGGGAGGGCACTTGGATGTGCTGCAGTATCTTGAGGAGAGGTGCGGGAAGGAGTTGCTGAGGGAGAAGAACAAGGACGGTAAGACTTGCGCGCAAACGGCAAGTGCTGGAGGGCACTTGGAGGTAGTGCGGTATGTTGCAGAGACATGCGGGGAGGAGCTGCTGAGGGAAAAAGACGATTTCGACAGGACATGCGCGCACTGGGCGAGTGCGGGAGGGCACTTGGAGGTAGTGCGGTATCTTGTAGATACATGCGGGGAGGAGCTGCTGAGGGAGAAGGACAAGGACGGCTGGACATGCGCGCACTGGGCGAGTGAGGGAGGGCACTTGGAGGTAGTGCGGTATCTTGAGGAGAGGTGCGGGGAGGAGCTGCTGAGGGAGAAGACACAGATCAGCAATACATGCGCGCACTATGCGAGTATGGGAGGGCACTTGGAGGTGCTACAGTATGTTGCAGAGAAGTGCGGGGAGGAGCTGCTGAGGGAGAGGAACGAGGACGGTGAGACTTGCTTGACTTTGGCTCGTACGTCAGAGGTTGAGGATTACCTTAGAGGTTTAGGTATCGACTAAGACTGAGCCAACAAGCTGCAGCCATAGAAATCGCTCTCATACCTATATTAAAAGCCTTTGTAAGCGACCTGACTTCCCTCACTGCTGGTAGGACGAGGAGCAGAAGCTTGTGAGCAGCGAGAGCTCGCACGAGGCGAGAGTGCTCGAGCAGCAAGGAGCAGTAGCGTTAGTCCTTCCTCTAGGCTTACGAGGATGAGCCTCTTGAGGCAGAAGGGGCTGCTGTCTGCTGATGGAGTCTAGCTCGCTTGTCTGGCATCGCCCGTACAGTAGAGGTGGCAGTGCACTTCACCTCTGAGCGATGCAGCGGAGGTGCCGTGAGCACTCGCTGTCAGCGTTAGCTCGCTATTGCTCGCTTCTCCTCTACAGCGTCAGGCCAGCTGAGGATGCAGCTAGCATGACGCTTGCAACAACCGTGATGAGCCCAGAGAGAGAGGGGATGAAGACGTCGCTCCTACAGGGGAGGAGGCAGATCTACGACGGTAGGAGGGAAGCGGAGGGGAGGGGAGGAGAAAGTGAGAGAAGCTTGAGCGAGGTTGGCTCTTGCCATCCCTAGCTGGAGGTCAGAGGTGAGCGGCGGAGGGTGTAGGTCATCATGGCTTGTGCGAAACGGAAACTTATAGCAGATTCAGTCGTGTGACGCACCAGCAACGCTGATGGAGGAGGGAGAGAAGGATGAGAAGCCTTAGGGAGGGTGGAGGAGGGAGAGGAGGATGGGGAGGTGAAGAACAAGTATGCTCTTGCCCAGTCAAGACGTGGGGGGAACCTGTGGAACCCATGAAGCCTGCACGGACCTTGACAGGTGATGACGAATGTTTGAAAACGAGCAAGGGAGGAAGACGAGGGTTGTATGAGCGGTACGATAGAGCAGGAGCACTGCGGGTACAGTTGTACAGCAGCAGAAGCAAGACAGAAATCGTTGCACGAGAAAGAAAGCAAGAGAGAAGTTTTTTGATCTTGTAACAAGTGCTTGTATAACAAGGAGAGAGTACAACGAAGATTGCACTCTGGTGGTCATACTGTAGTACTTGGAGCACCGTGGCACCGTGCGCCTCGGGCCGGGCCCAGGCCCGGCGGTCTGTTGGGTTCGACAGGGCCGGCCGCGCTAGTCGGCGGCGCAGCGGCGGGCCGCCGCAGTTTCAGCCGAGCCGCTGAGCGGCCGGCGGCGAAGAAGCCACCTCAATGCTGCTCTCCCAACTTCAAGCGTCCAGACATGAGAGGACCTTAGCGGCGCCGCAAGACGGCTAGGGAGGCCTACTCTTCGTCAAACGTAGTACATTGCCGCCTCCGACGGCGCAACACGTAAGGGTCGTCTTGGGTTTACATTTAACAGGAGAGGACTGGCACGGCTGGCATGCGATTGTTAGAAAGCATCCTCCATACCGTCACCCACTCACATCAGATGCGCAGAAACTCGACGAGGAATTCAGGGTAGGTCTGCCGTCGGTCGTAGACTATGAACTCGCGGTACATGAGCAGGCGGGCTCCGGGGTGCGTCGCGGTCGTGACTCCGATGACCGAGTCAAACACCCGATGGTCTGCCATCATCGGCGGTCGCCTCGCGTTGTTCATCGGCTGCACAGCCTCATACGGCGTGCCCAGCAGGGCTCGAACTAGGAACATGTGGCAGAGACCGTTGCGGTCGGGCCTGCAGTACTCGTCGCTCTTGCTCGAGTTCTCCGCCAAGTATATCCCAGCTCCGAACAAGCCGCTGAGACTGCAGACGCGCTCGTCTAGCCCCGCAGTCAAGATGGCATCGACGATATCTGGCTTGGTGCCATGGAAGAGGAACACCTCGTTGCTCGCTCTGTCGCACGCGAGCTCCTTCTTCATCCAGTCTCTCCACGTGGCCACTTTGCTCTTGGGATGGCGTTTGCCCAGCTGCATCGGTAGAGAGGCTGTTGCTTGTCGCTGGAGGGCATAGGCGGACCAGAAGTTCAAGTTTTCAACCCGGAAGACTCGCTCAACCCTGTATCCCGTGTGAGTCAGCCCTCTGTTGTTATTCCCTCTCCCGATGTACTGGGGTATGCATGTCGACGACATCAGCTCTTGTATCCTGTCCTTCCATGCTGCCGTAACGTCCACCTTGATCAAGGCGTGCAGCGGGTTCTGCTTGCTCTCCTGCCAGTACAAGGGCGGGTTGAGCACAGCTCGATCCTGTGCGAGCAGCTGCTTCTCTTTCTCAAGGTCTTTCTGCTTCCGTTCAAGCTCGGCTTGTTGCTTGCTCGCAGCCGTTATCTTGCTCTGCAGGTCATGCTGCTGCTTCTTGAGACGACCGTCTTGCTTGAGCAGCTCTTGTTTCTGCTCCTGTAGCTGCTGCTTCTTAGCTACGGCTTGGAACTCAAGCTGCTGGCCTTTAGAGGCTAGCTCCTTCTGCTGTTCTAAGATCTTCCTTTGCTCAAGCTGCACGTGTTCTCTCTGCTGCCTGATGTTCTTCTCTTGATCGGCTAGCAGCTGTTGCTGATGGACGAGCAAGGCCATCTCCCGATCCTGCGCCTCCTGCATCTTCATCCGCTCCTTGGCGAGGTGCTCGCGCTCTACGATCATGGAGTGACAGAAGTAAGCGTGGGCGAGGGCTTCGACTGACGAGAGTCTTGCACGAGGATCAGCTTCGAGAAGCTTCTCGATAAGGCCTCTCGCGTCGCCAGCTAGACCGGCGAGCTGCGTTGCATCATCAAGCGAGCCTCCTCTAACTGATCCAGTCAGCAGCTCGAGCATCACGATGCCGTATGAGAACATGTCTGACTTGTGCGAGGCTCTTCGCTTCGTGCTCGAAGGGTTCACGAGCTCCGGGGCCATGTACCTCAACGTCCCGACCACATGAGTCCCTGACGTCACAGTAGCAACCAGGTCTTGAGCGCGATCCTTCTGCTCCTTGGATACGTCAAAGTCTGCGATCTTGGGCTCAGCGTCGGGTAGCTGGGAGGACATAAGGATGTTGGAGGGCTTGATGTCGCAGTGGATGATTCGGTTCTGACGGAGGTGCTCTATCCCCAGCAGCACCTGCAGCAGTACCCTGTGCTTGTGCTGCTCGCTCGGTTGCACGCTCAGAAACCATTCCCACAGGGTCCCTCCCTCAAGAAAAGGCATTTTGAGGTAGCCCTTGATCAAGCCGTGCGCCTCCTGCTGCTCTTCCACGAAAGCTCCGTACATGTTGATGAGGAAGGGATGTTCAAGCCGACGTAGGATGCTGACCTCCTGCAAGAAACGTCTCCTGTGTTTGTCATCTTCAGACGACAGCCAGTACTCCTTGATCACAAACTCGTCTCCTCCCTGCCTGACGCGAATCACGTTGTGTCGAGCACCCGCATGTCCAGCTCGTGACAAGTACTTGACGACGTCATACATATCAAGCTTGTCGTACAGGCTGACGTCTAGTTCTTGCACCAAGTTCCTCTTGTATTCTGGGTAGTGATCGACTAGTGACCAGAGCCTGTTGTCAAGCATCTCGAGCTCCTTGGTAGAGGCCACAAGCTTCTTCTTGATCTCATCGATCTCCTCTTCGAGCTTCTCGCATGAAAGTTTCTTCCGTGTGTTCCATTCTACCTTGTGCTTGCAGGTCATGAGCTCATCTTCTAGTGCCTCCATCGCATTTTTCAGCTCATCTCGCTTGGCGAACAAGAGTCCGGGTTCCTCTAGGCCCTTCAGCTGCTCCGTGCTTGCCTGCACGACCTTCATGTTCGACTGCTGCCCCATGGTGAACAACGTATCCCTTATCCAGATAACGGCAGTTTGTAAGCCCTCACGCAGGTGTGTGAAAGGAAAAGAGTCAAGGAGGGACTGGTCGCTCAGAATCATCTCTTCCGACACAAAAGCTTCTTCGAGGGCCACGTGCACCTTCGGCAGAGCCTCTTGTAGCCCCTTGGCTTCTTCTCTGCTCCTCTCAGTTCCGCTCCCATCCAGCAGAGTCGTCAGCAGACGCAGCCCATCAGCGTAAGTACGAGCAATCTCAAGTCTCTCCTCCCTCGCGCGCATCAGCATTCGGTTGACACCTTCAACCCACTGCAACATCCTCGTCTCCACGTCCTCAAGCTGCTCTCGAAGCGACGCAGAGCTCGTAGTAGCAGCTGACTGTCCTCGCTCCTCGGAGCTTGAGGGCGTCGGATCGCCCTGACAGCACCTCAGGTAAGTCTCCAGCTTGTCTGTCAGCTGCTCGAGAGTCGTCTGATGACCCTCAAGGCTCTTCTGACTGCCATGAAGCAGAGCAAAGAGACGATCCCACGCCGCCACCAGTGACTGTCGGACCTCGTCCCGTCTAGCGATGCCTCCTCTCAAGTCTTCGCCTGCTCCAACTCCAGCAGCTCCTTCGCTTGCCAGCTTTGCCACCTCTTCTTGCGCAGCTGAAAGATCATCTTGTAACGAACGCACCTCAGCCCAAGATTGCTGGACGCGACCGTAAGTGAGCTGACCAGCCCCATCAAGCACAGACAGACACGTCAGCAGAAGCTCGTGCCCCTCCTGTGCTGCCGCCAGCTCGGAGCTGAACATTCCCTCAGCCCAAGCAGACAGATCGAGCTTTGATGATGCAGCAGATGTCTTGTTGGCATCGTAACGCAACGCAAGCTTGACAACTGAGCGAAGAGAAGTAGACCGATCCAACGCGTCTTGACGCTCTTGTGCTGCTCTGGTCTCACGTTCCTGCTCCTCCTTGGCCCTTCGCTCCTGCTCCTTCTTGGCCCTTCGCTCCTGCTCGTCCTTGGCCCTTCGCTCCTGCTCCTCTTTCGCCTTTTGCTCTGATTCTCGTCTTAATTCATGCTGCAGCTGCTCTTGTGCCCTCAGTTTGCAGTGAGCGCAGCCGAGCTGAACGAAGAAACCCGTCAATGATGGTCAGCCTGTCATGAAAATCAAGTCCAACAAATAAACGTGCACCTGTTCATATTGGGTCCATCCATTAGCCTTGTTGCACTTGATTACAAAAAGTCAAAAGATTGACAAGTTCCACGACTGAAATGAAACAAACTCACATTCTTGAGAATCGAGAGGATAAATATCCAATAACACAAGTCAAATTCAGAAGATGAATGGAAAACTTGAATCTTACACAGCACTGTCTCCAATTAAACAGAGGCATATAAAAGTCAGAAGAAAACCAAAATCAAAACTGTATTTTTGAGACAACCCTTTTCTGCAATTCACCTCTCCTCCTCTCCTTCCCCCTCGCCGCCTCGTCTCTCCGATACTCACCGACTACGTACAGCCCCGTGCCCCCAGCCCGTCCGCCCGTCCAGCCGCCCATCCGTACATACACAAAGACTACATGTCAGCTCGTTGAGTCTGCCTCCCCGTCCCCGTCCCCGTCCCCGTCCTGATGCCGGTCCCTGCTCCCTGCCTTTCCTTCCCTCCTCCTCCTGTCCTCCCTCCCTGTCTCAGTCGCTGTTGCTTCCGTCCCTCTTGCTCGAGCATCTCCTCTCCTCCTCTCCTTCCCCCCTGCCGCCTCGCCCCTCCGATACTTACCCACTACGTACAGCCCCGTGCCCCCAGCCCGTCCGCCCGTCCAGCCGCCCATCCGTACATACACAAAGACTACATGTCAGCTCGCTGAGTCTGCCTCCCCGTCCCCGTCCCCGTCCCCGTCCTGTCCCCGTCCCCGTCCCCGTCCCCGTCCCTGTCCCCGTCCTGATGCCGGTCCCTGCTCCCTGCCTTTCCTTCCCTCCTCCTCCTGTCCTCCCTCCCTGTCTCAGTCGCTGTTGCTTCCGTCCCTCTTGCTCGAGCATCTCCTCTCCTCCTCTCCTTCCCCCTCGCCGCCTCGTATCTCCGATACTCACCCCCTATACAGTCCCGTGCCCCAAGCCCGTCCGCCCGTCCAGCCGCCCATCCGTACATACACAAAGACTACATGTCAGCTCGTTGAGTCTGCCTCCCCGTCCCCGTCCCCGTCTTGATTCAGATCTCTTTTTTCTTCCTTTCTTGTTTTTCTCTGTTGCTCGTCATGTTTTCCCACCTTCTGTTGGTTTGGAGTTTTCAAAGTTTTTGCCAAGGATATACATGTTGGAAATGTCAAGGGGAATTCATCGAATAGATGCTTCATTTACGCATTTTGTCGTGTCGGCGGTGTCCGCTTCAATGACGATCTGAGGAGCTCACAGTCAGAAGAACGAACAGATGTCGAGCATGGAGCTTTAGCTCCTTCACTTTCCTGGCAAGCATGGCAGCGGGACATCCTCGCCATGTGAACATGAAGTTGCGATTGTTTTTATACCACAAGAGTCTGCCCCAGAGAAATAGATAGACACAAGAAAAGGCACAAAATGTCAGATAAGAATCCTTTCAAGAAGTAGTACCAGCTGCCTCCAAGCTGGTCTACCATCATTCTGCAATGCCTGAAAATTCTCTTGAACCCTCTTACAGGAGGAACTAGTTATTACTGAACTAGTTACTGAAGCTCTAACTTCTTCCCATCCAGGCAAGACAACAACTGAGTTGCAAGTTGCCGCACTGCGTTCATGTCACCGTCTTGCTGCGATGTTCGTGGGTATTGCCATGTTCGTCATTTTCGTCCACCGGCGTAGATCGTCATCAATCGGAATAAGGGGTCCAACGGGTTTCGAAGGCAAAACCGGGACTTGGTGGCAGATACGATGGATACGATGCAAAGGGCTGCTTCAGAACAGACTAAATGTACGAGTCAAGAACAGTAGTAATGGGGAATTGTATTTCAACAAACTGACATTTGATGCTGGTTTTGATTATACAAGCGATGCGCTGCTCCTTGCGCGAGAATGGGGATGACAGCAAGCTTTCATCATCATGCTTGCCTGCCTTTACAAAGCGACCTTATACGCAACCACCTCACGACATGAAGGACGTGTCTCTGAGTGGGACCCTCGGGTCATTCAAAAGGACAAGGTTAGACAAAGAGTAGATGTTGTGTCATGTTCGACGACGAGATGTTGGGTTTAGTGCAAGTATATCTTAGATTAGGCTCGAAAACTTTCACACCACGATGATGCTGTGTTTGTTCAGTTTTCGCTCCACTGCCTGTTATGCATATGTTCCATATGAAATTTAACCATCACCGTGAGTGTTGTTCGGATCGGTCAGAAGTTGTGCAAGATTCATCAGTGCTTTCAACACCACTACAATGCCGAAGAAGAAACGAGGGTTCGCAAGAAATGTAAATGAACTTCTTAACACAGTTTGCAAGATTAAATTGAAAGAATACTTTATTAGGAATACATTTACTCGTAAAGAGACTTGGTGTAGGTGGCGGTGGCAGCAACGTAGGCGTCACGGGCAGCCTTGTAGGGGCCAGTGGCGAGCTTGAGCTCGTTGGCAGCCTTCAAGTAGGCATCGCGGGTGGCGCGGTAGGTGGTGGCGTAATCCTCAAGGTCGAAGAGAAGGGCGAACATTGCTGTCTTGCTTCCTCCCTCCTCGCTACTCTTTTTATACCCTCCTCCCGTTGTTCTATTTCCGGTATCCCCACCCCCACCCCCCCATATGATACATCCCCACCCAATCAAAGTCCTTTGTTTGTAGCGATATCTACCGGGTAGAGAAACTCTGATACAGCACGGGGTACTCGCCAACCCAATGAACTAAACACGTGTTCATTCAGGACCGGTGAAGAATGTTGATGACCCATCATTTCATAGGAATATTCATTATTTTTATACCGGTACTTTGATGACCCTACCACCAAAAATTTTCTGATCACATGACTGTACGACCGTTGCTGTGGTTGTTCATTGGTGTATACCCCTCTTCCAACATTGATTACCCCCGAATAGTATTGATTTTTCATAGTAAATGACCGGTACTTGACACTACCCCCACCCGTTCGTTTGAACTTCGAAAAATAAGTTCTATTTCGGGTGCATAGAGCCGGCCCGGCCCGCCTCATCCACATACAAAAGTTTGAAAGTTTAAAGTTTGTATGTATTGTTCCAAGACACTTTAGATCATCAAAGTTTCAAACATTCAAAGTTCTTGTCCGTTGGAAAAAACGAACGAGATCCTCCACAATGCTTTCCCCACCTGCCCCTGCCCCTGCCCCTGCCCCTGCCCCTGCCCCTGCCCCTGCCCCTGCCCCTGATCCTGCTGCTGACCCTGCTGCTGCTACTGTTACTGCCTCGCTCCTGCTCCCGCCCTCTCCTCTCTGCTCTCCGCACATCTATATGACATTTATCATTCTTTTTCTACTGGCCTTGAGTGTTTCTATTCCTTCTTGCTTTCCCTCACCAGACCATACTTGTTGTGAGGGCCATATCCTGCTTCTCCGTCATTTTACACCTTGTCAATATCCACATTGAAACTTCATCAGTAATGTTTCTTCAGTGCTTAAGATTCTGATTTCACTTGAACCAGCTCGTCCTGGTTGCTTTTTCTTCACTCAACATCTGCTTTTGTTTTTCGCATTGTGATATCAAAATACCTCCTAAATATCTGCTCATGCCCTCGTATTGATGTTCTTGTTTTCATTCCACCATGTTCGCAATCGTTATATGTAGCTATCATGCTCATTTTGCAGCGTTGTTTTGACTCTTGCTGCTTTCAGACAAATCACTGGAGTATGCATTGAGAAGATGAGAGAGAATATTTCCTTGGAAGATTTACAGCAACATTCGACAAGTCAACGACCGGATCAGAACTTTCTCGCTCACTTTGCGAGTCACGGCATCTTCCAAGATGAATTCAATCGCGTCATAACCGATCGGACGCGGACCATTGGGCTGGAGGAAGCGAGCAGGTAGGGGAGGGGGGGAGTGGGGAAGACAGGGGAGAGGAGAGCAGAGTGGAGCATGATAATCTGATGCTCGTGCCTGCAGAGGGTTCAAGGAGGAGGAGAAGAACGAGGAGGGAGAGAAGGAGGAGAACGACGATGACGAGGAGATGGGAAGCGAGCAAGCGGCAGAGTCAGACACGCCCAAGTCGACGACGACAACGAAGAGGATGCGCAAGAAGCTCAAGAGGCTGAACGTGAACTTGTCAATGTGCAAGTACTCGGTGATCGAGAACTGCTGCAAGAGCCTTGGCTTCAAGATCACACAGAGTGAGAGCCAGTGGCATCTCTTCTGGACCGACATGAGCGTTGGGGAGGAGCGGTGCATGCGGCTGCGCCGGCCCCAGAAGTTGAACCACTTCCCCGGCATGCAGGAGATCGCGCACAAGTGCAAGCTAGCGAAGAACTTGAACCGGATGCAGACGGAGCTGCCGGGCCTGTACAACTTCCACCCTGAGACCTTCTCTCTGCCCGTGGAGTTCAACGCGTTCCAGCGAGCTGCTCTCGGGGACGGGAAGGAGAAGAAGTCAAGGAAGACCTACATCGTGAAGCCTGATGACGGGGCGTGCGGGGTCGGGATCTTCTTGACGAGGAAGCCGTCGAGCATCCCGAGGAAGCTCTCGTGTGTGGCTCAGAGGTACATGGGGAAGCCGCTGCTGATCGAGGGGAAGAAGTTCGACCTGCGCCTGTACGTCCTGGTGACGAACATGGTGGAGCTGCGGGCGTATCTGTTCTCAGAGGGGCTGGCGAGGTTTGCGAGCGAGGCGTATGAGAAGATCAGCACCGGGAACATGGACATGCGGTACATGCACCTGACCAACTACTCGGTGAACAAGCAGCACAAGGACTTCGAGACTGACGAGGAAGCGAACGCGAGCAAGGGGAGCAAGCGGAGCCTGGGGTTCGTGCGGTCATGGCTGAGAGCCAACGGGTACGACGTGAAGAAGATCTGGGAGGATATCGAGAGATGCATCGTCAAGACGCTGCTGGCAGTGCAGCCGCAGGTCGCGCACGCGTACAGGACCAGCATCGCGGGGAACCACGACAGCGTCGGTTTCTCCTGCTTCGACCTGCTGGGGTTCGACATCCTGCTCGACGAGGAAGGAAAGCCTTGGGTGATCGAAGTGAACGAGATGCCCTCCTTCGACACTGCCGCCCCCATCGACGAGGCCGTCAAGACGGCTGTGGTGACAGAGACGCTGCTCCTTGTGTGCCCGACACTGCAGGAGGTGCGGCTGCTGGCAGAGCTGCGGGAGACAAGCAGGAAGGGGAGCACGGGAATGCTGAACCCTGGGGGGCAGCAGATGGAGAAGGATGGGGTGGAGAAGGGACGAGAGGCAGAGGGGAGGAGGAAGGAGCTGGTGGAGCTGAGGAAGAGGCAGGAGGACTATCACAGGAGGTTCTTCCGGAGGATCCATCCTCTTACAAGCCCCGAGGAGGACGGAAGGTGGCTCGGGGACGAGCCCAAGGGAGGCAGAGGAGCAGCGAACGCGCTGGAGGGATTCGACTATGATTGGAGCTTCGTGGAGGTCGGGAAGGAGGAGGCGGAGCAGCGAGACGGAAGGCTGAGGAGGGAGTACGAGGAGTGCGCAAGGGTGGCGCATGGGATGTTCGCAAGCAGCGTGTGGGTGCGGGGAGGAAGGCAAGTAGAAGGCGAGCAGATGGTTCCGTTGAGAACGAGGACGGCGAGCCTGCCGGGGAGAGGAGGAGAGGGGGAGGCAAAAGCTGCCGGCTCAAGGAAACAGGCAGGAGATGTGCTGCAGGCGTACAGAGTGTATGCTGGGAACGCGCTACGGGGAGGAGGTGGAGGAGCGGGAGGAGGGAAGAACGTGCTGAGGAGCAGGCCACAGGAGGAGGCAAGAACGCGGATGCCCCCGGTGCCCGGGAACGAGGAGAAGAGAGCGAGGAGTGTGTTGGCTGGGATGAAGCTGAGATGAAGGAGGAGGAGGAGGAGGAGGAGGAGGAGGAGGAGGAGGAGGAGGAGGAGGAGGAGGAGGAGGAGGAGGAGGAGGTGAAAACAACGCTGATCAGTTGAGGAGTGATAATAAGTTGAATTCGAGATCAATTCAATATATGTTTAATTCATTACTAGTCATTTCAATTCTCTTTGCTTCACTTCACAGTATATTCAACAAGGCACTGACGGACATCACTATCATCACGTGTAAAGAATACAATCCAACCTCCCAGCACTGGCAGGGGTTTAACTCAGGGGGTTTAGTTTAGAGTTTAGCTTGCAGGTTTAGATCCATTCAAGTAGGCGTGGCAAACAGTCTCATTCCTTGACTTTCTTTTTGAATCTTTTGATCCCAGAGACAGAGAGGAGACGGAGAAATAAACCTGACGCGATTGATGAGTCTCTTCCACATTCTCCTCCAGCACAAGACTCCACTTCATCGGAAACAAGGGGAAGAATCGAGCAGCAGAGGAGCGAAGAATGGCGAGAGGAGTGCAAGGGAAGATCAGAAAGAGAGTGGAGGGAGGGAGGAGGAGGCGGAGGAGGCGGTGGACTGGAGAGCATCTAAACTTACCGAAATTCCTCGTCCCCTCTTTTCTTCTTGGCGCTCAATCCCAGTAGCTCATGCCACTCCCTCACGCTCGCCTGCAGCTCCTCCTCTCCCTCCCCATTCCTCCTATCGGCCTCGTGGCCGTTGATACCACCGTTCTCAACCTCCTCTCCGCTCTCACTCTCGTCCTCGTCCTCCGCTACCATTCTTGCATTCCTCGAATTCTTCAAGAACCTCTCTTCAAAATCTGCACCATCTCGATCAGACTTGGAACACGAGAGAGCGAAGAGGAACGGAGAACAAAAGCATCAAGTTGTCACTATCACTGTCACCTTTTCCTCCTTACACAATTCTCCCCATCCCCATCCTCATCCCATCCTCATTCCCATCACACTTTTTCACCTCAATCACTTCATCATGCACTTCATCTCCACATCAATTTACCGTAGCTTTCCATTCGCTTCCTTATCCTGTTTGCAGAGTAGAACGAAGAGTTCTCCTCTTGACTTTCCTCGTCCTCCTCTAGCCTCCTGGCTGGGCAGTACCAGAATCCTCCTCCTCCCGACGACCTATCCCTTGCCCCTCCCTCCTCCTCTTCCGCTGCATCTGTCAAGATGTGGGTCGACGCGACGTCTACAAGACCGTGTCGTCTTGGCTGCAAGAGGAGTCAGAGCAGGAGGAAGAGGAAAATCCATCGAACCTTGTGGGCCTCCTTTGCATGTCCACTGTTAGCATGTCGAACGCTCTTCTCATGCCCATTTGCCAGTTTCCTCGCGCTAGTCAACGCCTTGTCTTCCCCACACTTCCTTTCGCTGCCTCTGCCTCTCTCCGCCTTCACCCGTCCATCGTGTTCGCTCTCCTCCTTCTCCTGTTCCTCCTCATCTCCAATCTCAACTCCAGCGATCGGCAGTATGCTCGCCTGCACTGTCAGCGAGGGGGTAACGTCGCAGTAGTGCTTCATGTACTCCAGCAGCGCCGCCTTCGCCTCCTCCCTCTCCATCATCTCTAGCCCGACCCATCGCTTCCAGCACATCCTCGCAAACATCCTCCACTTCGCGGGCTTCGCTTGCGTGCATCGCCCGACCGTCGCTCGGTGGTAGAGAGCGTGAGCCACAGCCTGCTGCTCCGTGCTCAGCCGTTGCGCCCGAACTTTTTCTGTCTGCTCCCACATGCTGATGATCTCCAGCTCCTGCAACATCTCAAGAGCCGTCGGTCGATCGGAGGGAGCAGTCGACCAGCTCCTCCTGATCAGCTCGGCCAGCGGGGCCCCTCTCTGACTGAGGATGGCGTCCAGCGGCGGCCTTGCCCCGTCCCTCGCTGCTCGCAGCGCCACCGTCTGCCCGGACAGGCCGGGGAGGGGGCGGACGCCATTGCAGATGAAGTGAAGGATCATGGCAAAAGAGTAGATGTCTACCCGCTCGTCATAGCTGGGGTCCTGCTGGAACACCTCGGGCGCCATGTACCGCAGGCTTCCTGTCTTCCCTGTCATCCTGTACCTGCCGTGCCGGAACCCGTTCTTCACCCTGCTCAGCCCGAAGTCGCAGACCTTCAACTTGCCCGACGAGCTCAGGAGCAAGTTTGCGGGCTTCAGGTCCCTGTGGATGACTGGGGGGTTGCAGTTGTGTAGGAAGCCGAGCGCCCTCCCCAGCTCGATCCCCAGCTGCAGCACCTTCTCCATCGGGGGGCACCACGGGTACCCCTGGGCCCTCTGCCGGATAAGGAAGAACTCCTCGAGGTTGCCGCCCGGCATGTACTCGTTAAGGATGAGGATGCTGTCTCCCGACAGCACGGCGCCGAGGAACATGACCAGGCAGGGATGCCGGAGGTGCGAGAGCACGCAGATCTCGTTGAGCAGGTCATTCCTTGCGACCTCCCTGCTGATGTTCCCGTCCGCCTCCTCCTCCGATCGCAGCATCTTCGCCACCACGTCGAGCCCCCTCCACTTCGCCATGTAGATCACGCCACCGTCTCCCTGCCCCATCCTCTTCCCAATGACAACCTCCTCCGGCTTCAGCAACCATTGCTCTGCCTTTCCTCGCAAGCTCACCGACTTGATGTGCCCTTGGCCCTTCTCCTCCCCCTCTCGCATCCTGTTGTGCATGTTGGAGAACCAGCTATCCTCGCTCAAGAGCAGGTTGTGAAGTGTCGTGCTCAGCTCAGCGTTAGCACCCTGATCATCTTCATCCTGCTTCCTGTCCACACTGACCCCTTCAGCAGGATCTTTCTCCTCCTGCCCGTTGGCAAACCGGACTTGTTTATCTGCTGAAGCATCCCGCGAGTCTCTTGTGGTTCGGGTCGATTCATCATGTCCCACGCACACCTCTGAATTGATTCCCACGTTTCTCTTCGACGAGCTATCGTCGCCCTGAAATGAAGGAGAGCTGAAAAGAATAAATCTCAGAGCGCAGGAGGCACATGTAAGACAGAGAGAAGGAAGTGTTAACAATCTTGACAGTCAAGGGAGAAAGAAGGGAGAGAAGAGACACGAGATAAGAAGTTCTGCAAGGCAGGCGGAGAGCAAAAAAGATCTCAACAACTATGTAACATACCTGCATGAAGAGCGCGAGGAGCGCGAGTTCGTCTCCGCTCTCTCCCTCACTGTCTCACTGCTCGACCTCAACCTGTCACCCTCGGTCAGCACGTCCAGGAGAGGACAAGCGATCAAGTACGAGGATGGAGAGATCGCTCTTCCACTGCCACCACATCCGTCCATCGGGCGCAGAAACTTCGAGACGGCGGGGATGTAAGAGTAAGTTGACAACCACAGCAGCAGAGCTTCTGCGCGGTATAGATCCGTCTTCTGCCCAGGTATCGCATGCTTGGGAGGGAAATCTACTTTTCCTCCTTGAGTACCCGACACGTAGGGATGAGTGACCTGTGTGAACAATGAGAAATATGTGCGATGACGTAGAGATAGAGCCAAGTGCTTCAGCAAGGGACGGGAAACAATGTAGGAGCCCGGTGTGAAGGAAGTGAGAGAGAGCTGGAGGCAACCCACCTTAGCGACATCATAGATCCTTCTGATGTTGCTGTATCGATCGTACATTGTCCATGTCTTGCCGTTGGAGCGACATCGGATGGCATAGATCGTGTGTGTACCACCTGGCGCCTTGACAGGCGAAACCCCCAAAATTTCCAAGTTGGAACTTAAATCCATTGTATCGCTGGAAGGCGATCGGATAAAAGTTGATGTCCAAGAAAAGTTTCTATAATACTTTGCTGCTGATATGCCGCATCTGATCTCAAAGTCAAGACTGATACTGACACATTGAATGGAAACAGGAGGTTAGAGGGTATCTGCAATCGCCCGATCGTACTAATTTTCTCTTGGCGTTTGCTCAGCACTACACTTGACTCATTCAACCAAACAGTTAGCGACTGCATGTGTGATTTGACTCTTCTCGCAAGCATATTGACTCTTTCGCTCTGCTCAATCTTTCTCAACTAATTCACCTATTCTCAGCAAGGCGATAGATCAAATGGCGGTGACCTTTTGGAATGTTGCATAACCCTAAGTACTGTCTCCCTGCTTCCATGGCCTTCATCTTTCTTGTTCCCTGTGAAGACTCTCTTCCTGTACCAAGATCAGCTCACCTTCTCGCCCTAGCTCCTCCTCCACCATCCGCCCCCTCCCTCTCCCTGTAGTTCTCATATGTCACGCAAACTCCACGTGGTGCTTGGCGAGGTTTTAACCGAAAACTTTAACTAATAAATATGATAAATATAAAGCATAACTATCTATTTCTATACTCAAGTTACATTAATTTAACTCAAAATAAAGAATATATTGGGTATTAACTGACCTGGCTTAGTAAAGCGGTCCATGGCGTCGGAGGGGTATAGATGTTTGGGGTAGCTTTTCAGGGGTGGGGGTATTTAAACCCCCATGGAGAAGGGGTACATGTAACAATTGGAAGTTCACTCCACAAGGGGTAGTACCAAAATACCGGTGATGGTAATAACACAACTATGCATAAGGGGTAAAATCGATGGTAAAGAATGGGGTACTTATAGGTCCCATACGCATTTGACTGGTTTTTTGTGGGTAGGGTACCAAAATCTCCTGTACAATGGGGTGGGTAACAAATAAAAGTAGGTAGGGGTAGGTAGGTTTCTCAATCTCACCCCTACACTGGAGATAGAAAAAAGGGAACAAACTACGTACTTCAGGTCTATGACTACCCCTTTCAAAGTCGCCATACACACTATTTGGAAGCTAGTACCCTAGCATTTCACTCAAAATTCCTTCTGAAACACCCGGTGGATACTATCACCCTACCATCTATGAACATCTTTGTACCACCCCACCTGTGTGTAGTTTGAAGAGGTCCTATCGCGTCGAACTAGTTGGTTGGCCTGGTGTCAATGCCGCGACTGCTGTCGTAAACTTTCACGGTTCCGGCCGCGGGCCCGGCCGGGGCCCGGCCGGCCCGCCGGGGGCCGCCCGGGGCACTGTCAACCGTCACCGGCAGGCTAGTCGCTGCGCCGAGTCAACTGAGGGCCAAGTACGGTCACCAGACCGGCGTACGATACGGTCCGCCCGGCGGCGGGACCCGCCAGCCGCCGACCGTCAGTGCTGACTGCGGCCCGGGTCGCCGCGGGCCCGGGGCCCGGCCCGGGCCGATCCGGCCGCCGCGCCGGGGACTCGGACGCACGGTCCGATCAAACGGATCCGCCCTGGGGCGGCGCCCCCCCCGGCCCGCCGGGCCGGGCCGCGCGACCAACGTTGAACTTCGGAACTTCGAGGCGGCCGGACTGGCCCGGCTCGGGCCGCCGTCTGAAATTCGGAATGGCCCGGTGACGCACTGGCACAGACTCGGACCGTACCGTACCGTCACGGTACAGTACCGTACAATTTCCGAGAAACTGATTGTATACCGCCCGGGCGCGGCCGGCCCCGGCGCTCGGAGGCCCTGGTCGCCGGCCGCACCCGGGCCGCGCTAGTACTGTGACGCCGGACTCCTGGACTGAGTCGGGCGGCACACGCGGCGGCTGCCGCCCGCCGGGAGGCTGGGCGAGTCGGCTGAGTGAGCCCGGCGGGCCGCACTGCTCACAAGTCCGATCCACGCGAGTCACGAGTGCCACCGCCACTGACGGACACCGACGAGTCAGCCGGCGATACGCCCGTTGGGGGCCGAATAATCACCCGATCCGATTCATCGGTAGCCCTCCCCCCGCAGTGACTGTGGTAGGGGTGGAGGGGTCAGTTTCTCGGCATCATATCCCTCAGTCAGCCTTACAGGACTGGTAGATATGAGGGGTGGGATTGATTGATGCTCGGGGTGTGAGGGGTGGGGTTGGGGTTGTCCGAGCCCCCTGATTACCATCCGATGATCAGAAATAGACCGAAAAAACAGTCTCCGAAAATCTTGGGGGCATGGGTTGTATCTCTCAGAGGAGGGGTGGTCAGATCATTTGTCTTGCTGGTACCGGGTACTCTGAGGATATTCATCCTTGGATATCGTAGGGTAGTTAAAGAAGGTTCTAGGACGGTGGGGTTATGCTGCCAAGTTGGGGTCTAGTCGGAAGGGAGGGGTACTCGGGTGTTGCTTTTGTACTGGAATAGCACGCTGAGCAAGGTCTTTTGGTCAAACTCCATAGACCCCCCACCCCCTTGTTCAGTAAAGGTACGGCCTTGACGACACTATGTGGGGTGGTGCAGCTGGTAATTCAAGGGGTAGCTGTCTCCGATGGTGACTCGAATAGGGGGTGGGGGTACCTTGTAAGTACAATCCAGGGGTGGTCAAGTTGCAACAAAGACAAGAGAAAAGGTAGGTGCTGCTGCTGCTGCTGCTGCTGCTGCTGCTGCTGCTGCTGCTGATGATGATGATGATGATGATGATGATGATGATGGTTGTGATATTGGTTTGTATCAGAGCACATATTGGATGAGAGCCTCCATGGAGAGATAGGGCGAGAGAGAGATAGTACAATAGACGAAGACTTGAGGGGAAGTGAATAGAGGAGTCAGCTGGGAAGAAAAGATGTACAGCAACGCATTTCTCAAAGATACAAGGAGGATTTCAAGTAACACATTTCTGTGACGGAAACGAGTATATCTCCATACGACGAAAGTAACTGCAATTTGAAATTTGAGGGAAGTGAACGGAAGGCGAGAAAAGAATATTCCCCACATCAGCGAAACCTTAGAAAGAACATTCTCAACAGTGAAATTTTGTTTTCTTCACACAACATAAGAGCTTTTGTACATCCATCCAACTTGCGTTTTGATAGCTGATCTTTGACCAAACTTTTTCAGACTCGGAAGCAAATCTCACGCAAAACTCAGATTGACAGCAAGTGGAAGCGAGATGCAGGCAGAGACATCGGAAGTTGTTGTTGAACTTGAAGACCCTGTTGTTAACATCATCACCGAAACATTGCACAGCTCGCTCACAATCGGTGATGAGAATGTTGAAAACACGAACAGTATGACGGAAAGTTCTCACGGCGATGAATACAACTTGCAAGTTCCCCCGAGAAACTCGAGCGACATGTCGCAGAATGTGGGCCACTCCCATGGTGGGTTGAACGCAAACTCTCCTGTCACCACAGGAACCCCCGTCGTGGTGGGAAACCCAGTGAGCATGGCGATTGCAATGATGGACCAAAATTGCTGCCAGCAGTGTTGCTCTTGTTCTTGTGTCCCCAACCTAGATCTCAAGAGTCGGAATCAAGCAAGAATATCGAGCATCGTGCTAGCTGTCATCGTGCTTGTTCAATGCGTAGGCAGCGACGTGCTTGCAAGCAAGCTCGCCATGCAGGGATCAGCCTACCCTTCCTCCCCTCAGGTCCGAGCACGCCCTCCTTCTCCCTTCACTTGATTGACATGATTGCAACAGGGCTCGGCCAATCACACGGAGCTTGTCTTGGACGCTCCTCTCCTCTATGTCAACGGCTGCATCTCAAGCGGCCACCCACCTAGCAGGGTCTACATGGCAATAGCCTTCTTGTTTGTGTCGGCTGCCATCACTTTGGTATTCACCGTGCGGTATCTGGTTCTCGCTCAAGGAGCTGGGTTGTGCTGTGCAGCCGGTCACTGCGGCAAAGTGCTGACGGTCCAGATGATCCTGGGGCTGAGCATTTTCTCGCTCATCCTCTCCCTTCCCCTCTACACCTGGATGTTGTGGCATCTACTGCAAGACACCTTCCAGTGCCAAACCTGTCTGGCCAAGACGCTGCCGACGTACGAGCTGCAGTCGGCATGCGCGGCGAAACTCTCAATCGGAAGCGAGATCACTGGGTTGAGCAGCGCTGCAGGAGCTTTAAGTGTTGTTGCGATCCTTAGCGCAGCCCGATATTGCGTCCTCGTCCCCTCTGCGCTTCATGAGGCCATGGCGTTCAAAGCACAAGGCATTCTGTATGCCCATCAGGTCAATCAATACTTTGCAAGAAGAGTCTTCTAATAGCTTCTTGCGACGCACCAAAAGGATTTTGTCGATGCTAGACTTGCGAGTCTTGCTGTTGGCCTTTTAGTCGCTGTGTTCCTATAGGATTAGTTTTCATCTCACTTTATATCCCTTCTGGTCTTTCATATAATTTTTCCGATCCAACATAGATAGTACACTAGAGCTCGTGATCGCTCTCGTTGACTTCTCGTGTCACCCCCTCGAACACGCTCCCATCGGTTTCGTTGCAATCCTTCTTGGAGGGTGAAAACAGATCCCAGCTCCTCAAGTCCGTGCTGACAAGACATGGAGTGAGAACAGATGTGTTCAGAAGATCGGAGTCGAGAAATGAGCAATGGCAAGAAGAGGAGGGAAGGAGAAGAAGCAGAAAGTCGGTCAGCAAGTAGAGCAATCTGATGGAAGAGGGTGGATGTAGTGAAGTTGCAGACCTTGGAACGAGCTGATTCAGGAGCTTTCGTGCCAACCTCACCCCCCGGACCATGATCTGTCCTCCCTTGGAGACTATCGCTCCGTCCTTGAGCTCAACGCTGCCACTGGCGGTCAACCGACAGCGCCGTGCCTCCTCTTGAACTTACTCGTAACTTTGCGACGACGTCGGTTCCTTCGCCACCACTGGCAAACCCTTGAGAAGTTTATTCCTCGCCCAGTCATACAATCTGATCTGAACCGGCGCGATGCTCGGGTGAGACGCGCTGCTGGAGTTGTGAGGCAGGAGGGAACAGTTGACATTCGGCCAGGTGATGTTGAAGGTGTCAAAGGAGCCAGGAAGGGGAGCGGCGCCGGGGGCGGATCTTTCACCCTGCCCTGCCGCACGTTCGCCCTCAGAGCTCTGAGAAGTGTCAAGCTTGGAAGATCGTGAAACTTCTACTTCCGCTCCCGAGCAGTTGGGGACCATGAAAGTCCCTGGAGCTGCTGGTGCCTTGTGGCGATAGAGAGAGAAGCTGTCGAGACTTGTTTGCATCTCCCGCCTCGGCTTCTTGACCTCATTGGAAGAAAGCTGGTTCTCGATCGAGAGGTTCTTGGGGCCTCCCTGCGGATTGATCTGCACAGATGCGATCGGATTGTGCCTCTTTGTACCAGGTCTCGCTGATCCAAGATCTTTGAAAAGTTTCTTCTTCGGAGTTGGCGTTTGTGAGAAATCCTTCCCTGCAAAAAGGATCGCCCCTGAGATGAATTGCAAGCATGAGGACTTGTCTTACGTAGATGTTTCATTAAGTACTTCTTGCTGTACTTGTCTGCATTCTTTATCATGTTCGACGAAGGTATCGGTGTCATCCTGGAGTAGAAATCAGCAATCAAAACATCCTCACAGCAGCGCATCTCACGAGGCTTTCCTCTCGCTTGCTCTCAGCAACTTCTTCGTCCTCTTCGACATCTTCTTCTGCTGCCCTTGCTTCACTCCCCCTTGCGCCCCCTTGAAATTCATCCACGGTCTTTCGATGTCCTCCTCCTCGTCCACAGAACTGACTAGCCAGCTGTCGGACTCGTACTCCTTGTACTCCGGTCGTTTCCGATGCACTTTCTTCCTCCGGCTGGCCTTCTTGTGCCTGCGGGAGGTGAAAGCCTCTTCGTTCTGCCTGAGAAACGTGCGGTATGAGTTGTCCAGGTCCTGCCGACCTTCAGTTGGGTTCATCCTCAGGTATCTGTTGAACAGCCTTGCGTGCTGCAGAAATCTCTTCCAGCGATCCTCCGAGATGTACCTGGCGCAGGAGCACATCAGCGTTCCTCGTCTCCTCCTCGTCTTGTAGAATAGACTCACAAACCCTCCTCCAACTCCTCATTCGTGACGCGGGAGCAGTCGACTTCGAGCCCGATCATGGTGATGTTCTCGACCGGTCCGAGCTGTGACAAAAATTCGAGTGAGGGAGGGAAGAAGGAGGAGAGCGGAAGTTCATCACGGCTTCTTGTTCAAGCTCATCCTCCTGACACATTTGAGAACTGTGAATGGTAGTGTTTCTCACAGAACATGTCAGATCACCAGCTCTACTTGCCACTCGTATCCTCGCTTCATCGCCATCCTTGAAGAGAATCAGAATTCGCAAGGGCAGTATGCATCATTCAGTCTCCCCAGGGCCAAAGGAAAGGATGGACTCACATGAAGTTTTGTTCATCCTCCGTGTTCTCCCAGGAACTTGAGGAGGATTCGGTGGCAGAGTCGTCATCTGAATCTTGCCCGGTCTCCGAGGAGGAAGGGTCAGAGCTCCTCTTACTCGATTCTATCGCAAACGACTCGTCCTCCTTTTCACTATGCCTTTCAACCCCTTTCGCCTGCCCCTTGTCACATTCCATGGCAAGGTCATCGCGAGCCCCACCTCGTCATTGGACCTGGAGTATACAGATCTCGACGACTTGGCCGATCTGGAGGATCTTGCCACGTCGGACTTGGACACTGAAACCGAAGAGCTTTCGGTTTCTCCTCTCCGGTCGTTGGAGGTGTAAGAGATAACAGGGTTGCTAGATGAATCAGGGAGGATTTCATGCAATCGAGTGAGGAGTACGAGGCTTGATATCAGCAGAGCAGACCTTTGGATGCTCAGAGTGAGAGAACGAACTCAAATAGATCACAGGACAACTGTTCAGACCAATCTTTCTCTCTCCTCTTCCACCATCCCCTCCCTCTTACATGTCCTGCAATCTTTCGCTTTCCCGCCTTTCTCAGAGCCTCATAAGCTATTTTCTCCTACTATCCTCTCCTTACATGATCCTCTCCTTCTTCCTCATCTCCTGACATCATCGTCTCCTGATCCCCTTCTTCCTCCTCTTCTCCTGCATACCTGGATGCTCGGAACGCTGCCATGGCGCCACTCCTCTCAACACTGCATGGTCCCGAATCCCAGCAACCCTCTCATACCTCACCCTGCACCTAGTCACCATGAGTGACCGTGACCCGGACCGGCGGCCGCCCGGCCGCCTCCGGGCCCGGCCCGCCACTCGTGACTGACCGTACGGTCGCGGCGCGCGGCCGGACGATCCGACGGTCCGACTGAGTCAAGCTCACTATCAGGCCAGCACGATTGCGGAGCGGCCCTCGAACGGGCTTGTATCCACAGGCTCAGTAGTATGACCCCGGCGTTCAACCGGCAAGTTACGCCGCGAGCACGCCGGGCCCTCTGGCGCGGACTTGCTGTAAGTGAAGACGACAGTCGGATCACGGTCTGCTCAGTCTGAGTCGACATGCCATGAAAAAAAAACATCAATCCTACCAGAGAGATGCTGCCTTTCCTCTTTTCTACTCTCTGACTCTGAGGTCAGCGCGATCTTCTAAACACTTCTCCCCTGATAGGTGCCACGGTACGACCTCGGCACTTCTGCATCCGATGATGGTTCGCCGCATGTTTGTAGTGTTGGCAGCGACCATAGTAGCAGGACAAGAAGAGCACTTCCTGCATGGCAGCGGTACCATAGCGCACTTGTCGACCACGCGCACCATGCCCCTCCAGGTCCTCGCTGGGGTCTTCAAGGTAGGAGCGTATCAACGAGAGAGCCTCAAGCTCGACTACAGCGCCGTGAAGAAGCTCGAGCGAGCCCAGGCGTCTTCACAGCTGTTCCGCATGAAGCTCAATGCTTGCTTCCAGTCCAAGGTCCCCCAGAGCCTGCCGCCAAGCATGCTCTTTGACGGAACCTCAGAGAGCGAGCGAGACGATCCTCACTTCGGGATGGTTTGTCAAGCTGACATGACGGTCTGTTTGAAGCACGATGCGTATCTCTCTGTCTTGCTCCAGACCGTGATAGACAACCCAGCGAGCGACGTCATAGCAGTCATGCCGGGCCCGGCGGGGTCGGTGGATTACAAGCAAGTACGTGTCAAACAGCACGAGTACATCTCGTTCGAGATGGCAGAGACGCCAGACAAGGTGTGCGAAAAGATCTACCAGCTCAGCCGGCTATGTCACGTTCTGAAGGACGAGTTTATCGGAGAGCAAGCGAGGATTGCAGCTACGGGGATACTGGTGAATGGCAAGAGAGAAGACTTCGAGCTCGGGGCTGAGGTAGTGAGATCGTTCTTGTCAGAGGCCAAGGCTGATCCCGACCTTTGCGAGCTTTTCGACTGGCAAGTGCCCATGTTTGTGTGCTATGCTCCCATTCGAACAGATCTCGATGCCTGCAGGTCAGACATCGAGCTCCTCAGGTCCCAGATGGCTGACATGAGATCAAGAGACGAGACCCTCAGATACTTCATCCGCAATGCCCTTTCTGAATACTTGGCGGACAGTTGGGTTTCGCTCAAAAGCTCAACCATCTGTGTGCTAGAGAATCTCTATGACTATCTCAATCCACAACAAACAGAAGATTCTGAGTGATGTAGAAGCGCGATGCTGTTAGGCTGCCGTCAGCTTGCGCCGGGACCCAGTCCCTGGCACAGTGCGGGAGGAGAGACATAGTTTGCGAATAGCTTGAAGCCGCCTCCTGTTGCGATCGTAATACATCACAGCTGTCCCTGTCACAGCCTTGGTAATTAATGCTGCTTATGGTCGAGACGATGTGCAGCCTGCATTCACACCCGCCGTCGGGATGCCCACCGATGTGTCCAGACCTCTCCCGACAGCCCGGCCGGCTGACAGCAGAGCACAGCCCGCATCTACCTCCCGACTAGTATCGCCAAAGCCTGCATGGTCTCCTACCCACGTGTGATGTTACTGCAAGCCCGCTTCCGAGCGCCAATGAAGCGGACTGGCAAGATGGGGGTGGGTGGGATGATGATACTGTCGCACATAGGGGTGGTACTTCCCCTTCGGCCTGTCAGCCTCAGGCTGTCCCCCGCTTGATCTCTATCCACACACCCATCCCTTCCATCCCGATCAGCAGCCTTCCTTGCTGCTTCCCCCCTGTAAGCTACCTCCTCCGCCTTGACGTCCCTCCTCGTCGACCTATCGCCAGCCCCTCGATTACGCGGCAAGCGTGCAGCTCGAGTCTCGTCGCCACATGAGCTGGCCGGGCCCTCTGGCGCGGACTTGCTGTAGGTAGTACTCAGTGTGCCGGGCAGTGCTAGGAGTGCTGTGGCTGAGGCGTTAGTGCTGCATCCAGGCTGGCGCGGTTAGATAAGTAGCAGGAGCGAGCGAGTAAGGTTGTAGATCTTGCCATGACAACAATAAATCAATAAAGAAACGACGTGATCTGTCAATGTAAAAACGGCGAGCACGGGGCTCAAGAGTTCTGATGCTTGCCACAAAAGGATCAGACTCACATTGGAGCGGCTGGAACAAGTTGTTCCTGCATCACATCTGGGAACTAGTCACTGAGTCAAATCATCTTACAGAAAAGCTGCTTCTTGACTATTAGTGAAGTGGATATGCACAAACAATTATCCTTCACTTTCTAACTTGTTTTGTGACAAGCATAAATTTACAACTAAGGGTTGTCCAGGTTTTGTCTTCAATGTTTCACTATACTTTATTATCCAGCAGTATCAGGTACAATCAGGTGTCTAGATATCTTAGTTCATAGTTTCATAGAGTTCCTAGCTACGCAATCACTCATGTTAGATATTTCTGCCAGAAATGGCTGTTTCAAGGTTTGCGCCAAAAATGTCGTTATTGCTGCCATGTACACAACATGCAAACTTGTTAGAGCAGAACTCATTGCTCACTTTTTCGCATTGCGTTTGAATCCGAAGAATCCAAGCACCATTCTTCGCATTTCCTTCCTGCACTCCAGTTGAAGTGTCATGGGGTTGTCGATCGGAATGTCTCGGTGCGACTTGTTCCTGGACGAAGAGGACGAAGAGGACGATCGGGAAGAGGGAGGAGGAGAGTGGGCGTCAGTGCTAGGCGAAGCACGGGACGAGGAGCAGGACGAAGGAGAAGGCATTTCCGTCGATCTTGTCAGTGGGGTGCTGGGCGCGTGGGTAACGGGTTTATAAGGGAAGGAGCCGGGATTCGCGGGGACGTTCGAAGGTAAAAAAAATCCTTTTTTATCAGATCGGGGTTCGAAACGACGTGAATTCGGAACCTTACGACCAGGCGGTGGAACTGGGGATCTGTAATCGAGTCTTTTCCCATTTCCTAGCTAGTCGGACGGTCAGTCGAATTGCACCAGGAGACTGAAATCGCGCTCCTAGGTTCCCTTTCTCCCTTGAAAAAAAGGGGAACCTGTTTTCCAGAACCCGTTTGACTGGTAAGATTTTACTCATTCCTTTACCGTGGGCCTGGCAAATCACTTGAACTTCCGTGACGGTGTCCCGGCCGCCGAAGTTCGGCGCCGGGATCATCCGTTGTCCTCGTACTGATGAAAGTTTTGACTTGCTTCACATCCGGGCCCGGCACGGCGGCCCGGCCGGGCTCCGGCACTGTGACTGAACTCTAAAAAAGACTGACAGAAGTGACTTTTTGTTTCTTTTACCCCCTGTGTGTGTAAAGGAGGCAGATAGTAGTGTTGAAGAGCGGGAGGGAGAGGCAGCCGGGGCAAGGCTAGTAGGTAGGATGAGGAAGTAGAGGGGCTAAAGGCTGCGAGGCATGATGGACTGATGTACACATGATTAGAGTAGACGTTCACTGCGATATGAGAAGTCGACGGAGATAAGAAAGTAGGGACCAGACTGATCTGTCTTTGGAGTCTGTCACAGCCCTTTCATACCTTCCACGCATGTTGGGCGGTAGAATCATCTTAATGCAAGTTTCACCATGTCTCGTTGCGCTACTCCTCTCTATCGCTCTCATCGCTCATTCATCAGCTGGTCTAGAGAAGCCTCTTCGCAGCCAACACGAAGACTCCTTCACTGTCGATTCGCATCAGACCAGAAATGGCCATCGCGTGAATTTTTACAAGGGCTGTCAAGGATGGACCATCAGTGGCGGTAAGAACATGACAGGCCCGTTCCTGTGCCATGGTTTGTTGTGCGCTCAAGACTTTGGGGACCTCGTGTGGTATTGGACGGCACCAGAGAATTTCACGAGGCTTCTTAATGAATCTTATGGTGGAATGCTTCGTGTGAGGTCCGGCTTCTTCGAGATCCAGAGAAGCGAGATGGAGAAGTTCTCGGGCAATGGCAGGGAAAGTGACGTTGCGATCAGGGGGGCATCGGGCGCCTGTATCTTCGCCTTCCAAGTACAGACTTATGGGGAGTACCTGCTGGACCGATCGTTGCCATTGGACGAGAGGTACGAGTGGAAAGATGAAGAGGGCGCAATCGTGTCTCCTTACGTCATCGGAGAGACGCTGAGAGGTGCCGTTGAGCTGAGAATCCGGGGAGGGTACTACCCTGGTGACGAGATCGCCTTCCTCCAATCTGTTGAAATCCTTCTGCCCATTGAACCCGCAGCACCAGAAGCACTCGAACAAGCACGTATCGACGAGGACAGTCCTCGGGTCGAAATAACAGCAGCCGCATCATCGGATGAGCGACAAGCAGCTGCGGGGGAGATCGGAGGAGGCAGGGCGTCTGCAAGCTCAAACTTCGTCGTGGACGCTCGCACGAGCACGCAGGCTACGAGCTTTGCCGTAGCTGGCCGAGCCTCATCCTCAGAGGAGCCAAAGGTCGCACGAAAGCAGAAGAAGTCGGCTGAAGAAACACAACTGCAGGCACAAGGGAACGAATTGAAGAGGATGGGAGGGGAGGCGGAGAGAAGACGGCAAGGCTTGACAACAAGAGAGCGGGCTGAGGCTGCCAGACTATCGACTGCTGATTCTCAGCTCCCCCCTCACATCTGCGGGGACAGGCGCTCGAGCTCCTTCCCCGCAGAGCTCGAGAGGTTCAGTGAGGAGCGGAGGCTCCTGCTGCTCGACTGCATTGTCGGAACCGCCTCTTCCTTTGCTCTGACGAATTCGAGCCTCTTGCACAGCATGGAGGGCAGAGTGGAAACGATCCCTCTCGATAGCATCTCAAGCTTGACAACCAACAGTGAGGGCAAGATCATCTTGCTCGGCCGCTGGGAGGAGGAGGAGGAGGAGGAAGAGCCGGAGACACTCTTGACTGGGCCGCACATCTCCACGTTCAACATCGTCTCCATGGCGAATTTCTTGGAGCGGGTACACGAGGCCATCATGTTTAGTTAGAGGCGAATGTAATGAAAGAATCAATCATCAATCCGAGGTGTAGAATCATTGGCGCCATTTTTGGCGCAGGATGCGGTCACTGGTCTGCCAGCTTCACTGGCATCCCAATGGCATGGCTGCGGTGGTCCCGACGCTGAAATCAATACAAGAGTTGCGAAATAAGACAAGTGAACAAGTGAGACAAGAATAAAAGATGGCAGGTTGCGCCCAGCTTCATTTTGCTGCAAAGGTCGAGAATGTCCAGGTTTGCACACAGTTTAGAGTAGGGCTCCATTGTAAGAAGCTGGCCGTGGCGATATATTAGGCTGATAGACTAACCCCTGCTAGATGTGTGAAACCATCCCCGCCCTTCTGATATGCAAGCTGACGCTTGAAGAAGGCAAACTCCACTGCGGTGGGCCTTGGGGCAGATGAGGCGAAAAGAGCTTTCTATGGGTGCACATGCATGGGCACCTATAGGTGAAGGATAGCTCTTGATCTTGATACCTGCTTTCCTGAGGAGAATGAAAATGTTGTAGGGGAACTATGTGAGCCCATGCATGAACGGACGGGGCTGCTCGGAGCTTTCTCTTCAAGTACAGCTGAAGAGGAGATCAGACGTCTTAGAGGTGCATGTTTTCAGATTTTTCATAGAAATAGTCAGTCTGGATTCATGAAGGAAGTTGGGTTAGACGTATTCAAAGATGATATACCCTCAACGCTCCAGCAGTCTGTGATGCTAACAGACAGTTTCTTGGGTTTCCTTTGGGGAATCCCGCAAGCATTCATAATATACAGGATGAACCTTTAGCGTAGTACACGTAGCTCAAGAAGAACTTGCGCTGGATTTTCTCTATTAAGAGGAAAGCAGTGTGGCAGAAGGAGATCTATCTCTATCTCACTTTATTCGCACACAACAAAAGAGACAAGCCGACAAACACAGGCGTTGCCCACACACAAAAGGGGAGGATGACCCCCTAGTCCTGACGACGATGATCCTATACAGCTTGACTCTCCTGATTGTCCTCGTACTGATTTTAACTTAACTTTGAGTAAAAGCCCAACTCACTGGGGCACAAGGCGCGTTTGGCATTTTACGGCCCTCTTGTGTTGGGGCGCACCATAACTTTTTTGACGGCGAAGTTAACGGGTAGGAGGGACCTATCATAAGAGGGCACCAGGGGGGGGGTAAAGCAGGGGTCCCTCGGAAGTTAACAGATTGATCATACTAACGCAGTTTTTCACTCAATTAAATAAATCCGCAGAGGGAATGATAAAAAGTGCACCTGGAAGGGGGGCGACGACCAAGCATGACCATGCGAGCTTTCCTCCTCCTGACAGCGATCGCGGCAGCATCAGCCGTCACTTGCAACATTGCCAAGAAGAGCGATGTCACCGTAGGTGAGCCTTTCTTTCTCACTTTGATTCGTATACGCTTTGCGATCGTTTGTCAGTCATTCGTGGCTGCAGGAAGCTGCGGAACGAAAACCGTCCAATACGGCAGCTGTCTCTCGCAAAGTGATGCGGACACCCGATTGGCTTCAGAAGTTTCGAGCGTAGCCATCACACCTTCAACCGATGACATGTGTGCAAAGACCCTCACGTACACTTGCTCTCTGTACGGCTTGGTGAGATTTGCAATGCATGATGGATGGTATCATTAGGGGTGATGTTTGTATAGACCGCCAAGGCCACCAAGTGCTCGGACCTGTGCACATTGTATCAATCAATGACCTTAGGCTGCACTTCAGACTCCCAGTGCGCAACGACGTCAACCAAAATTGTGGAGTGCTGCAGCTTTACGAGGTCTGCCATCTCATCCTTGTGCACCGTCGATTCAACCAAGCTTGACTCGATTGTCGCTTCCGTAAAATCCAATGGAGGATGTAGTGAAAATGTCAACTGCACTTCAGCAGCGCCCAGGAACCTTTCGTCGCTTTACATGCCTCTGCTGCTGTCGTTGGTGGGGTATGCGATGACCTCTCGGCTGTGAGGGCTCAGTCACGAGGTGATGGTCGTCGTGACGGGTGTTGAGCTTCAGCGGGGCCCGAGGCAGGGATGCTGAAGGCTCTCAGGCTTTCCTTTCCTGAAGGACTGGCAGGACTGTACTATGATGCCTGGGGCATGCGGAGAAGTAGAGGGAGGGTGAAAGCTGAGTAGAGGCACGTTGTTGAAAGAATAAACCGTCACTCAATGCGTCTGATCTGCCGACCTGGATGCACTATGGACGCTGTCGGGGAGAAGTGTCAGCCGCTGTCTGGCCTTTGATCGCACGTCACAACAAATGAAGCCTTCAATGTACAGAGCTTGTGACTAGCCCAACCAGATGGGCACAGTAATAAACTCGTCTGTATTCTCTTCAAACACAACATAGACAAGTTTTGCGTGGTGATTTTATATTCCCTTGTTGATGCTCTGCCTTGATCCCATTGCTTGGACCTCTGACAAGTGCATCTATCGCCACATGATGAAGATTTCAAGTGCACAACAAGTTGTCAGATGAAAGGTGAAAACTGAATCAAGATGCGGCTTCAAAGCTGGGATGTCCTAAAGATGAAGCTAGATTGGTGACATACATGAGATTGGCATGTATCAAGCAATGCTCGGCTGGTGCAGGAACAGTATGCTATCCTTAGTCAGTATTCATGCCGCAAACACATGAGGAATCACAACCATCCTAGACCTTCCAAGAAAGAAAGAGGTAAAAATCAAAACTAAAACTCTAAAACTTTTAAAGGTCAAGCTACTAAATATCAGTCAATTTTAGGTCAACCCGTCAGTCGGAGCGACGACGTCGGAGAAGAACCCCGGTACACTGCGTGCTATTGTACTGAGTGGAATACCTGCCAGCGACGCAGGCGATGCAAGTGAACGCGCTGGGCCCATCGAGGACCAGGTATCCTGGAACGCAGCTACAGTTCCTGATCGAGGTAGATCCATTGACAGAGACGGAGTGGTCGGGGCATGGTATACAATTGGCCACGTCGTTCCCGCCGAAAGAAGGGAGATAGATCGTCCTTGTATGATCCCAGCGGGCACTGCCTGCAGTACAGCGCCCCGTCCTGATACGCCTTCTCATAGCCAGGGTCGCAGAGGCAGGATTCGAGCCACTTGGACTCCTCGGCGGACACGGAGTGTATAGGACAATTCGAGCACCCGAGGCTGGAGAGGGCGTCCGCGTACGTGTTCTTGGGACATATCGTACAGCTGTAATTCCCCAGGCCCGACCGTTGAACCAGTGGCGTCGTAGGTCTCCGAGTAATACCCCCTCGAGCACTGCACACAGGAGTTCCCAACACGGTAAGGGCTGGTAGGTGTCAGAAGGGCAGGCGCTGCACTGTAACATGCCGCGAGTCCTTGTATCCTTGTAATAGCCCGGGGGGCACCCGGCAGCTACGGTGATTCCGTGAATGCCACCTCTTGCTCCTCTTGCCCGTCCTTTCAACGTCTATCGAAGTGACCATCTCGGTGTACGACTGCGTTTGCGAAGAGGGTCACCGCAAGCTGGGCATCAGCTGTGTTACCTGTGACAATGGCTTCATCTACGACAATCAGTCGATGACCTGTATTGAGTGCGGGCCTTACAGTGGCACCACCGAGCGCCTGGTCCGATACCCAGACTGCCACTGCTTCTCGGGCTGCGGCATCCCCTATGGCTCGAGCTCCTGCGCGGTATGCCCCGCAGACACGTACTGCCCCTTCTCCGAGAGTGACCGATGCCTGTCCTGCCCGGAGAACACAACCACGGAGAAGACGACACAGAACGTCCTTGCTGCCTCCTGCCTGTGTGATATTGGGTACAGCGGTAACAACAGTGGGCCCTACCTCGCATGCCCCACCTCGACCTACAAGAACAGGACGGGCTCCTCAGCCTGTGAGGTATGCCCGAGGGAGACCTACTCACCCATCGCGAGCCCTGCCATCAAGGATTGTGTCTGCATCCCCTGTTACGCCGGGCCCAGTGGGAATCCATGCATCCCCTGCACCAAGAACACGTTCAAGAATGAGTACGGGCCGAACTCCTGCGTCCTCTCCTTTCCTCACTCGCAGTCTGGCATGGCGAGCACCTCTTCCAGCCAGTGCCAGTGCAATACGGATTACAGCGCACCGGACGCCACCTTCTGCGCACCCTGTGACGTGAACACCTACAAGGACTGGGTCGGAGCCGGCAACTGCACTCGCTGCCCGGATGATACGGTGAATGACAACATAGCCTCGGATAGCATATCGCAGTGTGTGTGCCCCGTCGGCCTCTACAGAGTCCCTGACACCTTCACCTGCGACGGTTGCGATGCAGGGAGGTTGTACTCCCTGCCCCGTCAATATGACCTCCCCGGTGGGGAGCCTCTCCTCCCTGAGTTGCAGGTGCAAGGCTGGATTCTTCGCCCCCAACAATGAGTATTGCACCGCCTGCTCCGTAGGCAAGTACAAGGATTACGAAGGGTCGGGATACTGCTCCTCGTGCCTCGACGGTGAGACGACGCTGGACATTGGCAACGCCTCGGACTCCAACTGCCTGTGCATGACCGGTTACTTCCGTGCATTCATTGGGCTGTGTCAGCTCTGCTATGCGGGCACTTACAAGGACATCGTGGGAGACCATGTCTCCAATGCATCTGCATCCCTGGCTTGGAGGGTGGATACCCCGGGGGTTGCGATGCCTGTCAGGAGGGCCAGTACAACGACGACGGCAGGGGCCCGTGTAAGGGCTGCCCGCCTAACATCACCTCGGTAAGGCTGTCGTCAAGGGTGACGGACTGCAAGTGCAAGCCGGGGTACTACGGGTCGAACGGGATGGAGTGCGATTTTGCCCCGCGGACACCTAAACCCTACAAGGCTCTCGTCGGCGATTCTACCGTACATGTATCCCCTGCCTCCCCAACAGCGTGAGCCCCGCCACCTCCACTGCGTCAAGCTCTTGTAAGTGTATCCCTGGGTTCTACGGGCCTGCGGGCGGCCCCTGCCAGTCTTGCGCTGAGGGAAAGTACTCCACCGCCCTGGGACAGACGGCCTGTGCTGCCTGCCCCCTCCATTCCAACTCAACGCAGAACAGCAATTCAGTCGACACTGCACGTGCAACCCCGGCTACTACCGCAGCTCGGGACCATCCTGTGTGGCCTGCCCCCTGCCCCGTTGGGAAGTATGAGCCGATTGCGTATGCAGACCCGGTTACAGCGGGCCCGACGGTGGGCACTGTGAGGCCTGCCCTGTCAATACCTACAAGAGCTCCTACGGGACCTTAATACTTGTGAGGGTATAGTTATATATATACCATTGAATTGACCATTTGTCACCCTCCACTGTGCAGAACGATTGGTCACAGAGGTGGGGGGTAGTCTATGTTAGCATTGCTTCGCAATGCCGCGGCCAGCTGCGCAGGCCTATGCCCGAAATGGTCAAATAATCAAAGAAGGCAGACGAGAATGATAAGGGAAGGTGAGCCTGAGAGATAACAAGGCAGTTGTTCATAGTTGAGTCACGAAGGAAAAGTGTAATACGTCAAAAAAGTCACGATGGAAAAGTGTAATACTCAAAAAGGTCAAATAAGTCAAGTGATATTAAGCTGCGAACAATGTGTGCCAGCCCTGCCCCGCCGAGTACTACCAGGAAACACTGGCCAGCATTGGGCTTGAGTCCTGTAAGCCTTGCCCTCTCTACTCAAACAGCTCCAGCGGCTCGCAGTCCCGGGACTCTTGCTCCTGTCTCAAGGGCTACGAGGGAGGGAGTTCGGGCTCCTACTGCTCCATCTGCCCCGAGGGCAAGTTCAAGGGCTCCGTCGGGATGGATGCCTGCCAGGGCTGCCCCGAAGACACTTTCAACGGTCAGCTGGGTGCAATCTTGCAGTCCCGGTGCATCCCTTGCCCGTCCTCCTCCAGAGCCGTGACCGAAAGCAAGGAGATCTCGGACTGCAAGTGCGAGCCGGGGAACTACAACTACAGCCTCACGTCTCAGTGCCTGCCATGCAACCTCGGCTCCTACAAGCCCCTGCTGGCCAGTTCCGCCTGCACGCCCTGCCCGCCTCTCAGCAACACCACTGATACCAAGAGGGCCGACCTATCCGAGTGCCTGTGCAATGCAGGATACACCTGGGGTGCGGTTTCATACTGCGAGGACGTGGACGAATGCACCTCTATGGCACCCCCCTGCGTGCTCTACGCCGACTGCCACAACACGGTGGGGGCTTACTACTGCACATGCAAGCCCGGCTGGGAGTTCGAGGGGTCCCTTTGTGTTGACGTCAACGAATGCCAAAGATTAACGGCCTTCTGCGACTACGGGGTGTCGACCTGTGAGAACATGTTTGGGTCCTTCAACTGCCCCTGTGTGGCGGGCTATGAGAAGAGCGGGGAGGCCTGCGTGAATACCAACGGTTGCCTGAATGCGAGCTATGTCTGCCAGAACCACACGGACTGTTTCGACACCATCGGGAGCTTCTATTGCCAGTGCAAGGCGGGCTATCGGGAGAGCGCCAAGTAGGGGCTCTGTGAGAACATCAACGAGTGCAACGACCCGGCCTCTTGCGGCCTTCTGACCACCTGCATCGACACGGACGGGAGCTACTCCTGCCTGTGCCCCGATGGTTACGCTCTCAACCTGTATGAAACACCATCGGCAGCTTCGAAGGCACCTGCAACTTCGGCAGGGACGTACTGCGAGTTCACCATCTGCGTGGATTGCGTGCCGGGCTCCTACTGCTACAACGGCACCGTGAACGTCTGCCCACCGCATTCAACATCCCCGGCCACCGCATTCAAACTTCCCCGGCCACCTCCATGACCGATTCCTTCTGCGAGTGCTTCGCCGGGTATTACGCCAAGAGCTTCTTCTCCAAGGTGTGTGAGACCTGTCCCAAGGACTTCTACTGCCGGAACGACACGAAGCGCAGCTGTCCGGACAACAGCTTCAGCCTCGAGGGTGCGGGTTCGATACAGGGCTGTGTCTGCAACCCCGGCTACTACAGCGGGGTAGGGAGGATGGGCCCCGAGTCCTACGAGTATGGGTACTCCGGAAAAACAAACCTGAACTGCCAGCCGTGCACTTCTTGCAGTCGCTGCTTGACAGGAAGCTGCCGATGTCGCAGACGCACTGATCCGAGCCGATGCGGCCCAGATCAACGTAGTCTTGAGCCCCAGGCATGGGACACATGCGGAAGTGCCTCTCACATCCTTGTACTTGCCCTGGGGGCATGCCGAGCACACGTCCCCATCGGGATGATAGCCCAAGTCGCACCGGCAGTCGCTGCGGATGTTGCTCCCCTGCGGCGACTACTGCCCCAGGCCACAGGGCTGGCAGGTGAGCTAGGTGATCTTGGAGGTGGATTCGTTGCAGTAAGCGCAGGGGCCGCCGGGCATGCCGACCATCCCATCCACGCACATGCAGGAGGAAACCGATGTCGAACCGAAGAGGAAGGAGGTTGTGTTTTGTGAGCAGTCATCGCATGCCACGTTCGAATCCACGCCCTTAAAAGACCCGGGAGGGCAGGCCCTGCATGTGTAGGCAACAACTCCCGGCTCGAACCCCGCCTTACAAACACAGGCATCCTGAGAGATCGACGCGATCGGGGATCTCATGCCCCCCGAGCACCCCACACAGGCGGCCGAGCTGATGTTGGGCTTGAACTTGCCGGATTGGCTCGCCGTCTGTCCATCCCCGTGTATCCCGCCTTGCACCTGCAGTCCGTCAGCCTCACGCTCGCCAAGGCGGACATGGTGTTGATGGGGCATTCCAGACGCCCCCCCGCCGGCTCGTAGGTGCCTCGGGGCAGGGCTCGCAGTAGCCGCCAGCGTTCATCCTGTACCCGGCGTAGTCAGGACAATCCGAACAGGTCTCCCTCTCCGACCGGTAAGTCCCGGGCCTGCGGGCCACGCAGTCCTTCCCCACAGCTCCGACGTATCCCGAGAAGCAGCTGCAATTGAGTATGGAGAAGCTTCCGATGAGACATGTGTTGTTCGCAGGGCAAGCCGTACAGCCAATGTCACCGGGACATTGCGGTACTTCCCAGGCTGACAGCAGCCTCTTGGGTTATCTACGATGAGGCAGGAGCGTGACTGAGACATCACGAACAGGGAGCATCAACAAGAGTCGAGGCCGTGCTCACACGAGACAGTGGACGAAAACCAACAAGATGATACCGCAAGGGAAACAGGAAACTGATCGGATGCGGACCCGGGACAGAGTTCGGAGTCCGGGAGGACGAGGGATAAGTTGAGTAAGGAGCGAATGAGTTTTCGTACCACACCCGTGTATTATATCACGTGCATCGTCCCTATCAAGCGAGCTGCATGTTTGCGATCCTTCAGTCATCGGTCGTCCGTGGCAGCGGCGTAAACAAAGACTGTGAGTTGTCATCACGACAAGACTCGGAGGACAGAACCAACTGCATTTGCACGCCAAATGGTGACTCAGGGTGGTAAGTACTCATGAGAACGTCCAATCAAAAAGTTGAGAATGATACCACTGAGACAATCAGGTGCACGCACAAGCAAGATGAAACCAAACAACCACCACGACATTGAAGTTGCAGATCTGTGAGGGGCAGTCAGTGGAAGCAGAGGGAAGAACTCGGCAGGTCGTGTGTGGGTCGGTAACAAGAGAGGGTCAATGACATGTTACAGGATGAGAGCAAGTCATGATCCAAAGAAAGCATGGACAAGTTCACACTCTCTCTCTGATGGAACGTATGCCAGCCGTGCCAGTCAGATAGCGCCGAGTTCACAAAAACTCTCCTGTAAACCAAGACGACTTACGTGTTTCAAGGCGGCATGTAGCATGTGGACGAAGAGGGGGCTTTCCTAGCCGTCTTGCTAAGGTCCTCTCATGTCTGGATGCTTGGGTTTCACATCCTAGCATACAGTCTATCTCTCATGTGCTCCTCAATTCTGGTTTTGTGTGCATTAAACTCGGTCTTGAGCAAAAACTGTCTTGTTACAACTAAGGTCGATGTGATATCTGCGTGACTTTGGACTAGTACAAGTCTAACAAACTTGTATTCCGTCGGTTATGGGCCTTGATTACATGCTCAATCATGTTGATCTTATGTTTGGTTAGTTGAATTGTTTACTGGAGTTTTTTCTTTCTTGGTATCGTTTCGTTACTGTCGAAAATTCATGCAATTCTATCAAGCCCTACACATTCGGATGACTCCTCTCTTCAATCAGGCTCTCTCTCTAGCCGCAAGTTGTTTAGGCCTCTCATTTCAGCCTCAATTTGTTTGATTGATCTTCGAATAGGAAAAACAAGCCTTTCCCAGCCAGATTGGTCGGTCGAATATCTGCTTAACCGTGTGGAAACGCACTTGAAGCTGATTCGATTCTTATTTTTCTTGATCTTTGAGTAGGATCAAATGGAACTACCAGGAGATCTGGCGGAAGTTTTCATGTCATAGAGCTAGGCTGTGGCATGCATAACTGGAGCTACTTCTGGATCGGCGAACAAGGTACTACTGCACAACAATCTTCAAATGCCTTGAAACGGATGTTCCAATCTCGCGGCAGCAATCTCTGGTCACAAGTTCTGTACGGTTCAAAAATTTATCTTTTGGTCTTCAAATGCCGGCGGGCACACTCTCTCTCCCTCTCTATCTCTCTTATCTTCCCTCTCTTCAGACTCTCTTATCCTATACTTTATCTCTCTTCATTGCACCCGCTCGCTATGCATCTCCCTTATCTCTTTACTGCACATCTAATAGCCCTGCATGAAAATCTTCTTCAGAATGGACAATCCTTGAATGGTTATTGCCCACTCAGCATGACTGTGAACTGGACGTTGTATCATCGTATCTTGACTTGGATCTGCTGACATTCTTGTTTGCGTGACTTTCTGACGTCCGATGTAACGTACTATTTCAGAAACTCGGGGGGAGGATGGAACGTATGCCAGCCGTGCCAGCGCCGCCGAGTTCACAAAAACTCTCCTGTAAACCAAGACGACTTACGTGTTTCAAGGCGGCATGTAGCATGTGGACGAAGAGGGGGCTTTCCTAGCCGTCTTGCTAAGGTCCTCTCATGTCTGGATGCTTAGCCCGGGTTTCACCGTGATCCTAGCATACAGTCTATCTCTCATGTGCTCCTCAATTCTGGTTTTGTGTGCATTAAACTCGGTCTTGAGCAAAAACTGTCTTGTTACAACTAAGGTCGATGTGATATCTGCGTGACTTTGGACTAGTACAAGTCTAACAAACTTGTATTCCGTCACTCTCGTGGCCGGAGCACTTGGCAGTCGGACAACTCGGACTCGACTTGAGTTTTTGTCGGTTACCGGGCGGTTATTCGAAAACAAGAAACTCCTCAGTAATGAAGCGAATGGTCCCCAGCATGCGCTGCCATGTGCTTCTTACTTTGGCTGCCGCCGCCACTGCTGCCACGTCTTCGCCCGGTCGTCTTCCTCCTGACCTCCTCCGTCGCCAGACCTTCTTCGAAGAACAAGCACGAAGATGTGTAAAGGCTGAGGACACCTCGGTCTTGATCGGTCTGTACCAAAGAGAAATGGAAGAAATACAGAGACTGGCGGAAGAGAAGGAGAAGCTTGATCAAAGAAGGAGTGAGGAAATACAGAGACTGGTGAAAGACAAGAGGGATGAAGCCAAAAGGCTGGTGAAGGCAATGAAGAAATGTGAGAAACATTACACGAGAAACTTGGCTGATCTCTCGGAAAGAGTGCTTTATGTCGATGCTCAGCGAGTTGCAGTGCTGAACAACAGGGCGTTGATCGAGATTGGCATCCGCAGAATCACCAGCGAACTATCCTTGAGCGCTGGCGTCCGCCGGATTGTAAACAAGCACCTGCTTCAAACAAGCAAACAGGGGAAGATGTTGAGCATGCACTCGAAACGAGTTTGTAAGGAGCTGGGCCAGTACGATTTTCTTACGGATGAGCAGTCAGTGATGAAGGAGCTCACAGTCTTGAGGCACGAGATCTCGAAACCGCTTCATAACCTGGCCCATCAGAAGATCTTGCCTCGCGGGTACTATGTCGGAGGGTCTTCGCCCCTTGCTCAGGCGGTGGCGTGTATGATCACATATCTTCAGAGCGAGGGAAAGATCTCGAAAGTACTGCCGGTGCTTGTGATTGGTGAAGATGGGGAGCCAAGGTGTCGATTGGTGGAAGGCCGTGTGTTACCTTTGTCAGGGAGAAAGGCTTGAGGAAGAACGACAGTCTCATCTGAGGTTGAATGCCTGATTGCATGCCTGTGTTCTAGTGCATCAGATGGAGGGGGGAAGAAGATGTAAGCGAGTAGGGAGATGTTGATAAAGAGCTCGATCCCTTTGATATGCACGAGCCGTCCTTTCCTAACAATACACACCAACTCTACCTCCCACCATTCTTGCCCAAGGATCTGGTTACAGCTATACCAGGACATACGCTCTAGCTTCACTGACCAAGGACGTTGAGAGGCAAGAGGCAGATGGAGCAGAGCGAAGAAAATCTGAGGATGATCCTCATTCCACCACTTGCGGTTGAGCTGAATAGATGCAGCATTTCCAGCACGACACATTTCGATGAAGAGGCTAGCGATGAGAACAAATCTGGGGTAAGATCGGAGGAGGCAGGGCGTCTGCAAGCTCAAACTTCATCGTGGACGCTCGCACGAGCACGCAGGCTACGAGCTTTGCCGTAGCTGGCCGAGCCTCATCCTCAGAGGAGCCAAAGGTCGCACGAAAGCAGAAGAAGTCGGCTGAAGAAACACAACTGCAGGCACAAGGGAACGAATTGAAGAGGATGGGAGGGGAGGCGGAGAGAAGACGGCAAGGCTTGACAACAAGAGAGCGGGCTGAGGCTGCCAGACTATCGACTGCTGATTCTCAGCTCCCCCCTCACATCTGCGGGGACAGGCGCTCGAGCTCCTTCCCCGCAGAGCTCGAGAGGTTCAGTGAGGAGCGGAGGCTCCTGCTGCTCGACTGCATCGTCGGAACCGCCTCTTCCTTTGCTCTGACGAATTCGAGCCTCTTGCACAGCATGGAAGGCAGAGTGGAAACGATCCCTCTCGATAGCATCTCAAGCTTGATAACCAACAGTGAGGGCAAGATCATCTTGCTCGGCCGCTGAGGAGGAGGAAGAGCCGGAGACACTCTTGACTGGGCCGCATATCTCCACGTTCAACATCGTCGCCATGGCGAGTTTCTTGGAGCGGGTACACGAGGCCATCATGTTTAGTTAGAGGCGAATGTAATGAAAGAATCAATCATCAATCCGAGGTGTAGAATCATTGGCACAGGATGCGGCCACTGGTCTGCCAGCTTCACTGGCATCCCAACGGCAGGGCTGCGGTGGTCCCGACGCTGAAATCAATACAAGAGTTGCGAAATAAGACAAGTGAACAAGTGAGACAAGAATAAAAGATGGCAGGTTGCGCCCAGCTGCTTCAAGTTTGCGGGATTGCACTCAGAGTGGCCCAAGGGAGGTTCCAGGGATTCGTCTGGCCCCAAGCTCCGTTACACGTTCCGTTCCACAGGCTCGGGTTGCAGACGACTCTGCCTGCAGCTGGGGCGGCTGGTGGAGGGAGGAACGCGGTGGGAGCCACGGACAGCGAGGGATTTTGCTGCAACATCTTGTCAGGCACGCAGCAAAACTCCAGCTGGAGTTGATTCACCTTGAGCCCCAGAGCCATCACGTTGGACCTCTGAACGTTACGAGCGAGAATCGACTTGCCGACGCCTCCAGGGAAGACAGCGACGCCGCTGGTCATGGCCTGCGGGTTGAGGGGCATGGAGATGCTGGTAGCTCGCACGCCAGGAAGGCACAAGTTGGGCAGGCTGCTGGGGTTGGGATGGACAGCTGAGAGGTTGATGATGGCGCCGTGTTGGAGAATTCCTGGGACTGTGGTGGGAAGGACGAGCTTCTGCAACCCCTCGTTGATGAGCACGTCCTGTGCAGAGAGGTCTGGAGCTTTGCTCGAGCACTCCTCTGCTGGGAAAAAGGCAGACCCTTCCGTCCCCATCGCCGGCCTGATCCCGAGCCTTGATGGCTGAGCCTCCCCTTGCTTGAGCAGTTGCGGCATCTCAGCCACTGATCTCCCAACATCCTGTGATAGAGGCATATTGATCCTTCCAGCCATCTGGCTAGCAAGTGACGCAGCAGGGAACGCACTGGGCTTGGAACCGAGTAAGAGGGGGACAGACGGGTCAAGGACCGGGACTGAGGTCCCATGGGAACCAAACTGACCGACAATCCCGCTCCTCATGCTCGTCTGCAGCTTCGGGGTAACCAGGGGACTTGGGAGAAAATTGCTGAGCAGAGTTCCAGACTGAGGCAACCCTGAGCAGCTCGAGCTCGAGAACGAAGTCGACTGAGGTCGTCCTCCTGTCCTTCCTTCTACAGCGCTTGCCTCCCCGAAGGCACCGAAGTCAGAGCTCTTGTACTTGTCTGACGTGGAAGGTTGGTGCAGGTTTCCGATGATCGGGGAGAGAGGAATGGGGTGACAGAAGTTCGGGTTCTCGTTCTGGATGTCGTTCCCCCACAGGGTCCTCACATCTCCTCTTCCTCCTTGTGAGGACTTGTCTTGCAGCGAGCTCAGTGCGTCCAAGCTGTTGCCTGCCAGGCGTCCGCCCTGCAAGTTCAGGATTTGGGAGGCGAGATTCGGCTGCATCATCATCAAGCTGCTAGTCGCCGCAAAGTTCGTACAGGCTGCCTGCTGGTCCAGGCCATCCCTTCCAAACGAGCGGATGACCTCCTTGTCAAGCTCTGGCTCGGTGCCAGCACTGGACTTGAGCAAGGCAAGGGAGCTCTCGGGAACCCACGGCTCTGGCGAGCATTGTCCATCATACACGTCCTCTATCTTGATGTGCTGGGGAGGACTTCCGCTCTCATGGATGCTCCACATCATCTCGATGCCTCGCTCCAGGTTTCTCACCCATCGCTCAGTGTCAAACAGCGGCTCCGTCATCCGCTTCTGCTCGATCTCTGCTCGGAGCTTCGCAAGAGCTCCCACAGTGCACCAACGGCCGTTGATCAGCTGGCGCGAGCTGTTGCTCACATTCATCATCACCCATGCTTCATACTCCTCCAGACTGTCGGTAATCAACTCCTTACAGCCCAAGGCATTCACGAGGGAGGCTGCGACCCTGCAGGACATCTTCTCTTGCGGAGTCGTCACGATTGGCGTCCCTGACCACAGGATGTCGCACCCAGTCGTGTGCGCGTTGCACTGATACGAGTCAAGGAAGAGGTCTGCGCATACCCCACGTCTGATGTGCTCGCTCTTGTTCGCCACGTCGGTGAAGATGATGCGATCGTCTGCGATGCCTCGGGCTCGAGCCTCCCTCCTGATGCCTGCCTCTCCTGCATGGGGAAAGCGGAGCAGCCACAGCACTGTCTCGGGTAGTTTATGGAGGATGCGACACCAGACGTCGAGGATCAGGGGGTCGATCTTGTACAACTGGTTGAAGTTGCACAGGACGATCTTGTCCTCAGGAATGCCGTATTGCGCTCTGCTGGGCCATGTGCTGGGGTCGAGGACCTCCAAGGAGCTCTGCTTGTGATCGTTGACGAAGTAAGAGTGCGGCATGTGCACGAGCTTCTCGGTGTAGAGACTCTCGAGCGCCAACGGGCTCACGATAGGATCCGTCACAAGGTACTGAATGAAAGATGCTCCCATCGTGCCGCAGAAGCCCATGTACGAGACCTACGTGAACACAAAATCAGCACTAGGAACGTCTGACGATCAGGGGGCCGGGCTGACCTGAACAGGAGATGGTTGGAAGGCGAAGATCTCGTTTCGAGCTCCCTTTGTGTAGCCATTGAGGTTGAAGAGGACATGCACGCGCATCGAGTTGATGAGTCTTGCGATGTCAATGGAGGACATTTGCGACACATCAATGAATCTTTCAACCTGCAGTAAGGGTTAACGACAAGGAGAAAGAGAGAAGCTGGGGGTGGAACCTCGGATGAGATCTTCTTGAAGTACTCCGACTCGTCGTTCTTGGACAGCGAGAAACAGATCACTTCGAACCTCGATCTGTCGTGCATGTCACCCACCCCTCCACCAACAACCCCACCAAGCTTGGAATGCCCGCACGTACCCTCCTGTTGACTACCCATCCTCACAAAGGACCCACCTATGAAATCGATAGCATTCTACAGAGATCTATCTGGGTGTAAAAGAACCCCACCCTACCTCTGTAAGTGACATTCGATGTCGCGACCTCCCATGCCGACCCTACCCTACGTCTTCCACCACCCCACCGGTGTCATACACTCTCCGGGTCAACAAAAAGCCTACAACCCCCCTATTCATGGGTACATGACAGGTCCTCAAGTACCCCCTACCCTCCCCAAATGCATGTTGTCCGTTTCGACCACCCTCACCCCCCTTCCGTGCCCACCATTATTCGCTTCCACCCTACCCCTGTTGTCATCGCCACCATCCTTTACACTCATGCAAACTAAAAATGACTGTTTTTAGCTAACCTATCACTCCCACCCCACAACTGTAGTACCCACCTTAAGCCAATTAACTTGAAAGTTAGTTATTGTCACCGGTGATCATCGCTTCATTCTATTGACCCACCCCTTTTGCAATGACCCACGAGGACCACTACCCTACCAAAAAGATCTGCACCTCAAAAGGACCGTACCCCGCCTACTACACACATCGAAGTTCCACCTTGCCCGGTGAAGGTTCCTCCACCTTTTTTAAGACAAAAAAAATATTAAAATGATTATTAGGGATTGGAACGTAGAAAACATTTTAGACTTCGTTAAAATCATTGCATTTCTGGCTGTATTTTCAATGTTCCATATACATATTCGAAAACAAAAGTTCAAATCCTCGAATATCGTGGCTATATCTCAAAAGAAAAACTATTTTAGATGTTTATACCCTCCACCTGATGCCTCCTCCTGTTTACCACACAAAGGAAACCATCCGGCAGGGTACTGTGGAGTACCCCACGGTTGCCATTCAGAGCTTCCTACACCCCACCCATGAAAATATCCTCACTCAAGCTGGGTCCAGAACCAGTTCAGGACTACCCTACCTGATATTTTGATAAACCCCTCTCCAAGCAACATCCCTGCAGATGCCATCACGGTTTTCACCCAACCCGCCCCGTAATAGAGTTGGACCGGTCCCATGGTGCTCAAATTCGTATTAGAGGTGGGTGGGAGTCAGCGAGAGGGTCAGAGATCCTTCTTTTGAGTTTTAATTTTAAAAAGTCAAAAATTTATTATGAGTAGTACCAAGAAGAACTTCTCGAGGGCTACTGATAGAGGGGTCGGTTGTTTGATTCTCTTTGTCGAACAAAAATTGACTAATGTAGAACTTGATAGTCTATAAATTTCAAATTACATGACATAATTGTTCAATTGTTCTGGAATTGCTGTCCATTCTGCCCCCTTGCACAAAGTTTCGCAGCAGGCTTTGGTCCAAAAAAAACAAAGCGGTCAAAACTGCAGTCAAAGTTTGGTCAAAGTTTGGTCAAACCCAGTCACGTCCGGTCAGGTTCTCTACAATCAATCTGAGGCGAGCCGCGACTCGATAATAAGTAAAGCGACAAGGTCGCGGCCGCTACCGTACCGTACCGTGCAAAAGTACCGGGTACCGTAGTACCGTCCTGTGGCTTGTCAAACCGCCGCGCTGACTCGCGGCCGCCCGGGCCCCGCCCCGGGCCCGCCGTACCCAGCGGCTCAGGGCCGCCGCGACAGGCTCCGCATGACCGTGACTGAGTCAGAGTCACGGCCCGTGACGCGGCCACGGTGCCACGGTGCCACCGTGGGCAAGGCATGGCATGGAATTTAAAGCTCAGCCTGATACATGATAAGCCTTCACTGATACATAGGTGTTGTGTTATGCTGCGAATTCTAGTGAATTTCGTCTTCTCCCCCCAGGCCTCGAAAGTTGCTGCTAGTGTGAAAAACTTCGGAAGTCAAGCCTTCCGAATTTCAGTGCGCAGGTCCGAGGTTCCTGCCATGGTGCCTAGTCCAAGGTTGCCGTGACAGTGTCTGTGATCTCGTTCTTGGTCTCTCGTTCCACTGTGTGTAATGCAATGCTTCACTGTCGACTCTTGCTTTCTTGATACTCTTCTTCTTTTGCTTTGGAACTCCCAATGTCTGCGCAGACAAGACAATCAGTATCAGTAGAGAAGGTCTGAATTTTAAGGAACAATGCAAATTACCGACAAGAACTCAGCAAAGGCGTTCGATTTGAACGAGATATCTTTGAAAGTGTACTGTAGAATGCTGAAAACTGTTCTTTCGTCCTTCAAAAACAGAAACGTCAATGTGACACTCGGGAATAAAACAGAGAGAGAGAGAGAGAGAGAGAGAGAGAGAGAGAGAGAGGGAGGGAGAGAGAGAGAGAGAGGGAGGGAGGGAGGGAGAGAGGGAGGGAGGGAGGGAGGGAGGGAGAGAGAGAGAGAGAGAGAGAGAGAGAGAGAGAGGGAGAGAGGGAGAGGGAGAGAGAGAGAGCACGAAGAAAGACAAGCAAAAGAAACTCCAACTACTACATGGTCAGTCTGCTCACCAGCCTTCCAAGGTAGCAATCGTGGTTCGAGCCCAACCTCACATGCAACGCCATGCTGACGGCAAGCGAGTAATCCTCCAGCGCCCAGAGATGTGTATCGAGATACTTGACGCCCTCATCGTCTAGCTGAGGTTTCCTTCTCGCAATTGTCCTCAGCATCCGAGGGACAGAATTTTTCACGAAATAGTGACAGGCTTCTACTTGACTGCTGAGCCGGATACATGTCACGATGGTGAGAGCGAGATCGAGCTCAGTGACAAGGGCATGACTCTGGCTCGAGTAGCAAGAAGTCTTCTTCTGCTTAATCCAGGCCTGCAACAAGGACACAAGAAGCTCCAACAGCAGTGCATCGGACGCCAGAACCTCTGCCGTTCTCTTGTTGATGGTAAGGAGAGCGAGGACAGTGAGAGGGCTGGGTAGCTGCCAGTTGATACTCGCCCATGTGCGGTTGTTCAGAGCTCTGCCCAAGATGATGACGATGGTCGAGAGGACACTCTTTTGAGCCTGCAGCTCCCTCAGCTCCTCAAAGACGCTCAGGCGCGTCAACGCCATGAGGGCAGTTGCCTTCATCGAGTATACCGACATATCTGTAACTGAAGAATTCACATCTGGGCAACCTACTGGCCATTCCAGCGCAGGACGCAGAACCTCCTCGATGACGTTTGTCTCCCGCATAGCGCACGCTGCCTTCTCGCACTTGCTCAGGTTACCAAACACGCCCACCGCTGTCCGGAGCACGTCTGGTTTGCTATTCTTGAACAGAGATTTCAGGCATTCGATCGATCCTGGGCATGCAACAATGAGCTCCGCTGCCTCACGGCTGTTAGCTGCGCAGTTGCTCAGCACGAGTGCTGCCTCCTCGCGGGTATCGAGCGACACGCAGTCTCCACTCTCATCATCATCTATCTCGATATCCTGTGTTGAGGCCTCCTGTGAATCGTGTCCAAAACCACCTGCTTCAATGATATGCAAGAGAGTCTGAAGCATTCCCGGGGTCTTGGCTATCGCTAAACTGTCAAGGGACGGGGTCAACACATCTGGTCAGCATGAGGCCATCCTTCACCTGTTGGAAGAGTTGCTGAAAGCTATATTGCTCAACGCTCCACACGCTTCTTGCTGGCATCTATCGACAGCAATCAAATGCGAATCTGATCTCGTCTTGAGCGCTTCTAGCAGCCCGGTAATGATGCCGTCCACGCTTCCGATGTTGATCTTATTCACTTCGGAGCGATAGGCAAGATTGACCAGCACAGCACAGCTCCACAGTTTTGCTTCTGCACTACCAAAGTTGAGGAAATGAACGAGAGCCCTCAGAATCTGGAACAAAACAGAACTGAATTTCAGCAGAAGCATCCAAACAAGTGTGATCTTACCTTCTCGTTACTTCCGATCTCAAGCTGCAGCTCTGGGAACTGTTCGGAAAGACCATGAAGGTTCTTGAGGACGCTAATCTCACTTTGATCTCCCTCGCTCTCATACGAAGAATCCGAAACTCTGCAAAACATGTGAGAGAAAATGCGGCATTGCTTGGGCGTACATCAAATTCAGATGATCTGCAATATGAGACACAACCCATGATCCAGACTGCAAGGCTCAAAGTTACAGGTCGCTCTTGCACAAAGACGAAAGCCAATAATAAGCGCACCATCTTCGCACTCCAGCTTCCAGCTCCACCGACTCGATCTGCGAGCTCCGTTGCCCCTTCAGCTGCGACTTCGAGTGATAGTAGAAACCAACTGGAATCACGGATAATCAGATTTTCATCGAACAAAACGAACATGATTCTATTCAAGCTATTCAAGCTCTATGTGGTATGAAGAAATCATCGACAGAAATGATGAACATGTGATTGCAGACAGTCACACATCTCCCCGTGAGTGTCACACATCTCCCCGTGAGTTTGCTCGCTGGAATATGTTTTTTGATCCTTAGTAATTTCACACTTTCCGCCTCTAGACTCCCATCATCCTGAATCACAATCTGATTCCCGAATCAAATGTTTGGGCATCTACTTCTCTTCTCCCTGTCTCTACTGCCTCTGCTGCGGATAACATCACCACCCTTCATATTCCCTCTATCATCCCACTGTCATTCTTCGACCAGCCCTATCATCATCTCATCCTGCTACCGTCTTCCCTCTGCTGCTGCTTTCGCGTCTCCCATCCCCCACATGAAGAACCAAGTTGCATCTATCACCATCGGCGTGAATTTTAAAACTGTTTTAATGCTTTAAAAATGTTGTACAAGAGTGGTAGGAAATGCTTGTTGCTCGACCTGGGGTGGCTGGTTGCCTTCACCCCCTTCTTTGAGCTAAAATTTGCTCCAAAGAACCGGGTATATTCTGCTCATCGAGCAGCACTGGGGAAGAGTGTGGGTAGGGTGGGTACAATCGTATTAGGGAGAGGTTCATAACCTGATTTAATCGTAGCTCTCCCCGAGGTTTCGGGGCCGCTAGTTGTCATACCTGGCGTTGCTCAGTCAGCAAAATTACTTAGCCAGCAGAATGGGGCCAAGATGAATCGAGTCGTAGAGGAGATGAAGTAGGGAAGAGAGGAGAGGAGAGGAGAGGAGAACATGCGGACTGAAAGATGCTGATGTGCTTGAGAACCGTGCTGACCCTGTTGCTCTTGATTGCTGACGTAGCGAGGGAGGTGGTGGGTGACGAAGGTACACGAAGTGGGAGAACGGGTGTTACCGGTGCCTGTACGAGGGAGAAGCTGATTGAGAGGAGAAGGAACAAGAGGATGGACGTGGAAGAAGAAAAGCCCATTATTTTAGCATTGCCGGGGCCGCTGTTTCCGCCCATCGACTTCGACCATGCTTCTGAGGAGGAAGGACCGAAGAGGGGCAGGTGAGACGAAGAATCGAAAGTTCCAACGAGCTAAAGTTACATCTTAAAGTGGAACGATCAAGAAACGATTCTCTATCGCAGGGAGAAATATGTAAGTTGGGTCGTGGGGCCCTTTTCACTTGCTACTTGTTGTGACTCTGTCGTGATCCTGGGATTTTGATGCAGGTATCTGAAAGGGGAGCCTCATGTAGACTCGTCCGATCATGCTGAGCAGACAGCGGGCTCTATTTGGGATTGTAAGGGAGACTCCGATGTTTCCTTGTTAGATGAAACTTTTCCTACAGGCTCTCTTGTTCTCGCAAAATATCTGGAAAAGCATTCTCAGAGATACTTGAAAGTAAGTTGTCTCTCGTGATACTTGACTTGACGACATGCAAGGATCACCATGTGTTGGAGCTCGGGTCTGGGCAGGTACACTCTGAAAGGACTATCGCTTGTTTTTGAAGAGTTCAATTCAAAGGGAGTGGTTGGAATAGCTTGCGGGCTAGCTGGAGCGAAGAAAGTCACCTTGAGTGACGTCAACGCTGCGCTACACTGCCTGCGTGACAACGCAGTTCTGAATGAACTCGAGGTCAGCGTCACTCCTTGGACAGAGCTCTTCCATCAGCTCTTGGTCTGACTCGACCATGGTGAACAGAGTGTCGTCAAGGTGAAGGAGCTGGACTGGCTTCGAGCTCACGATCATGTCCGGGACCTCGAGCCAGCAGGTGGAAACAAGTTTTCAATGTCATCTCTATAGTCTGACGCCCGTTTTTTCTTGAAGATCTTATCGTTGCTGCCGATGTCGTCTGGATTGATCAGCTTGTGGGGCCGTTTGTCAAGACTCTGACACTGGCATTTGAAGGTTCGATTGAAGTTCAATAGGGTTTCAGCCTTGATGTTGGATGAACTGTGTAGCGTCAAAGGCAGTGTTGAAGGAGGTGCATGTCATCTTGTGCCACAAGACACGATCAAATCACACAGGTATGCTTGAACTCTTGCGAGGATAAAGTTAAGCGTTGGAAACGAAAGATAACATTCTGTTTGAACTCCTGCGAGAATCGAACTTTTCCTGGAAAGAGGTGCGGAAGACGTTCAAAACATGTTGCTGTTTGATTTCCATGTCCTTTCAGGAACCTATTGAAAACTGCCATGAGGAGTATAGGAGCAGCGAAATCAGAATATTTCATATTTTTCGTAGTTGAAAAACTTCATTGTAGAGATTCTATTTTTTCGAAGTTCTTCCATGCACATCTATGTATGCATGTGGCAACACCTCGTTAAAACACTGATGTCAAGAGCAAATGCAACTAGGCTCATCTGGAATCATGAAAATCAACGCATGGGGCCTTGGCGCAATGGTGATCGAACTTCTCCCAGGGAAGGATGTCAGAGGTCTACCAAATGAAGTCAGCATGGTAGAAGCCGAGATTCAAGATGTCTTGCCTCAGCGGCATCAGAGGTGAATTTTGTCACGCAGTTCTTGCCGTCCACGGGGGAGCAAAAAGACGCAGATAGAAGGGCGAACATGCTTCTGACCAAGCAAATCACAAAGATGGTCAGGGAATATGACCAGGTTGTAAGTTTCATCACAGCAGTATGTAGCATTCCCCTCAACAACCATCTTGAAAGCAACGAATATCACTGAATCTAAATCGAGCCGAACAATCATGTGCCAATCATCTTTTCTCCTCCACGTGTATCAGACAGACAGCAACTGACGGATATCAGCCATCCTCAGCACCCTCTTGATCTGCTTATCTCTGCTACTCATTGTCTACTCTCTTCTTGTCTCTGCCATTCTATGTCTACCCCTCCCTCTGTCTTCCGCAGTACAGACAGATGACCATATCCCTGGCGAGTCTCCAGTCTATTTGCGGTACAGCATAGCCCTCGTCCCCGCTGCGGACCGTCGGACTGGGGCGGGCCCGCTGCCGGGCCACCCGTGCCAGTGACTACCGTACGGTACGGGCCGCGCCATGCCGCACGGATCAGCCGCCCCAGGGGCCGCTATCCGAGTGACTAGGCTAGACTCCGAACTTGAACGGAACTTCAAAAAAGAAACTTCCGGGCGCCTGGAGAATCATGGCACGGCTGTACTATCGCAAAGTAGATTCCGTACCGTCTCTCGCGTCCGAGTTCCGACGCCGCCGGGAGTGAAGCAGTGCTCAAGCCTGAGCCTAGTCATACCACTTGCATACGGTGATCGCTGCCGCCCGTGCCGCTGAGGCTCCGCCGGAGGCTCGCGCGGCACTACAGGCTACTGCCGCATCAGTGACAGGCTCCGAGGCTCTGTGCCAATTCATTGTAACGGTCTGTAACGGACTTCCAACGGACTCGCCATGTTGCCCAGGCTAGAGCCGCTGGTGTCGAGCGGGAGAATGAGCATTGTGCGGGGGGGAGGTCTGGACGAGGCCTCGATGAAGTCCATTCTTAGCACAGCGCGCGAGAAGTTCAATGAGGGCTTCTCCTCTCTCAGCATGTCGCGGAGTTTCAGATCGGGCGATCAACTATATGACAGTTCGGGCGGAACAGCAAGGGAAGAAGATGAGGAGGAGGAGCGGAGACTGGCTGATGACATGGTGAGGCCTTCGACTGCAGGACGATATGGGCTCCCACAAAGATGCAGCTCGGTCCTGGGCCTCCATTCACCTGACCGTGATGTGTATGGAACACTGCGTAGCTCGGGACAGACGAAGCCGGTTCTTGACTATGTGGATCTAGAATGCTTGCTGCAGGAGAAGTTGAAGGAAGTTAAGGTGCAGATGCCCAAATCAAGGAAAGGAAGAAGGAAAAGAGAGCACGTGACAGCTTTGGATGAGAGCGATGAAGCATGCGGAAACGATGCCCATCGCGATGGAAGGGACGTGGATGTATTGGAATACTCTAAGAGGATCCAAGAAGCCTCTTTCTTGTTCAGCCTCTGCCAGCAGGAAATTCAATTGCAAGTTGATATATCATGCCCAGAGCGATCCCGACTCACAGACAAGACACTCGAATTCTTCTCCACGGTTTTGCACTGCCTCACAAAACCTTATCACGATGCTTGTGAAGAACTTGGTACTCTGAGGAAACAAAGGTAAGTGCTCATGTACAGCTTGATATCAAGAAATTCAGTTGAAGTGATATGTGTAGGATGGGGGAGAAGAATCATATGAAGAAAGTCTTGGACGACATGTATTCATGGACCAAGGAAAATCATTCACGATTCAACCACGATATTTGGGAGCAAGTCTGTTGCTGCAAGTCTCATGAAGCTTGGCTTGACAACTGTTCCAACGAGATTGTATCAGAAGAAAGTTATGAATTTGATACATTCATGGATCATGTTCAGAGTATGTGGAATTTCATGAAATGCACATCAATATCTTTGGTTCAGTTACAGGTAGTTTTGTATCCTTGTTATGGTCGTTTTCAAGGTTTTGAGTTCTCATTTCTCTTGTTCTCAAATCAGGAGAAGTACCATGCCCTTCAAGATGACTCTGTTTCCAAGAAGACATACTTCGCGCTTGAGCATGCTCAGAGTGAATCGCAGAAGCAGATCGCTGATTTGCAGGTTTCTGACACGCAAACCTTGCTCTACCTGTTTTGATCTGCTATTTTTGTCGATCAGAATCAACTGAATGAGTTGAAGATCTCAAACCAGTCAAAATTGTTAGAAATGAGTGAGACAGACAAGATTGCTCGACAAAGAATCTCACAGCTGGAAAACGAAATTGAGTCGAGGGAAAAGCAGGTGGTGATTTGTTTTTCCTTGACTGTATCAACGGTTCTGACTTCCCCTGCAGGCACAATTATCACACAAGGAATCCTCTGTAAAAATTTCAGAACTACAACTGCAAATTGAGGTAAACAGAAAGTCTCTCTGACCTCCGTGTGACATCAGCTCATCCTTGAAGAAATATTGAAACTATCAACAGGAATTGGCAAAAGAACAAGATAGTCTGCGAGCTAGATTACTGCAGCAGAAGGTTTTGTGATAGCAGCAAAGAGCAGCCCTTTGACTTTGACTTGTGGGCAGGGAGAGATGGATCAACAGCTGAAGGAGAATGCATCGCTCAAGGAATCCTTGAGTACCTTTGAAGTTCGTTCGTTTCCAGCCTCGTCCTTTCTTACAGACCTTTGTTTGCAGGTCAAACTGAAAGAGGCGAACGCCAAAATTCTGGATTTGACCAACGTGACTTCAATGCTCCCGAAAGCTGTTCTCTCTCTGATGCCAACATCTGCAGACTGGAGTTGTCTTGACTCCTCGACCATCTTGGAACTCGTTTGACTGTTGCAAGACTCTCGGAGGGACTTCTTCGGAGATTGCAGGCGCTGTATGTGCCCAGCTCGAATCAAGCACAAAGAGGCTGGAAGAGCTCGGGCAGGAGCACTCTTCCAGCTTGCTCGTGAATGGTAGCATGAGGAAATGGATGTGATGGCGAAGATGATGTTTGACGCAGAGAACTTGCAACGAGAAGTAGCGCAAGAAAGGACCCGTCTGTCCGAGGCAACCAACAAGGTCCAAGAGCTAAAATCCAAGCTTGACTCCATCGAGAACCCTAAGCGCGCCAACGCATCCTGTGACCCGCCTGCTGCTCCTGGCGGCCTCGTTGTGACGTCACAGTTATGCAGGCGGATGTCCCGAGCGACGGGAAGGGTTTGTCATGGTGCCTCTTTCAGAGTATCTTGCGAGCTACCTCTCGAAGAGGTTCGGGCTCAAAGGTAAAACCTCTTCTGCTCTGCTCTTCACGGAGATCTAAACGCAATCCAGGAGAGATGGCGTCATGGGAAGTGGAGAGGATGCAGAATGAGATGGGTTGGGTGCTGGAGGCGGAGGTGAAGTAGTCGATGCTAAGGAGCTGCCGCTGAAAATGTGCTGCAGGTTGGGATGCGGAGCGAGGTTTGAGCTTGCTCGCCTCGTCTATTCTCTAGCTCACAGCCCGGCTGTGATGATCGCCTTCGAACTTCACTGTGTACTTGTAAATGAATGTAGAGTATCGGTCATCATTGTGGAGCACCCTTAGAGTCTGAGCGACCCGGAGGTGCCTGATACTGACTTGAGAGCCGTTCCGAGGCAGGTGACCCCCGCCCGTCGGGCCCGGCCTCAGGCCTGGCACTCCGAACAGTCACTGAGTCGGAGTGTTGGCTATTTTTGTTCTTGTCTTTTACAGACATTAGGGAGAAAAAAATCTGTTTGACAACTCGCGACTGTTCTGATTCAGGGGGTCATTTGTTTGAGTAAGGGGTAGTAATGAGGGGAAATACCGGGTACCGGGTAGTTTACCGTAGGAGTTCGTATGTGAAGGTAACCTCTCTAGGACACCGTTTCTAGTCAAATGTCCTAGGAAGTATAATAAGACCTTCCCTAGCGGGCTCATAGTGCTTTCCCGGTCATGCAGTTTGACAAGAGGAGAGCAGTGAGCTGACATAGGGGAGAAGGTGAGGGGGCGAGTGAAGCGGAGAGCACGTGATGTGAGAGGAGGAGGAGGAGGAGGAGAGAACTTGGAAGAGGAGGGGCGGAAGACGTTCCTGGTTCTCTCGCTACTGAATCGATGATTGGAGTATTTGAACTTTGAAGAGAGATTCAACATGTCTTCGCTGAGGAGTTCAGTTTGGGTCGCGTCAACAGACGGAAGATGGTTGGAGGCGACCCTGGTGAACACCTCTGAGGACAAGTTCACAGTCCGCTTCAAGGATGGCGAGAAAGTGTACTCCAAGGATAAACACAACTTCTACCTCAAAAATCCGCCAGAAGTCGAAGGAGCAGATGATTTCTTGACGCTGCCGAACTTGGACGAGCCCAACATCCTGCATTCTCTTCGTGTAAGGTACGGCAGAGGTCATGTGTACTCATACACGGGAAAGATCCTTATCGCTGTCAACCCTTGGAAACGGGTAAATATCTATTCGCCGGATGTCATGCAGAAATATGTCAGAGGGCAGACTGAAAGCCCTCACATCTTTGCAGTGGCCGTGAATGCTTACAGGTGAAAAGTTTCTGTGCTAGAGCTGAACACTTTTGACATGGTGTGATCAGGTCCATGCTGAACGATCTCAATTCTCAGTGTGTGCTCATATCCGGTGAAAGCGGCTCCGGGAAGACAGAGAGTACCAAGTACGTCCTCAGCGTGCTGACAGTCATAGGAGTGAGCAGCCAAGGGAACAACAACCAAAGACCGACGGTAGCAGATCAAATCATGCTCGGGAATCCAGTGCTAGAGTCATTCGGAAACGCCAAGACCCTTCGGAATCACAACTCGTCTCGTTTCGGCAAGTGGATAGAAGTAGTGTTCGATGGCTCCGTGATCGCCGGGGCTGGTATCAAGACATACCTCCTGGAGAAGTCTCGAGTGGTGGATCAGATCGAGGGGGAGAGGAACTACCACATCTTCTACGAGTGTTGTGCAGCCGTTGCCTCTGGCGTCACCTGTCTGAAGGACTTGGGGCTCGATGCTGCTCACAGCTTTGCGTGTACTCGGACGTGTACAGAGGTAGAGTCAAGAGACGATCTTGCTGAGTTCAAGGAAACAAAGGGTACTCTCTCCCTCTCTAGAGCAGACTCATCGTTGACTGTCGTTCCATGTTCACAGCGGCTATGGACAAGATGGGTTTCAAGGATAGCGATCAAAGGAGCATTTTCGCAGCCATCGCTGCCATAATGCACCTGAGCAACGTGGAGTTTGGAGAAGAGATCGACTGGGATGGAAACTCGGTGGCAACGCTGGACGTGAAGCATCCCTCGATAGTGCAGGCAGCCAAACTCCTCAAGGTGACAAGCTTCTTGTTTCTCTCCGGCTCCCTTGATTTACGAGTTCGAAGGTGGCAGTTCCCGACCTGCAGGAGGGCCTGTGTACTCGCATCATCACCACAGGGAGAGAGTCGATGAGGAAACCAGAGACAAAGTCAAACGCCACCCTGTGCCTTCAGGCTCTTTGCAAGGCGCTCTACGAGTATGCGTCGAGTGTGGGTGAGGTGCAGTTTGTGACATATTTCCTGCAGCAACATCTTCAATCACATCGTCAAGCTGGTCAATGCGGCCATGGGTGGCCATGTGACTGAGTCAGGTGGCAGCAGGAAGAACAAGCAGGTAGGGGCTAGTCGGACCCTCTCGGCTCATCTGACTTTTGTGCTAGATGGTTGCTGTCTTGGATATCTTCGGCTTCGAGTCTTTCGCCAAGAATCGCTTCGAGCAGCTCTGCATCAACCACGCAAACGAGAAGCTTCAGCTTCACTTCAACGGCTACTCCTTCCTCCAGGTGCCTCAACCCTCCTCCAACTGCAGCCTTGCTGGCCTCGTGACTTCTCCTGGCAGGAGCGAAAGCTGATGGAGAGCGAAGGGCTCGAGATCTCTAAGTCGGACTTCAAGGACAACTCAGCTTGCATCGCCCTGCTGGAGGAATCCTGGGGGTTTCAAGCCACTCTGGATGACGTGTGCAAGATGCCCAAGGGAGACGACCTCGTCCTCCTCGACCGTCTGAGCAGCGAGAAAAGTCTGAAGGAGAGCGCCTACCTGGTGATACCCAAGAAGAAGGATGGTACTTTCATCATCCGGCACTATGCTGGAGACGTCAAGTACACGGCCGACGGATTCTGCGAGCGTAACAAGGACCTGCTGCCGGGTAGCGCGATCGAGCTTATGAAGTCATCCAAGGACGAGCTTTTCTCCTCCATATTCGACAAGATCGCCAAGGAGCAGGAAGGAGGGGACGGGGCTAAGGGGAGAGGCGGGGGAGGGAAGGGAAAGCAGAGCAAGAGCGTGAGCGCCAAGTTCAAGAACGACCTGTCGGAACTTATGGGGTCCATCAACGCCTCGGGCCCTCACTTTGTCCGGTGTGTCAACCCCAACTCGTCGAAGCTGGCGGAAGTTTTCGAGGAGGAGAAGGCGGTGGAGCAGCTGAGGTTCGGGGGGGTGATCGAGGCTGTGAGGATGGCACGTGAGAGCTTTCCCTCCCGTTTCACCCACGAAGAGTTTTCGAACCTCTACGGGCCCTTCCTCTGCCCCGACATGGCGGACAGCCTGCCGGCCAAGTCCAAGTGCCTCGCATGCCTCAAGGCTATGGAGACGGACCCGGGACTCTTCAGGATCGGGAGAACTCTCGTCCTCATGAAGAGGGAGGTCGTCGACGAAGCTGAGAAACGACGAGCTGCCCTGCTGTGGAGCCGCGCCGTTTCCATCCAGTGCTGCCTGAGAAGGAGGATCGCGAGGGATGACCTGCAGCAGCACCGGAGGAAGAGGAACGCAAAAGTGTTGCAGGCCTCTGCCCGGCGGGTTCTAGTTCGACTCAAGTACGTCAGGATGGTCAAGATCGCAAGGGCGGCAGAGGAAGCGAGGAAGGCGAGCGAGAAGGCCCACAAAGACAAGCAAGAGGCAGAGAGGGCAGCAGCGGCGGCAGCAGCTGCAGCGGCGGCGGAGGCTGAGGAGAGGGCGAGGCAGGAGGAGGAGGAGGAAAGGATGCGTGCGGTCCAGAATAGCAAGTTTCTATCGCTAGCTGGTGTGGGAGCTCGGGAGGGAATGGAAGAGGATAGGACGGAAACTCCCCGTACCCTGACCCCCCGCACGGACACGCCGAGGACGGTGCAGTCGGAGGGTTCGGAGGACACCGAGGCCCCGTCGATCGCCTCCAACGACGAGCTGGGAATGCGGGAGAGGCTGCTGGGGATGGGGATAGGAGAAGACTCAGTACGGCACATGATGTGGATTAAGGAGGCCTCGGGCCCCGGTGGGCCGGAGGCCGTAGACGCGTCGCCTCCCACCTTCTTCAAGGCTGAGCTTCCTATCATCGACGGGCTCGTCCCGCTCAAGGACGGGAGGGTCCACTGGGCGACGCTGCCGGTGCTGACGCGAGCTGGGCAGGAGCAGAAGCTCGACCCGATCCTGGAGCTGATCAATTGCAGGGAGAGGGAGCTGAAGCGAGTGCTGCTGTGGAGCCGGAGGCAGCTGCACAAGGAGGCGCTTGCTCGCCAGCTGCGCTACTCCATCTACGAGGCTGAGTGGATGGAGACGCTATGGGGGGAGGCAGGTGGGGGCGATGGAGGTTGGGAGGGGGCGAGGAGGAGGCAGGAGGGGCCCAGCAAGTACCAGTTGTTCTACTTTGCGGGGGATGCGGTGGTGCTGAGGAAGAGCTGGGCGAGGATGACGGACCGGCAGAAGAGGGAGCACATCCAGTTCGATCGTGGGATGCTGCAGCGGGACCTGATGGAGTCGCTGGTCCAGGGGTTCGGCTTTGCTCCTCGCTTCCTCGCAGCCTCGCACTCCTTCCTCACAGCGCGAGAGACGTACAAGCTCGGGTCAAGCATCCAGCGCTACTTCGTGCGGTGGGCGGAGGGGAAGGAGGCGGACGGGGCAGAGGAGAGGGCGAGCAGGGGAGGGAAGCGGAGGATCTGCATAGCTGTCAACATGGAGGGCGTCATGTCAAAAGTCCCCGAGGAATTTCATCGCCCAGGACCGGCCCAGCCCTTCCTCGAGCGAATCGTCTCCCCCGCGATGTTCACCGGGCGCCCCTTCCTCGGGGGAGAGGAGCGAGTCCTGTCGGCGAATCAGCTGCGGGTGGTGCGGGCGGACAAGTCAGGTCCCTACCAGCGCCGCCTCTTCGCCTGCAGGTTCACTCAAGCTGTCCTCGCCTTCCTCCTCCAGAGGCTGCAGCAGACGGCAGGATGCAAGGTAGTCGCCGGGGAGCCGCTCTGTGCCGTGTGCCAGGAGGAGGCGAGCTTCTTCTGCTCCTCTTGCCGCGTCCTCCCCCTCTGCTCCGCCACCTGCGCGCAGGTCGGCATGGAGCGACATGCTCCCTACTGCGAGGCCCAGGGCTCCATGTGCGATCGGCAGGACGAGAACCTCGTCGAGTTTCGCTGCGTCGGGGTAGCAGACGGCATGACCGTCTGCCACGAGTACCTTCCGCTCACCCGCCTCGCTCGGGGAAAACCCCAGCAAGGGCCCACCTCGAAGCTGGGAAGCGCGTCGGGGCTGGCCATGAAGCCGAGGCCGCTGCCTCCCGCCTTCCTCGACGACGAGCCTCCAGACCGACAGGTCAGCAACCCTCCCTCCATGCGCAGATCCTTCGCGGCCTCCTCCAGCTACCCCCGGCCTGTCAGCGCGAGCGTCGAGAACATGGGAGGAGGCGTATGGGGGGGCTTGTCAACGTCCAAGACTCCACCTGACGGTCCAGCTGCCGGAGGCTTCCTGTTCGATCCTAGCGGTGAGGGGATCTTCACGCACAAGCCGAGCATCAAGCAGCTGCTGGAAGAGACGCCGCCCGTGCTTGATAGTGAGATACCCCCCCTCCCTCTTCCTATCTTCTCCTTCCTCCCTCCTTTTCCTCCCCCCTTTCTCCTTGCTCCTGACATGCTGCAGGCACCATGACGTTCGGAGACGCGGTTGCTCGTCCCCCCTCGACACACGCGCGGAACAGCGCGAAGCTGATGATGGGAGCAAGCGAGACGAACAGCGGCTCCTGGATGTGAAGGAGAGGAGGGAAAAGTCAGGAGGAAGCTCGAGAGGGAAGTAGAAGAGGGAGGAGGAGGAGGAAGGAGGAGGAGGGACGGAGGAAGGGAAGCGTTCTGAGGGAGGAGACAAGGGAGGGAGAGGAAGCGCAAGAGAAGCACAGGGGGTGAGGGAGGACAAGGAGGGCATGTAATCATGTGTAAAGTAAAAGAATGTCTGATAACCAGGAAGCATCTTTCTCCTCGAAATTTCTTCTTTCTCACCTTCCCTCCCCTTCTCCTTCCTCCTCTTCTACCTCTCCGTCTCCCATCTGTCATTCTCCTCTCCTTTCTTCTACTCCTCTTTCTCCCCCTCCTCCTCCCGATCCGCCTCCCACCCTTCTCTTCATCGTTCCCACCCTCTCCATCATCGCTTCAATGCATCTTTGAGAAAACAGATTTTCTTGTCTTCTTCTGATTTTTCCATCACATTCCCCGCCTATTCTCACTCTCATTCTGCTTCCCCCTCCCCCCACCACCCCAGCTCGAAGATCGCATTCAGAACATCTTCTCTACTCGTTGCACAGAAAAAAACTCAAACTCCTCTTGTCAAAGTTTATTGCTGATCAGCGTTCTTGATAAGTGGGACATATGTCGGGTTGTACATCTTGGAAGAAAGAATTTCCTCGAGGTGAGGGATGTCAGTGCTGTCGTAAGCTTTCGAGCTGTACGCGAATGTTAGTTTGTTGTCATGTCAACGAGGAAAAAAATGTGTTGAGATGAGATGAGATGAGATGAGATGAGATGAGATGAGATGAGATGAGATGAGATGAGATGAGATGAGATGAGATGAGATGATAATGCAAGAGCTGAGAGTAAATATTAAGATGAAGTTGGTTTTTCTCACAGTCCGCTCTCAATGCCTTTCTTGCCGACAGCCACGGCAACCTGAACGCAAAATCACGAAGCCGAAAACAATCAAGCAGGAGCGAGAATGAGAAGTCAAGATGGAGAAGGAAAAGCGTGGAAGGCAGGGGAGAGGAGGAAGACAGGAGGAGGAGGAAGACAGGAGGAGGAGGAAGAGCAGCTGCAGCAGCAGCAGCAGGAAGTAAGGCGACTGACGTTTAGAGAGACATGTCGGATGTCGTTAACATGGGGATAAACTCTTCCTGCTTTCCTGTAGCATACGAGAAGTAAATCACATACACCCAACGACCTCTAGTATCGATCCTCCTCTCCTCAGCTCTTCTCCCCTCCCCCTGCTCCCCCTGCTCCCCCTGCTCCCCCTGCTCCCCTGCTCCCCTGCCCAATACCTCCCTCAACTTCCTTCCACTCCCCTCCTCCCCTTCCACCTTCTGCCCTGCCCTGCCCTGCTCCTCCCCCTCACCTGTCGTCGTCCGTGAGGGACTTGGCGACGGCGACCGAGGCCTCATACAGCATGTCGTCTGTGATCTGCTTCAACTTCAACACCTGGGCTGCCACGTCACCAGGTTGTCTCATCGCAGCCAACAAGACGAACAGAAGCAGCTAGTCCGATGCCGGGAAAGATGAACATGTTGTTGCACTGAGACGGATACCTGGAGTCTGAGTCAGACCGCAGAGAAAGTTTGGCAGGGGAGTTTTGCAGGGAAGTTTGAGAGGGAAGTTGTGCAAGATTGTTTTGCTGGCAACTTTGGGAAGGTAGAGACGAAGTGATGATAAACATGTAGGACAGTACAAGTCGGAAATACAGTAAAACCAAGAAAGAAAGGAAAGATAGGAAAGAATTCAAGATAACAGTAAACATCAGAGGGAGGTGACGAAGATACAGTTCCTTGGAAATGGCATGTACCATGACAAACCTTGACAAGATGTTGAATAACGAAAACAGACAATCACTCACAGAATTCTTCCCGACGGCAAAGTTACAGGCGCGAAGGGTGAACCTGAAGCAAAGATGCATTCTCCCTCAGTCCACCTGTTTGCAAGTTTTGTCATCGTCACCGTCACAACCTCAGTGAATCGTGTTCTCAATCATCTACAACCCCTACAAACATCCACTGCCTCCATCATCACCTTCACCTCCTCCGCCCACCTCTACCTGCTCCACCACCTGCCCCTCCAAGTGCTGCTGCTGCTGCTGCTGCCCCTCCACCTCCACCTACTGCTGCTGCTGCTGCTGCTGCTGCTGCTGCCCCTCCACCTCAACCTGCTGCTGCTGCTGCTGCTGCTGCTGCTGCTGCTGCCCCTCCACCTACTGCTGCTGCTGCTGCTGCTGCTGCTGCTGCTGCTGCTGCTGCTGCTGCCCCTCCACCTCCACCTACTGCTGCTGCTGCTGCTGCTGCTGCTGCTGCTCCACCATCACCTGTAAGCGTCTTCCGCAGAGCATTCGGCGTTGGCGGTGGGGTTCGAGAGAGGGAAGATAAACGGCTGCGGGCAGTGAACTTTGACTTCTCTCACGATTTCTTCTGTGAACAATCCTCCCACCTTGAAGAGAGGGCAAGTCAGAAGAGAAGGAGAGAACATGGAGGTCAAATCAGAGGGACAAAGAGAGAAAACATTATTGTTCATCATCATCATCAGCAGGAGCAGGAGTAGCAGGGGAATGGGCAGGAGCAGGAAGAGGAGGAGGAGGAGGAGAAGCATCGCCGTCATTTCATTTTTCTCACAGCACTCAGTCCCATCAAGATCGTCGGTTTGAATTGCTTGACGACGTCCAGCTGTTTGACAATCAGCAACAGACGGAAGCCCGCGAACGTGTCATACCAGAGTCATCCCGAGAGCCATGTCGTCTCTTGCAAAGACAGATTGCTCTTTCGTGCTGGAGACTAATCATCAGAGTGGGAAACAAGAACAGAGAAAGACAGAGGACCAGGAGGGTAGTAATCAGGAAGAGGGCAGGGAGCAACAGGAGGTAGGAAAGCAGGGAGTAGCAGGAGGGCAGGGAAGAGAAGGAGGATAGGAAGCAGGGGGAGGATAGGGAGCGGGGGGGTCAGGTGGGAGGAATTTCAAGTTTTTTCTCGTTACAGTTTGCCAAGGCGATCGACAGTAAGGGGCCCGTCCTTATCGACCACAACAAACCTGAGCAGGTTTAGTGAGATAACATGACGTGAGCACATATGCAGGGTAGACAAACAGACAAGAAAATCATGAGAACCGTTGAGAAACCAGGTCAGGAGCATGTCACAATCAACGACAACGACAACGACAACGAAGGACAACAACGAAGACAATGACAACAAGAATTGCAACAAACATCGCAAAGGATCTTAACAAGAGCTTCTCAGCAAACTCGACGAGACTCTTCCCACTCACTTTGATACTGCCTCTCCGTAGGTAAGGCCCTGCTTCATGATGCCTTGCAGGATCGCTGTTGCCACTCCCGTCCCGGCACTCCCTGCCCCGAGGGTCAACGGCTCCAACGGATATGACAAGTTTGTTTTTGTTTCACCGGCTCCTGCGATGACGAATCTTTGATCTTTGAGAGACTCCGGAGTCAATCCGCGATTGATGAGGCCGCTGCTCATAGCATGAGAGGCAGACAGGCGACAGGGAAAGCAGAGCGAGAGGAAGGAGAGCGAGAGGAAGGGAGGAAGAGACCTTGACATCATGTGAGCACGAGGATACTTCAGAGGGAGGAGAATGAGGAGGAAGAGAACCGGTATCTCAGGCAAGCAGTGCAGTAGCAAGAGGAGCAGTTGCACAGGGAGGAGCAGGAGCAGGAGCAGGAGTAGCAGCAGCAGCATGAGGAGAAGAAGCAAGAGGAGGAAGAGATCTGCTCCTCCAGCACGAATTCTTCTCACCTGAACAAGCCTGCTAGAGTGACGGCGCCGGTACCTTGGATGTCATCGTTGAAGACACAGAGCTGCAGTTGTCCCAAGAAAACAAAATCAAACGAGATCGAGGAAATGTTTGTTGAGTGCAGCTGAACTCATCAAAATCTAAATCAATCTCCATCATCACTACCACCATCACGACCGACAACAAAACAACAACGACAATGACAATACATCTCAATCATCATCCCTGTTTGATCTCTTCCATCACCATGATTGTCATCATCATTCCCTACACCATCTCCATCATCCATCTCATCTCCTTCACTTACAGGCTGCCTGCCTCTCTTCTTACTTCCACACAAGTCCTCGCGGTAATATCTCAAGATATCCATGGCGACCTGCGAGGTCAAGTCAGATTCTGAACCGGAGCAGCAGACAAGAAGTCGATCACATCTGAACTGAAGTCTTCAAATTGCACAAATGCGTCGGGGAATCGATTTCTGATCGCATCGAGGAATTCATCCACAAGCTCGAAGTAAGCGTCTCCTCTGTGGTTGAAATTCAAATTTCGTGAGGAAGAGAAACACAAGTGATGGAAAGCCGCCACAGACCTGAGGCGCTTCTGCACAAGTCCGATGTAGAACGGATCTTTCAGCAGCTTCTCGTTGTTTGTTCCTGCATCCAGACAGACAGGCTGAACATGCAATCACCTCCTGACGCATCGAAGAGTATTGTCACCATCACACGATGCGGAGCGATTCCCCCAGCAGCACAGTACAAAGCAAGCTTGCCGATGGGGATTCCCATGCCGTAAGCGCCGAGATCGCCAAGACCAAGGATCCTCGAGCCGTCCGTGACGACGATCACCTGAAGAGTGAACGGTGAGCGGTAAGAGAGTGTAAGCTAACACATGTCAATTCGCCTTCCATCACAACATCGAAGATTTGCAAAAATGATTGCATAGCAGAGAGCAAACAGTGTAGAAGAGCAAGAAACAGGAAACAAAATACAGGAAACAAGAAACAAAAAACAAAGGAATGATACTACGGAAGGTTTCAGCAAGGGTCTAGCAGACGGACCTGAACGTCTCGCTGCGGCCAGTTTCCGATGCAAGAATGCATGTGTCCCTTGTCAAGGGCGCTGAGGTACATGCCACGAGGGCGGCGGAAACGATAGCCGAACTCCTGACACGCCTGTCCGACTGTAGGCGTGTAGACGATCGGGGCAAGGTACTCCATGTTCTCAACCTGGGACCTTGTCGGTGAAGGAAGGAACGACTGGAGGGTCGTGAACGTACCAGGAGCGCATAGAACAAGGTCTCGTTGTTGTCGCAAACTTCCGCCAGGTACCTGTGAAGAGGCTGGGGGTCAGGGTGCAGCAAAAGACTAGAGGGCGGGTACGAGTTTCTGTCGATGTCACTGGGTAGCCTTCGGAGGCGTTCTAGTACCTGCAGTCCACACGGAGAGGAGGGAGAAGAACAGGTCAAGAACATATCACAAGAACCACTCTCCAGCTATCACAACAAACTTCTCTCATCACCAACTTTCATCCCTTCCCCTTCATCCCCGCTCTCTAGATCTCACCTTCCTTTTTTGAACCGTCATCCCCAATCTCCTCGGTGGTAGCAGACCACGGAGTCCGAGCCTGTCTCGCTCGGGGTAGATGAAGGCGGTTCCCTTGTTGTACAGAGGATTCTGTCATCGTCATCTCTGCCATCAGCACTGGCGCTTTTCCCTCCCTCCATGTTCGTACCTGCAAGATCCCTGCTCCTGAGACCCGCACACGGACCGGGGGCAGCGTGGCTCCGCTCCATGGATGGATGGGAGACTTCTCGGACTCTTCATGCCCAGGTCCAGTGCCAGGTCCAGTGCCAGCGTCAGCCATGTGTCTGCTCCAGGCGAAGCATGGCTGTGCCGTATTCTTGCAAATCAGCAGGCCAGCCAGTCTCCGGGCAGTGAGCATCTGAATCAGGGAGAGTTACAGCAGAGAAGAATGGGGAGAGGAAGCTAGAGAGAGAGAGAGGATTGTAGGATGTGCTGATTGTGAAACCAACTCGCCGAATGCCGACACTTTACAAACCTCTGTTGTCCTACGTCCCTACATGGGTGGTTGAAAGAATCACAGCACACCACCCAGCTGACTACACCTCTTCCCGTATCTTCTTCCCTTCCCTTCCCCTCCCTTCTCCATCCCTGCCCTCTTCCTCTCCTCCTCCTCCTCCTCCTCCTCCTCCTCCTCAGTCTCAAGGAAGCGAACAAGGCGCTTGACGGCCTCGACTCCCCATTTTTGTATTTGCGTGGGGTCATTGCGTACAGGGGTGGTGTCTTTAACCCCCCTAATATCCCACAATTTGACGGTACTTAAGGGGTATATTCAAATGAGTACCGGTAGTCCTCTCTACACGGATCTCAGGGAAACACAATTCCTCATGACGTCCTTCAATTTGCTACTACCCTCACCCCCAAATTTGGCCACGAATACCCCCTCTTTTACAACCACCCCCGAGGGGGAGAAATGGGCACCTGCAGCACCGGGCATACTTGGTAAGACAAAAATGGAGTGCAGTAGACACGAGGGAGGGAGGATAGGGGAGGGGAGGGGAGCAGAGGGGAGCAGAGGAGAGGAGAGGAGAGAGGAGAGAGGAGAGAGGAGAGAGGAGAGAGGAGAGGAGAACAGGAGCAGGACGAATGTGCTGTGAGTTCAGATGAAGAACGTGAGACTGGAGCAGTGAGGGTTGATGAGCCAAGCTGGTCATGGGGAGGCGATGAGGCTGGATGAGTAGAGTAGTGAAACAGCAATAGAGTGACGTCGTGACGACGACCACAACCACCATGGTAGATAGCGAAATGTCGGAGCAAACTTGATATGCTAGAAGCGGATACTTGTACCTTCTCTGGCCATCCGAGCATTGATTTGTGGTGCTTCTTTATCAGATGACCGATGGGTGAAGAAGCAACTTGACAGGACCGAGACACCTTAGAGCAAGACGGTACAGGATGGGGGTGTGTGGTCTGTTGAGCTTCATCCAAATGATGAGCCCCTCGATCGGCAAGTCTATGACTTTCCAGAGGACGACAATGCAGGACTCGAGGACGAGCAACACTCTCCTCGTCGATGGCATCGCGTTCACGTATCACTTGTTCCACCAGGCAGATCACTCGCCATGGTGGTCGGGGGGAGACATGAGGAGGTTTCAGGTGACGATCGAGGAGTTTGTAACGAGGATGAGGGAGTTTGGCTTCGAACTGAGATTCGTCTTCGACGGGATGGTCGACCCTATGAAGTACGACACTGTCATGGACCGGTTCCGGCAGAACACTGAAAAGGTTGAGTCTTTCATGCGGTCAGCTCAGTGGAAGTCGGTGGGTGAGAGGGACAGGGGGAAGTTTGTGCTGCCGTTCGGCGTCATCGACTGCATGATGGATGTTCTCAAGGCTCGTGGGGTCTCGTGTCGAAGATCGCTGTATGAGGCGGACGGGGAGCTGGCGGAAGAGTGTCTGCGAACAAGCGCGTTCGGGGTCCTCTCGAACGATTCCGACTTCCTGTGTATGAGAGTTCCTTTCGTGCCGCTGAACGAGATGATGATGGATGAAAATACGTTCCAATGTGTCATCTATGATCCTGTCCAGGTAATGTGCTGCTGATGAGAATGATGGACATCGAGTCAGCTCCTGAATCTTTTGTTTGTTGTCGTGCTCTCATGATGTTTGTTTTGTTTTTCTGATTGAATCTTTACAGGTGTCAAACTGTGTCGGAATCGCTCAAGAGTGTCTTCCTATGCTTGCTTGCATGTGCGGAAATGATTTCATCAAACGGGAAGATTTGTTCAGTTTCCATGAGAGTTTGGTCCCACTCTCTCGTTCCAATCGCAACTGGATGGTGAGTTTGGAGCTCACAATGAAGTTGTTATTATAGGATGAAAGCCCCAACTGCATGAATTACTTTTTGAGCTCTCTTTGCTTGTCTCTTTCTTCAGCCCATACACGAACGGCAATCTTTGTCGTGTCGTTGCTTTTGCACAGCAACGAGTGATTTCATTGTGTATCTCTGTTTGCCTGCATGGGAATGTCTTCCATGACATGCAATGACCCACTGACTTTCACGTCAGATCATCAGAGAGGTTGCAAACGTCCTCAGGTCCATCAACACATGGGACATCAAGGGCGACCCGAGTCCGCAAGACGACATGGTGAGACTGCCTCGTTGGTCTGACTGGCTGACCTGACTGCAGAATCTGGTGAGAAGGATGTTCAACGTGCTGGAGGAAGGAGAAGCGGGGCAGAAACTCCAGCTGGTCCAGTCAGTCCGTAGGAAGTACCTGGTTCAAGCAGCGCCAAAGCCTCCCTCGCAAGCAGACCCTGGAGCTGCGGATGAGTGCTTCAGTTACCTGCAAACCAACTTCGCGCAGTCTTGTCTCCATCAGGACATCTTACAGATCTTCTCACATCAACAACTCTGGTGCAGATTGTCAATTGAGCATAATCCCCCCAACCTCCTCCACATGGTTCGAACCTGCTGACCTCCACCCCGGCATGACTTTGTGCCAGGGAGCGCACCAGAGGTCTTCTCGGGTGAGGAAGCGACTTGTTTCGTTTGTGCTGGGCAAAGTGAAAGGAGAAGAAATGATGGACGATGGAGAATCGTTTGTGTTAGAGCACTGGCAGGTATCCTCCTCCTCCTCCTCCTACAACCCCCCCCCTCCCCCGCCCTCCAGCCGGGTGCGGGGCTGAGGGCTGAGGGCCCCTTCCTCCTTCCTCCTTCCTCCTTCCTCCTCCTCCTCCTCCTCCTCCTCCTCTCGTTCCTCTCCCTCCACCTCTCGACATCTGATTGTTCTTGACTCAGTGGGGGTCCGAATATAGAAGGTCAAGACTCAAGCTCGCCGATCTTCCCTACGTCAAGACGAGCATGCGACAGAGTTTGCGGCTGTCAGATCAGCAGAGGCAAGAACTCTTCCTTGAACTGGTGGAGATTCCATCTGCGATCAGAGAAGATTTCATCAAGGGAGTTGGCACACATCAACATTCACCATCCCCAGCTCTCGGGCAGCAAGACTTTCTGCTTCTCGCTGCCCTCTACGTGTTCTTCAGATCGGACAGGTCGAAGATGCCGCAGATGAAGTTTCGTCTCTTTTCTGCTTTGATAGCGACTTGCTGCTTGCTGGAAGAGCACTTCAAAGAGTTGGAGAACTTGAGATCTCAACGTCCAGATGACGAGGGAGACGTTGCTTTCAACGTCATGCTCACAAACTTGTCTCAATCCTTTCTTGTCCACTTGTCAATGATCAATGCGGTCAATGACGCCCTCCAACGGCCTTTCCCCTATCAGCATCTCTGCCTTATCAGCCCTTGGATCTTGCAGGTGCAAGTGAACGAGGCAGCGAAAGAGACTCAACCCCGTTGCAGGCTCTCATGAGCGATGGAAAAGATATCTTGTCAGGCATGAAATCTTTCGGTGAGTTTGTGACTTGATGTTGCAATCAACATCTTTTCTCTGATGTCTCCCAGGACTTGCAGAACAGCATGTCGAAGGGTGGTTCCAGCGCTTTCAGACCATTTCGTCTGGTAGCTGGACCCCCTTTTGTGTTATCGCTGATTGTCTTGTTGGTTCAGTCTTGAATGTGGAGAAATTGTGCCGGGAGGAAGAAACAAGTAAGACGACTGCAAGAGCTAAACAAGACAAGCCAAAGAGAGCAAAGAATGATGTAAGTTTTCAAGTGTTACATACACCATTGAGTGTAGTTTTCATCCTGCGAGATGTTCTTGAAGACTTGTCATTCTGATTTTGAATTTTTCTCTTGTCCTATCTGCAGCATCCAAACACAACACAGAAGCCTTCGACTGGCAGCTTGACGTGAGTGACCATGAATCAAGTCGTCAAGGTGTCACGAATTTGACAATCACCCTCAGAGCGCGAAACATCTTCAATATGCTGACGGAAATGGAAGGATGACGACAAATTCTGCCACATCACACCACATCGCAAACTTGTACCATCATACAATATCGCAATTCTTTTCTTGGTATTCATTGTAAACAAACAAAGTATCTTGAAACCATGACAACAGGTTTTAAGTAATGAAATCATTTCTTCGACAAGTTGATATGTTGCAATCCTGTTTTCCTTTCACAATATTCCGTTCATCGAACTTCGGCTAGAAAACAAGCTGGCAAACTCATCTGAGTTTTGCATGTTTGCCTCCAAGAGCTTTTGCCTGCAGGAAGAGAACAAGTCACCCCCCAGAACTTGACAACCACATCTCGACACAACAAATCTTGAAACAACACACATACAGCACAGACACTCCTTCGGCAGGAGATCAAGGGATGAGAGTTCTTATCAGCCAGCCGTCTACATTCAACACCAAGGGACGATCCTATTCATGACAACTCTGACTTACCTCAGCGAGTATCCGTTGCGATATTGCGAGGAGCTCAGCTGAGAGTTGAGATCTCGGGGGTCCGTGGAAGGGAACGCCAGCTGCTCTTCAGCTGGATCGGTTGGAACATGCTGCGTCCCCACGAACTGGGAGGTTTTCAGGCTCATGCCAGCTTGCAACAACATATCCCTCAGCTCCTGCGTATCGAGAATGAGGCGAGGGAAAGAGAAGGAGAGAGGGAGGAAGAGAGGAACATAAGCAATGAAGGACTTGTTTTCCCACCTCGCTGACCATCCTCTTTCTCAGCTCGTTGAGGTGGTCTTTAGATTCCGCTTTGAAGATGACGGTCACCTCTAACGAGGTAGACAGCAGCCGTCGGCCCATCCTCTCCCTCACATCTGTTGCCTGCACGTCCTCTATGGGAAGGTCAAGGGCAGCTGCGACTGCCTCCTCCAGCATAGACTTCTTTGTCTTGGACCACTCAGCAGCATTGGCGTCTGAAGGAGCAGAATGATTAGGGGTGGAGGAGGGAGAGAGCAGAGAGATAAAGGTTGATGGAAAGAGAGAGCGAGTTCAATGTGAGGCGAGGGCAGGAAGCATGGAAAATGAAGCAAGAAGCAAGAGCGGGAAGCGGGAGGGATGGTTGATATACCGGAGATGGTGATGGTAGAAGAGTACCAAAGGGGCCCCTTGTCGCTCTTCTTGGACGGGCTTGGCATGTTGGTGATGTCCGCAAGGGAACGAGGGTGGGGCCGAGCATTTCTCGACTTGTGGGATCTGGATATGTTCTGACCGTTGGAGGTGTAGAGACTCATGCTCTGATCCAGCCGCGAGTCTGCGGACGAGGATGTGCCGACGAAGGCTGGGACGTCGAAGGCAAAAGTGCTCCTCCTGTCGCCGTCAAGGGATGAGACGGGCAGGTCAACAGAGCTGCTGCTCCTTCTCAACGAAGCTGAAGCGTCTTCAAACATGGAATGACGGGAATTCCGCTGATCTGGCTCGTTGCCGTCTGCCTCAGGAAGTCTGATGCTGAAACGATATGATGATGATGTAGGGGAGATGGAGGAGGAGGAAACTCGCCCTACCCTTTGCGATTGTTGACCAGAAAAATTGATCGTGGCTGGTGTTTCCGTAGGTCTCAGTCCTACGAACTTACTGATTTTCTGTGAAGTTTCCTCCTCACCCATGAACTTCCGATGCGTCATGGTCTGAGGATGGTGTACCTGCCTTTTCTTCATCCTGTCCCACCAGTCGGGATCATTTGGATGCTCAGCTTTACGTTTCTTGGGCATATTGACTTCCATCCATTGATGGTAATTTCTTGCTTGCAGGCAGTTGAGGTGGTTGACACCTTCCTCAACTATGTTACTCCTGCTATTCTCATTACCCATGCCTTCTGAACTTGTCTGTTGATTTCCTTGTATCAAAATGTGATAGTGGTACGAAAACCGCCTTGCTTAGCAAGCACTTGACTCCTCCTCCACCACCTCCACCACCTCCTCCACCTCCTTCCTCGATGCCTTCTCTTATATCCTGCTCCTCTCTCACTGTCACTCTCCTCGCTTGTCCTGCTCCTTCTCGCTCCTCCTCTTGCGATCGCGCTCGTTTTCCTGTTCCCTTGCCCCTCGCAACCGTTTCCACGCCTGTTTGAAAAAATGTTGGGTACCCCTACCCCCATTTTTTAGCTAAAACAATTTTTTCGGGCAGTGGTGGGTCTGAATACAGCCACTTGGGGAGGTTTGTACCAGTCGTGCGGCACGACGTTGTCAGGGTTCCACTAGCGAAAGAAGAGGTCGGGGATGACGATGTCCATATGCGCACTCCATATGCGCACATGACTTGATTGCTATCTCTTTGTCATCAAGATTTCATAGTGTCTGAATGACAGTGTCTGAATGACAGACGGAGAATGGAAAGACATCAGATGATGATTGACAGCGAGATTTATTGAATGTGCGCACATGTATCCGAAGCATCAAGATCCATCTTGACGTTATCAACTTGATCGTGTCTGCAACGATGATATCAAACTTTCAATCTCTTCCATCAACCGCTTTCTGCATTCAAGGAAACTAGTCAGCGGACGGAAGAACAAAGGCGAGTCGCTGAACCTGTCCATTGACATCTCCCCGTGGGCGCTGGCATTGAGAGTCGAGGATATGTTCATATTGGCGCCTCGCTTCTCTCCGCCCATGTACAGCATGCTAGATGGCTCGTCTCTTGACCTCGGAGGAAACTCTTGGAACGGAGATGATAACCCTGCATGATACCCGCCGCCTTGAGCTGGTGCTTGCTCGAAGCGACGAGGCGAGTCTGAGAAACAGAGTGAGTGAGACTGAGCAGATTTCCCTTCCTCCCTCACCCTCCTTCTTCTGCCAAGCACTCGGCTGCATCCTGGATTCCATTCCTCCCTCAAGATCGGAAGTCCCACGTGGTGCCTCCGTGGCAGTAGAGAAGTTCTCTCGGAGAGGAGGAATACCTGCGGGGGGGTGATTGAGAAGATGAGATAAGAAAGAACTCCTTCCTACCAGGTCCCTTGAGGTTCGAGACATAGAGATCTGCAGACAATCTCGCATTCATCTCCATCAGAGACGAGACCTGCCGTTCTTTGATGTGCAAAGCCGCCTCAAGCTTCGTCCTCAAATCTTTCTCATTCTCACACGCGCTCAGCAACCTTGTGCTCTCCTCGCACAGTTTTTGAAACTGCATTGAAGACAAAGAGTTCTGTTCCTCCAACTTGCGATATTCTTCCTCCAGGCTCTGCTTGGAGGACAACAGCTCGGCTTCCCTCTGATTGAAAGATGCCTCCATGTCAACAACCTTCCTTTGAATGTCCTCCATGCGCTTGTATGCATCATCTTTCTGGTCGTTGAGATCTTGATTCATCTTTTCCTTCTGCTTCAAATTTTCTGCGAGCTCAACGATCTTCGCCTCTGCATCTTGCAACTTTTGATGGTAATCTGATGCCTCCTGCTTCAATTTAAGAAACGCTTGCTCGTTTGCTGCAAGATGGGAACTGTTCGATACTTTTTCCTGCTCATGCTCTTCTATCAGGGCATTCAATCTGGATTTAAATCTTTCGATCTCCTTTTCAAGATCGCTATTCAGGTTCTGTAAAGATTTCGAGTGCTCTCTTTCTCTCTCGAGAGCTTCATCAAGTCTGTTTATCTTGTTTTGGAGCCTCAATTCCTTCTCAGCAAAGTCTTCAACCTCGTCTTTGTACCTCTGGATGAGTTGATACTTGTTTCGTAGGCTCTCTAGACTTTCCTCGAGCTGGGAAACTTTGACTTGAAGACAGTTCTTTGCATGCTCAGCGTTCGCCAGGCTTCGCATGTATTCGTAATTCTTCTCCGTGGCTTCAGACAGGGCACTCTGTGCCGTTGATTTCTCAGCTTTTTCTCGTTCGAGGGAATGCATGAGCTCTTCTCGATCAGCCGTTAGGGCTTGCAAGCGATCCATCTGCCCACGAACTTGCTGCTCAGCAATCATCTTCGCCTGCGATTCCTCCTCGATCTGACGCAGGGCTTGTACCAGCCTCTCGCGGCATCCCTCCTCCACACTCAATCGCTGCACATTTCTCTCAGCCTCAATGAGCCTGTCCTGCAGCTCTCGTGTCTTGCTCTCCTGATACAGGTTGCGCTGTTGTAGCTCTTCGACTTGCAATCGAAGCGCCCTGTTGTCTTTGTCGTACCTCTCAATCGCGTTCTGAGTGTTGTCACTAACTTCATCGTATCTCTTGCGCTCCCGTTGAAGGATGGCACTATCATACGCGAGTTTCGACACCTCGTTTTCGATTGACTGCATACACTTCTTTTTCATTTCGATCGAACGTGTTGTGATCATGTTTTCCATCAGAGATCGAATGAGCTCAACCGAGGTTTCTTGCCATTCTTGGCCAGGCGGTTTGCGGGCGACAGGCCTTGCTGACGCTAATCTCTTCGAATTTTGCAACGTGCTCATTGTATTCATCATGACGATTCACCGAGAAGGAGGAGACAACCAGGAAATCTAAGAAAAACAAATGCCTTGATCTCAGAACTCCCCTTGCATCTTTCTGTAGCCCTTCAGCTCCTGGTCTGCGGCTGCACTTGTTCCCGGTCACTCTCTCTTCTCACTTGCTGGCTGTCTCGCTCGCTCTCGCTCTCCTCCTCTCACACCTTCCTCTCCCTCCTGCCGGTCCTCGCCAAAACCATCGCAGGTTTCAAACGGTCAATGCTACCCCTCATCTCCGCGCAGTCCCGCGCGGAGTCAAGTGGGGGGATGAGGGTACACGGCTTGAGCGGCGGCAATGCAGGGAAGAAGGGAATCCTTGAAGGGCGAGATGGTGGCGGTGGATGAGAAGAAAGGAGGGGCCGTAGAGTATTGAAGGTAGGGACAGTAAGGATAGAAGCCTGGAGGCCAGGGAAACTTGCAGTAAGAGCGGAGGATTAGATTTGAGTCGTTGCAAGAAGGGAATCATGAAGATGTTACTAAGGTGCAAGGTGAAAAAGGCGTTGACGATTATCGAGATCGTTCTCATCTTTCTTCTCGCTTCTGCTCTTGCAAACATTGATGATTCGGAACCTGACGTCGAGCATAACCTGATACGGTCTAAAAGAGAGAAGCTCTCCCCACAAGACGGAGGTCACTCGTTCATGCACGAGTACCTGAAGGAGACGTTCCAGTTCGAGATTGAGCCGGATCCCCCCATGAAAAGCAAGGAATGGTTTGAGGGATTGGAGGCAGCCTGGGAGAAATTGAACGAGGAATGGGAGCAAAAGCAGTTGCGACAACAGGAAACAGATTCGGCAGGTCCAGATGACCACGTAGAAGGCAGCTTCTTGGATAATCCTGTGAACGAGATCCAGAACCCGGCAGAAAAGTTTTCGACTGGAGGTGCTGATCCATACATGAATATTGGAAGGCTGTCTCATCTCGCCAGGTTAAGGGGAGATAAAAATGCTTCCTTCTGCTATCAAGGACTCCCAGATGCTCCTGCGAAATTCGACTTCGAGGGTAGAGGCAACTGGAGCGAAGAGAGAGACAAGAGGAGTGGGTGGACTCTCCTCGGTCAGGAATATTGGGGTGAGAACTTTGAGCTCGAAGGCACTATGAATGCAAACACAGATCCGTGGTTCTGTGCGGAACAAGCCGACAACTCAGTGGGTCAAATCTACCAAGGAGAGTGGGTCGATAAGACTGTTGAAGAGCGTGTACAGATGCAGCTCAAAAAAATGGAAGAAATGTACAAAAGAGATGAAGGAAACAAGACGGAAGTCAACTACACAGGCTATCAAGATAGTCTGGATCCGGAATGGGACAAGTTTATTTATGAGCACATCGACAGGCCATTGTACATGACAGATCCCGTTCGATTGAGCTCAGTGTTCGAATCGGGGAACACGTGGGCTTTGAATGACAGCTATGTTGGAGATGCTGAATGGGACCCTGTCTTGCCAGAACGAGTCTGGACAATGAATTCCAAACACACACTCTCTCTAAACACATTTCGAAGTGCATCAGCTATCCAGGAGGAATTCTACGAAGATGCCGGTTGGCTGGAACCAAATGAGGATAGGCATCTTGATGTCAAGAGCTCTCCAGAAGATGACGACGGTGGTGATGGCGACCTGCCCTACGGCTTCATTCGTGTGCCACTGCCATACAGACCACCCGTGGCCGGTGACATGGGATTTGGACGATTGGGAAGGTGTATACGAGGACTATGCCCTCGTGCTCCCTATGTCAGAGTCTCAAAGCTGCGCTTGAATGCGTGACGTCAACGATCTCCAATCAGCCAATGCTCTCATGGCATGTTTAAAAATCGTTTGCTTCGGCCAAGGTTAATTGTCTAAAACAGCACTTCAAAATGGTTGTAATGAATATTCCAATCTTTGTAGATGTGTTCTTGTGCGGTGATATTATGTTGCGCTTCCTATCTGTCCTATCTTCAAAATGATTCCAAGAACTTGACCTATTCTTCGATAACTTCCCAGATCAGCCCTTTCTGCTCTTCTTTAGCCTTACTTCTCCATCACTCCCTGTACCGACATCAATTGTTACCACGTTGAGTGCAAATCACCGGCAGGACTGTCATTGAAACGCTTCCCCTTGCCCTTGGATGCAGGCACCGAATTCTTCGTGTACCTGTTTGCCGTGTCACCACCAAAGGCGGGGGTTGTTCGGGAAATGGACACCAATGAAAGAGTCTTGACACATCTTCAAGAAGAAGTTTGAACGCCTTGTCTAATCTGTTCCAAAGTCAAATTAACGTAAGTTGCGGCACTGGCCCACCTGTGGGAAGCTGTCGGAAGGTCGAAACCGATACCTTTCAGGGTTTCGGAGTATTTCTGGTTGACTTGGGTCTTTGGAAGTATCATGTTGCTCCTTAACAAGACACCCCCTGGCGGAGGAGAGACAATCTTGAGATCGAAAAAAGTCAGACAGAGCAGACAGAATTCTCCTTTGGTCATACTTGCTCGAAAGTGTCAGATACAATCTTCCCCTTTTGTGATTGCTTCTTCTTTCGCATCATGTTCTCGATCTTTCTGGCTTTGTCCAGAGTCTCTTGTTCTAGCTTTTCTTCATTGGCACTCCTTGATAGTGACTCTTCAAAAAGTTTCTTACGTTGTTCCTCGTGCTGAACAGAACAGGTCAGCGACAACTCATAATAAATCCAGATTACATGGCGATTGTATGGCTTTGTTATCAACACGTTTTCCTCCCCTTCAGAGACAGCTATGTTCCTTGCCTCAGTCAACTTCCTTTGAATGAAATAGAATCTGTCTTTGAGAATCTCAATAGTGATGTCCCCCTGCAGAAATTTCAGAGGAACGACAACTTGACTTGGCAATCAAACTGATTCCTCACCTCCCATCTGTCTTGAACCAAGATGAAATTCAAGTGAAACCTTTCCGCCAACTTCATCAATTCGTCGCTTTGCTGCCTTGTCCAGTCGTCAACATGTAATAATGTTTCATACTCTTCATCGCTGTACAGGAGGAGTTGCACTTTCTTATTGAACTTTGCAAACGGGTATTCATCCCATTTCACCCCTTTTTTCTGCCAATGCTTTAGCTCCAGCCCATCGGTTCGTGCTGAATTCGTGAAACTCTGGAACTCCCATTGAACTTTCTTCAGTATCGCACTTCTCTTCTTGCCGAACGACGGGACTGGGTGGCTAGGAACTTGGTGGGGAACTGCGCAAAAGAGTCACTGAGAGCAACATGAAGTACGAGTTAGGATTCACCAGGACTGACCCCCGTGAGTTGGTAGACTTCTCGACTCAATCCTTTCAGTGCCTTCACGCCATCGTCCTTAGCAGGCGGTCGAGTTCTAGGCTTGAATTCCGAACGAGGGGCAGCGCCCAGAATGTCCACAGCGTCCATCCCTTATCCTGATGGAAAGGTCATTGAAGAGTCGGGAGAAAAGCATTCTAAGGGCATCATTCCAAGGATTGTTCACCTTGCTGACGATGATTCATGGCATACTGTGTTGGTAATCCACACCTCAATGTCGAAATTGCTGCAAGAAGCGACATCAGCGATCTGCATCTGACAAGAATCTTGCCATGAAGCTTTGCTACCATGAATCTATCTAAACATGCACATTTCTTGGCAGCATCTGACCAACCGACCATTCTCGTGCATCTGTTCATGATGGCACTTCCACGACCTGCCTCCACTCCTCCCTCCCGGCTCCCTCCCGTCTCCTCTACGATTAACCTCACTCAATGGGAATACTACCCTCCATTTCATCACCCCCACCCCTGTCAGAGCCGTTATTTGTCCCAGCAGTCATAGGAATTGATTGACAAAATTAGCACCCCTACCCACATGTTTGAGTCGCAGAGAAGTATCATCAATATCAAAACGGGCGGCAATCAGCTCCGCCGGACACGACCCTAGTCCGCCCCGGGCGGGCCGCTGAGAATCTTGTGCTCCGACGGTTATGAGCCTCGTTTACTGATGGAGCGTATGCCACTGCGTATGCCAGCCGTGCCAGTAGCGCCCGGCCGAGTTAACAAAAACTCTCCTGTAAACCAAGACGACTTACGTGGCAGGGCGGCGGCATGTAGCGTGTCTGGATGCTGGGGTTTCACATCCTAGCACTGATACAGCCTATCTCTCATGTGCTCCTCAATTCTGGTTTCGTCTGCATTAAACTCGGTCTTGAGCAAAAACTGTCTTGTTACAACTAAGGTCGATGTGATATTGTTGGTTTCTTGCCTCTCAGCATGATCCTATTGAAAAACAAGCCTTTCCCACTGGCAGCCAGATTGGTCGGTGGGATATCTGCTTACTGTGGACTCCGGACATGTTGCCGGGAACACACTTGGAGTCAAAAAACTGGTCCCAAAATAGAAACCTCGTTTCCCGCCAAAATCTTGCACCCAGCCATGACAGGCTTGCACCCAGCCAACGCTCAGCAGCATGAACTACCGCATCTGCAAGAGGCTACCAGAACAGCCTTGTACAACCCACACCCTGGATCTGCGGCTTCTGCAAGCCGTGACAATTACGACGGCAAGCACTTCCCGGTCCTCTTCTCCCCTCCATCCTCTGTCCCAGACGTCTGCCCCGTCTGCCTCGAGAAAAACAGCCCCGCATACCTCAGATACCCCTGTGGGCACCACGTGTGCCACTCCTGCTTCTCGCCCAAGGACAACTCAACAATCAAACCCCTCGACCTCTTCACCTTCGACCAGGACTACTTCCGTGTGTGGCCTCTCACAAGCAGAGACACAACACTGTGACACTTCCTGCCAACCCGGCGGCCGGCGAATCGGATCGTTTCGAGAGTGTGACATGGGCCAAGGACAGGCCAGAACGCCATAGGTGTTTCATAGCACTCCAATTAACTTTCCTATTCAACTCCCTATTCAACCACCCCTATTAATCCCAAAAACCTTCCTATTAAACTCCCTAGTAAACCCCCTATCAAACCAAAAACTTCCTATTAACCCTCCAATTAACTTTCCTATTCAACTCCCTATTCAACCACCCCTATTAATCCCAAAAACCTTCCTGTTAAAAACTCCCTAGTAAACCCCCTATCAAACCAAAAACTTCCTATTAACCCTCCAATTAACTTTCCTATTCAACTCCCTATTCAACCACCCCTATTAAAATCCCAAAAACCTTCCTGTTAAAAACTCCCTAGTAAACCCCCTATCAAACCAAAAACTTCCTATTAACCCTCCAATTAACTTTCCTATTCAACTCCCTATTCAACCACCCCTATTAATCCCAAAAACCTTCCTGTTAAAAACTCCCTAGTAAACCCCCTATCAAACCAAAAACTTCCTATTAACCCTCCAATTAACTTTCCTGAGAAACCCCCGGCCGGCCCACCTGTACCCCCTCCCTACTCTTTTTGCCAAGTTTTGACGCCTCGGTCTCCTCTCTCAGAGTGAGGTGAGGACTGAAGCATCCCGACTCTCTCTCTAATCTACCTACTGAGACTATAACTTCTATCTCACTTTGTTGTTGCTCGTCTCTTGCTCTATTGCTCTCAATCTTCGCATCGCTTGACCGACACTGGTGTTTCTCACACTATAACAGACAAGAAAATGAGTTCACAAAAGCTTTCTGGAGACATCGTGTACGACACAAAACAAAAACCAGACACAAAACAAAAACCAGTCATTCCAAGAAGATCGAACAAGGAACCGAAGCACAACACCTTCGCGTCATGTTTCAAGCCTGAAGTACTTACATGTGGAGGGTGCACTCACACGTTGTAATTACTTGGCAGGACATACAAGTAGCACTCCTCGTTCCCCCAAATGAAGTCTTCGCCGAAAGTGGAGCTATCAATAGGGCGTTTGTGGAGAGCATTGCCGGGAAGAATGGTTCCAAGGTGAAAATAACGAACAAGTTTCCGGAAGATCATCCAGCGGAGAGAGTGGAGCGAGTGATGTCCACTCAAGAGACAACACAGGGTGTCTTCGAGAAACTCTCAGTGCATGATCATGCTTTCCTCAAGCAGATCATCTCTCCCAACGAGACGTTCCTTGCAGAGTTGAAAACTGTTGGCTTCTTAGGCTTTCCCAACACGAACGAAGAGCTTGCTGGCAAAGGAAATGTCGTCCTGACAGACAAGAACTTGTACTTCTACTGGCACCAAGCCAGGTTTGAGGCGTCTGCCAACGAAAGCATTCAAGGGACCACCTGCTGCTGCTTCCCACCAGGATGGTGCGGTTGCCTCGAATGGTGCAGATTTGCTTCGGGAAGCTACTCGCATGTGGGAGTGAGGGAGGCTGAGGACAAGATCACTTCCATCCCCATCAGCTACCTCACTCCGGGGGGAGTCAAGTGTGAGCGCTCAGATCGCCTCAAGGTGTCGAGAAAGGTAGAGTTCGGATGGGGACCAAAATGCTGCTTAGAATGCTGCACCTGCTGCATCTGCTGCACCTGCTGCACCTGCTGTGACTGCTGTGACTGCTGTGACTGGTGCTTCTATCACGGGAGGATGATCTTCAATTTCAGCAGCGAGCAGCTGACTGGGGCAACCATAGAGGCGAGGATCATCAAGAACATCGACAATGGCTTAGCCCACGGCGAAAGGGTTTGCGACAGCCGACTTCGCGTCATAAGCGTAAGATATATGGACCTTGCCAGCAACAAGGTGAAGGCTTGCGGACAACTTGTAATGAACAGATGGTGTGACTGAGAGGGTGAACCAGGTGAAGGAAGTGAGCTGCATCGTTGATAAAGAAAATGTTTCCCTCGAGGATGTCTACAAGTTTACCGTCGCCGTCAATTCCCATTGCAAGGCCCAAGATTACCTCGATATCTTTCGTCAGGTGAAACCTTGTGGGTTTAGGATGGTTTCAAGCTGATGATCTGGTATCGGTGGGGCAACAGACAAACACGATGACCTTCTCGGACTCAGGGAGACTGCAAGGACTGCGTGACAACATCATGGAGAAGCGCATGATGGCCAACCCTGTGACTGCTTCGTTGAAGTTCTTCTCCAACATTTTGAGGACCTAAGTTCGCGCAACTTGAAACCAAGCATCTGGGTAGTGACAGACAGGCTAGCAGAGAGATGCTGCCGCTTCTCTGGACATTGCCGATCGACGACTGACACTCTAGGCTGAGTGTAGCAGCTCTCAGGCTCGCAGGGGCCTGTGCCAGTAGTGCATGTTTCAAGGGCGCATGATCATTAAAGTTTAAAAAGGTCACAGCGCTTGCTTGCCATGTTCGCGCCAGTACTAGCCTCGGCCATTCGCTGTGCAAGTTGAGTGCGATTGAAAACCGTACCAGCAGGGAGGGGTAGGGGTGGGTAGGGGTAGTAGAATTTCATAGTCGGGGTGGGGTAGTGACAACCGGACACCCTCCGATGGTGAGAGGTGATCTGTTTGATTCAAATCAGTGCAGCCAAGAAAACTTGAGTGAAATCTGTACTATTGTAGTGGATGAATCGGTTTTATTCGATACATTGCAGGCAGGTATTCGAACCAAATCGTGCTGTGACTGGTCCTCTAGTAGGTGGGGAGTCTGTCTGGCGCCTGCAGGAATGGGTTTTCTGATACAATCTGATGGTGGGGTAGTGACAAGAGGGGGTACCAAAAACCACAGGATGGCTTTGCAAGGGTAGGGTGTAAGGTTGTAGGAAATGTCTATGCACGAAGGGGGTACAAATGATAATTCATGACGCACAATATGTTCCGCAATGTTGGATTTCATTTGAGTAGAAGCTCCGGCCCGTCACGCCCGTTGCCACGCTTTGATTGACAAGCAAGTTAACGTAAAAAAAAGTCAAAAAAAGTCAAAATTCGTTTCATTCCGTTACCAGGATCGGGGATAACAAAGAAAAGCCTCGATTCGGGGGTGGGGTACCTTATTTATTTATGGTAGTTGATTTGGATAGGACTCCTCTAGAGGGACCTCTAGGGAGTCACCCTACCTACTAGATTCGATCACACCCACCCTGGCTTTGCACATATGCATGTATGAAATGTACCGGTACTATCACCCCACCCCCCTCACGTTACCAAATGGATTACCCACCCACCCTCTGATTCTAAGCTCAAAACCCTTTCTCCTTCATTCCCCCCACCCCCCAACCCGCCATTTTTTCTGCCATGGCTCATCAAGATCGCAATGGCGACGAGGAGTCTGCGACTCGACATCCCCTCCTCCCCTCCCTCTCTTCCTACTCTCGCTCAGTTTCTCCTCCTCCCAGCTCATACAGTGCACATTGCTCTTTCTTCCCATCTCTACTATGTACGCCAAGGAACTTGAAACTGATTTTTTCAGACCTCCGTAAAAAGTCCGTAGCAGGATCTTTCCTGAAATTTCCTGCTTCCTGTGCAATATCGTTTCAGAACTCGTATCTGCACAGATGTGCTAAAGGCAAATATTGCAAAATCTCGACAGGATCGATCCTGTTCTTTTTGTTGCTGATGGTTGAAATTGTTGGCGGCAGTTTTGCTTCTACTTCCGTTGTGAAACAGCCCTCGGGTGGAAATGCGTCTGATGTTCTAGGATCGTTTGAATTGAGCGTAAGCGCCGAACTGTTTCAAAAAAAAAATCTCACAATCAGAGCACAGCTCTTCAAAAACAGTGAACCAGCAAGTTTGTTGAAGGGAAATCGAGAAATTCTACTCACGAGTCAAAACGTGACATTCACCGATCTTGTCGTTTATTTCAACGATGGATCAAAGTTTTCGCTCAAATTCTTTGCCATGAATTGCTCATCAGTTGTTCTGATAGCAGAAAGCAACCTTTTCAGTATCCTTCCCGGGTACCTAGAATTAGTCGAAGCACCCCATGTCGTGATTATTGGACTGCCATTCGATCTTGCTGTAGGTACATATGACAAAGCGAATCGATTACTGCACTACTCTACAAACACTCGAATGACACTAGATCTCAACGATAGTGATGGCGGATTTCTGGGTTGCCTCGAATTAGAAGGAAACTGTTTGGAAAGTTACACGATTGCCGGGATTGCAAAATTTTCTGGATTGATCGTCTACGGTCAATGGGACAACAGATCCTCTATTTCAATACTAGTATGGCATGAAGACAATGTTTCCTCTCTATACATTCAACTAAATTTCTCTCTGCACAATTGTTCGTTCCACGTCTGTCCTCCAGGTCAGTATTTCGAAACTCATTCGCAATTGGAAAGTTCAATCCTATCTGGATCCTGCATCATTTGTCCAGCAGGTTCAATTTGTCCAGAAAATTCTACTGTCGTGATACCATGTCCAAGTGGAACTTTCTCTCCAAACGAAGCTGAGTTTGACTTCCAAGCTTGCATTAGATGTTTGGATGGAACCTACTCAATTGCAGGTTCCACATCCTGCTCTGTTTGCGAGGCTGGTCACTTTTGCAAGGATGGAGTAAGGAAGAGATGCTCATTGGGAACGTTTTCTTTCAATAATTCTGTGTCATGCCAACCCTGTCCCCCTGGTCATTTTTGTGCTAGCTCAGCAATCCAGCCGATGCTGTGTTCCTCAGGACAATTTTCGTCTGGAAATCAATCAGAGTGTCTAGATTGTCCGTGGGGTACGTATTCTGAAGGTGGCTCGTCAGCCTGCCACTTTTGTCCCCTTGGACAATTCTTTGACCAATCTTCCTGCAGTGAGTGTGCGGTTGGTCATTTCTGCAATGGAATTGAAAAGATTCAATGTCCAGTAGATCATTATGCGAATGGCACTCACGCCACAACATGTCTGCAATGTGAGAATGGGACTTTTTCATCATGCGGATCTTCAGCATGCAGCGCTTGCACGGATGGCAGTGACCCAGACTACAGGTGCACGATTTGCAGACCAGGTTACTTTTCAAGTGACGGCAAGCCTCCTTGCGAACCCTGCCCAGCTGGTTTTGCTTGTCCAAATACAACTACAGTCGTTTCATGTCCAGAGGGGTATGTTTCCTCTTCCATGTCAGTTTCCTGTACTCCCTGCCCTCGGGGATCAGCTTGCCCAAATGTCAGTTCTATTGATACAATTCAGCCTTGTCTGGATGGTTCTTTCTCCCTAGGTGTCTCATCGACCTGTTCACTGTGCCCAGCAGGTTTTGCTTGTGAATATAGAGGTAATGTGCCTGCAAGATGTGCAGCTGGGACTTGGTCCCGTGAAGGACAAACGACATGTGCCATATGCCCCATGGGATTTTTCTGTGACCTTCTTCACTTAGAACCAACTCCTTGCCCTCCTGGAACATATTCCAATATCTCAGGACAGAAATCTGGAAGTCATTGCAGGATTTGCGACGCTGGAAAATATTTTCCTGCTTACAATGCAACCACTTGCATATCTTGTCCATCAGGATATAGTTGCCCAACGGCAACAGCTGTAGGATCAAGCTGTGCAAGTGGACAGTTTTCTGTGATTGGTCAGGGGATTTGCCTGCAGTGTCCTGCGGGCTACAAATGTCCCTCGTCAGATCTGCTTCCGGTACAATGTGAAGAGGGTTACTTCTCTGCTGAAGGCGAAATATATTGTCATATTTGCCCATCTGGATTCTCGTGCAATCCTGTATTTCCAAGTGCAGGACCGATTCCATGTCCAACAGGCACATTTTCTTTTTCAGGAAGTACTGTTTGCGAGGACTGTCCACCCGGCTACTATACAAGTATTGCATCAAATTGCTCAGAGCACGGTCAAGGAGCATCGAATTGCACTATTTGTCCTCCTGGTCACTACTGCGCGAATCATTCATTGCCAGCACGTTGCCCCCCTGGGAAATATGCACAAGGAGGTGAGCAGACATGCTCAGAGTGCATTGCCGGCTTTTTCTCTCAAGAGGCTGCAGAGAACTGCACTCCATGTCCAGCTGGAGAATACTGCTTCTCAACGAATTTACTGCCTGAACCTTGCCCTCCTGGCACATTCAGCGAAGCTCTCGCCACCGCTTGTCGAGACTGTCCGCCAGGTCAATATTCCGTTACGAATTCTTCAAGCTGCAATTTTTGTGAACCAGGCAAGTTCTGTATCAATAGGTTACCACCCCAGAATTGCTCTGCTGGGTATTTTTCAGATTACGGACAAACCAACTGTACGGAGTGTCCAGCCGGGCAATACTCTGTATCTGGAGCCTCATCATGTGAAAGATGTCCTGCCGGTTTCTATTGCCCTGGAATTTGCGACTCTCCGGTTGCTTTTCCTCTACCTTGCGAGGCAGGATACTTCTCTGAATCTGGTTCCAGTACATGTCTGCTATGCCAACCTGGTCGTTTTTCGAATAGCAAGGCCAGTACATGTGAGACTTGTCCACCTGGCAGCTTCTGTATTGATGGGAGATCACTAGCGTGTCCCTATGGAACCTTCTGCGAAGGAAATTGCTCCTCTTGCAATGTGTGCCCTCACGGAAAGTACATGCCACAAACTGGAAGTGCGGAATGTTTAGATTGCCCGATTGGAAGCTACTGTCCCAATGCATCAACTATTTGGCCTTTGAGTTGCCCTGCAGGGTACTACTCTGATCAAGGACAACAGGCATGCAATGCATGCGATGGTGGAACGTTTTCAAGTCAAGGGTCATCATCTTGCCACCAGTGCCCTGCTGGATACTTCTGTACACAAGCGTCCACGTATCCTTCAATCTGCTCTCCGGGCACATTCTCATTGAACTCCTCGTCACATTGTCTCAATTGCGAACCTGGCTCTTTCTCAGATTCTGGTTGGGCGTATTGTGAAACATGTCCGGCAGGAATGCAATGCTACAATCAGCAACATCCAGTACAGTGTAACCCGGGAACTTTTTCTGTTGGAAATCAAAGTCAATGCAAGCTTTGTCCAGATGGAACGTTTTCGGATGTGCATGCTTCCACATCGTGCATCGATTGTCCAAACGGACATAAGTGCTCGCGGGGCAATTTGAATCCTGAGCCTTGTGAGGATGGGAAATTTGCCCCCAATCGCTCCAGTGTCTGCTATACCTGTGCGGGAGGAACATACAATGCACGAATTGCACAAGAAGCATGCGATGTTTGTCCTGGAGGGTTCAGTTGCCCTCCCGGCTCCACCGCGCCTGAACCATGTGCACCAGGGTGGTATTCTGTAGAAAATGCTGCAGCATGCTCTAGATGTGCGCAAGGGACCTACTCCTCTCTCGTGAGTACTTCTTGTTCGACATGCCCAGCTGGAATGTTCTGTCCTTTCGGTCTTGGTCCATTTGGATGTCCTCCTGGTTACTATTCCAATGGTTCGTCTACTTCATGCCACGTGTGTCCGAGGGGCACGTTTTGTGAAGCAGGCTCTGATCTGCCTAAACTATGTCCCGCCGGTGAGTTCTGTGACAATATTCCCCAGTCATGTCCGCAAGGCTTCTATTCTTCGGCAGGCAGTGTGGATTGTACGCCATGCCCAGCTGGATACTATTGTCCCTCCACAGCTCTGCTGCCCATTCCTTGTGATCTCGGCTCGTTTTCTCCCGGTCTACAAACATCCTGCACTACATGCCCGGCTGGATTTTTTTGCTGTTCAAAAAATTGCACATTTTGCGATTCGAATGTATCCATGTTTACCCCACAGGATGTCTCGCCATATCAAGTCTCATTGTTACAATCATTTGATTTCAAGTACGTCAAGTGTTGGGATCGTTGCAGGCCTGGTACATACTCTTTGGGTAATCAAAGTGCATGCTTGGACTGCCCTGCTGGAATGGAATGTGCGGATGCAGCAAAATCTCCAGTCCTATGTCCAGATGGAAAGTTTTCAATGGGTCAAATGTCGAGATGTTTGACATGCCCACCTGGGTACGAGTGCAAAACAAAGATTTTGAATCCTACTATCTGTCCCATCGGCACATACTCACCAGGTCAGACGACAAGCTGCATTGTTTGCCCCTTCGGATCACAGTGCGATAATTACGGAATGTCTTACCCGGCTCGTTGTCCAGCTGGATTCTACAACTTGAATCCGAATAGCACTTGTACGATTTGCCCGCCAGGATATTTTTGTCCAACACCAGATTCGCGTCCGCAGGAGTGTCCAGATGGCTTTTGGGCTAACGCAGGTTCTTTGAAATGTACATCCTGTCAGGCGGGTTTCTATTGTCCATACAAAGAGTTGAACATTATGATCGCATGTGTTGAAGGTTCTTACTCATACGCTGGCCAGAGCCAATGTACCCCTTGCCCCGCCGGTTTCAAATGTCCAACAAGTTTGCCTGAGCCAATTGCATGCCCTCCAAATACATACTCAACAGGTTGGCAGAGCGATTGCTATGCATGTCCTCCAGGATTCTTATGTTTAAATACATCATCCAATCCCATCCCATGTCTCAATGGAACATATCGGGTGGGATCAGGAGATAGTTGTTTGACATGCCCTCCAGGCTTTGAGTGCCCCTTTACTTTCAGATCTCCCGCACCTTGCTCCGTGGGATATTGGAGCTCTGGCAGTTTCACGGCATGTCAACCATGTGACGCTGGTTTCCACTGCACTTTCCCAGCATCTCAGCCAAATGCTGACAAGGACCTTTGCCCCCCAGGGGGTTATTGCCCTGCAGGTTCTATTTTCACTCCCTGTCCCGCCGGTACTTTCAATGAATTTCCTGGATCTAGAAGCATTGTCTTCTGCACCCCTTGCCCCCAGGGTTATTTTTGTCCCAGCGGAACGGTTTCCTACCATCAGAACATTTGTCCCAAAGGCCATGTTTGTCCAAATGCGACATCCTATGGAACACAATATCCTTGTCCTGCTGGTACTTTCAATGATGAAATTGGAAGTTTCTCGTACACTTCTTGCAAGACGTGCAGCGCTGGTTATTACTGTGCCGGCGCCTCTGAGATGGAATCATACCTGTGTCCGCAGGGAAGCTATTGCCCAAATGGAACCTCTTACCCAGTTCCTTGTCCAGCTGGAACCTTCCTGGACTCCAATGGAATGTCTTCTGTGACAGCATGCAAGACTTGTACAATAGGTCATTTCTGTGTTGCAGGAAGTGGATCTGCAGCTCCTTGCCCGTTAGGGACTTTCTCACCTGCTGCTGGGAACTCGCAACAAGGTCAGTGTACGCTCTGTACAGCCGGGATGGCATGTCCGCGAGGAGCGCTGACTGCTCCGCTGGAGAATTGTGAGCTCGGTCACTATTGTCCTTCTGGTACCATCTACCCCACGCAGTATCCATGCGATGCTGGCAGAATGAATTTGAACTCCACAGATTTAGAGCAACGTTCTGACTGTGATGTTTGCCCTGAGAGATTCGCTTGTCAAACCGGAACGGGACATAGCAGCGCACCAATACAGAAATGTTCTCGAGGACACTTCTGTCCAGCTGGGACCAGCTTCCCAACTCAATATCCTTGTCCGCCAGGAACATTCACGGAAAGTAATGAGTTGGCCAGCGCTGCGGAGTGCACGGCTTGTCCTCCTGGGTTTTACTGCCTAGGTGGGGAGGCAAAGGTGAGTGGGCAATGCCCTACAGGATACTACTGCCCGACCAACACCGAGAGCAGCTTTCAATTTCCATGTCCTGCTGGCACTTACAACAGTCAGGTCGGCATCACATCAGTGGAAGGCTGTTTGGAGTGTCCTCCAGGAAATTTCTGCCTCCAGGGATCTTCGTTTGCGATTCCTTGCTTCGCAGGAACATATTCAAGCTCAAACAGAACTGAGTCAGCAGGAATTTCCAGCAGCAAGACGATGACTGTATCACCTTCCACCTTTCCATCATGTACTACATGTCCTGGCGGTTCCTTTTGTCCACGAGCAGAAATGACTGAACCTATGCCCTGTGGACCTGGTCGCTTCTCGGATCTCGGACAAACGTCATGCGAGCTGTGTCCGGCTGGTCGTTTCTGTGAAACAATGTGGAACAACTCAGCTGACCAGCTGGATACGAAGCAATGTCCAGCTGGTCTGTTTTGCCCTGTTGGGACCGCAATATTTCCCCAGTTCATACTTAATAATTGCAGCGGAGGAAATTATTGTCCCCGAGGGACGCCAATTCCAATTCCATGTCCTGAAGGCACTTTCATGAGCAACAAGGGAGCTAAAAACGTGACTGATTGCCAAGTCTGCCCGCAAGGATATTTCTGTCCTTTGGGTTCCAGTGCATGGAAGTATAACCTTTGTGCTCCGGGCCATTACTGCCCGGCCGGTTCCTCAAATTCCTTTCAAGAGCCCTGCCCGGGTGGGACTTATCGCTCCGAGCCTGCGGGAACTGACAGGTCAGACTGTGCCCTCTGCACAGCTGGTCTGTTTTGCCCGGAAGGGAGCTCCATGGGAGACGAATGCCCTATTGGAGCGTTTTGTCCCGAAGGAAGCGCAGTGCCTGAATTGTGTCCTCAGGGTACGTTTGGAGACTATCCCAGTCTTCAAAACCTTTCGATGTGCACTCCATGCCTACCAGGAAGGTTTTGCGATCAACCAGGGCTGATAGAACCAAACGGAGTTTGCTCTGCTGGTTATTACTGTCCCGTGGGATCTTCGTCGGCTACACCTTTGAACTTTTCTTGCCTTGAGGGTGGATACTGCCCCGAGGGTGTAGCTTACCCTATTGCGTGCCCGCCTGGTACTTACAATCCTGCCATTTCGTCGAAACGGCTTCTTGATTGTCTCTCTTGTCCGCCTGGTATGTACTGTGACGGTGAGAGAAACGAGCAGCCCGACGGCTATTGCAAGGCTGGCTTTTTCTGTACTGAAGGATCTAGCACTCCTGTACCATTTGAATCTAGCTCTGGAGATATTTGTCCGATGGGACACTTTTGCCCTGAAGGATCGCACGTACCCTTACCCTGCGCGCCTGGTTCTTTTGCTGCTCGGGTAGGGCAGGAACAGTGTACCCCATGTCCAGCGGGATATGTTTGTGCAGGGTATCAGCAAGTTTCCCCACGATCGTGTCCTGTTGCACATTACTGTACAGCAAATTCATCAACACCTGTACCGTGTCCAGCTGGATCTTACAGCAACAGAACTGAGTTGACATCTGAATCCGAGTGTTCATTATGCCCACCAGGATTCGCTTGTACAATTGAAGGGTTACAAGCTCCAGATGTGGTTTGCAACCAATCATGGTATTGTCAATCAGGTGCAATCTTTCCGTGGGGTAAATATGACACTTTGACGTCGACTGGCCGTCATTTAGTAGAAGCATGTCCAGCAGGGCACTACTGCGTCACCGGAGCCAGCGTCCCAACGCCTTGTCCTCCGGGGACATACTGCGAGGGCGGGGACGCACAGCCGGTACCATGCCCAGCGGGGACATACAACATGGAGGAGATGCAGACGAGCTGCAGGGCGTGTCCGGCAGGGTACCTGTGCTATCCGGGGGGAGTGGTGGACTACTCGAAAGGCAGCTACTATGCTGCAGAGGGCTTGTATGAATGCGCAGATCCGAGCGGAGGCATCTTCATAGGTCAGGATACGCTTCTAGAGGGCGATCTGGGTAACGTGCACACAAGCGTAGACATGATGGGGTACCTGATTGTCAGCGGCAGCTTGCGGACTGCAGCTACCGGAGTCGGGAAGTATGACGTGTTCGTGTCGAAGCTCGACATGGGAGGGAAGCTTCTTTGGACGACCCTGATAGGCACACCCGACGACGACAGGGCAGAGGGGATGACGGTAGGGGAGGACGGGAGCGTCTACGTGATGACAGGCAGCTCGGGAGGCTCATTCCTGACGAGGGTCGGGGGATGCGGGAGAGAGGAGTGGAGGATACCGATGGGAGCAGATGCTGGGCCAGGGACGGCAGCGCATCTGACGCATCAGGGCGACAAGGTGTACGCGTCATGGACGGACATGGAGAACAGGTCAAGGCTGGTGCAAGTTGGGGTGAATGGGAGTGTGTACTGGAATCGATCTTTGGGGGGGAATCAAAGCTTTGTGCGAGGGGTTGTGTGTGACGGAGAGGGAGCGATCTATGTTGTTAGGGAGATTTCTAATGGAACTGGTGTTTTCCCTTTGATTGGCAATAAGGTTTCTGTTTCCAAATATGATTTTAATGGCGATTATGTGTGGAATACCTTTTTGGCATTGAGGAGTTTAGCTCTGTACAATCATTTCTCATGGATCCATGATACATTGATGTTCGTTGGAAGTTTTCTAGTTCCGATTGATATCTCCAACCTTGACACCAAGGATATAGTTGTGAATGTATCACAGCTCGGCGATGTGTCATATAATGTAATGCCTTTTACAAGTGCAGACTACATACAGTTCTTTACAGTTGATGAGGCTGACAACTATTATTTTGTTTTAAAGAGTGATTTAGACTTTGCATGCAGTCTAAATGGCCAGTACTACTTGCAAAAATTCAATTCGGATGGTACATTGCAGTGGAAATCAGGAGTTTCTTTTAATGATTCTGCAACAATCCTGGGATTATCGTTCTCTGCTGGTCAAATACTATTATTTGGATCAGAAATGGCAAGAAACCACACCAATGTCCAAATTCTCAAGCAGTCAAAGCTTTCGATGTCTGTCACTTGCGGTGGAATCAGTTTTGGAATGGATTTTCGATGTCCCGTGGGCCATTACTGTCCTATTGGCATCAAGAGCGCACGTGATGGACAATGCCCACTCGGGACATTCAATCCTCACAGAGGGATGGAGAACCTATCCCAATGCATCAGCTGCCCTCCTGGTATGTTCTGTGATGCATACTCCTTGCCAGCTCCAAGTGGGTTTTGCCTCCCTGGGTTCTACTGTCTACGAGGGTCTGCGCATCCAAGAGGGTCGGTTTGTGACAATCGCACTGTAATCTGTGACACACCAAGGTGCGCGACGACGGAAGTGTCGAGGTCGTCGGAGAGGTGTGGAGGGATTTGCACTAAGGGAACCTTCTGTCCGAGAGGGTCGGACTTTCCTCGGCAATGCCCACCTGGATCGTTCTGTGCTGCAGACGGCGCTTCAACTGTAGCTGGCCCATGTCAAGCTGGCTTTTACTGCGAGGTACCCGGAGGGACCAATAGTACTCCGTCTGGAGCATCAGCACAAGCTGGTCCATGCCCAGCAGGGTTTTATTGTCCAGTTGGGTCGATTTTACCGAGCAAGTGCCCCAGGGGAACATTCTCACAGAAGAAGAAAGCCTGGAGGTTTGAAGACTGTAGCATATGTATGTCGGGCAAAGTTTGCCCGACATACAACACGACTGAGCCGAGCGCGTGTGATCCAGGCTATTTTTGTCCTCCAGGAAGCAAGGAGGCCACTCCAGAAAACACCATGTGCCCCAAACGACATGCGTGTCCCGAGAACTCTAGCGAGCCAATACCATGTGCGGCCGGGTACTACCAGGACGAGGTCGGGCAGAGCTCCTGCAAGACCTGCCTCCCAGGTCTCTTCTGTCCAGGTACGTCTGCTAGTGCGGATCCCAACGGCACCGTGGTCTGTCCGGTCGGTCACTACTGCCCTACGGGGTCATCGTCGCCCAGGCTGTGCGCAGCGGGGATGTACTCGAGGGACCGGGAGCAGGCGGTGTGCCAGTACTGCCCAAGGCGATACACATGCCCGACGCCGGGGACGGTAGAGCCGCTGCCGTGTCCGGTGGGTCACTACTGCGGCACTAACAACTCGTCTCCCGTGCCATGCCCGGCGGGAACATTCAGTTATAGGACTGCTTCATCTCTTCAGGAATGTAATCTTTGTCCTGCAGGACGATTTTGTCCTGAGATTGCAGCTACTAACTGGTCTGGAATCTGTGATGAAGGATTTTGGTGCTTGTTTGGTTCACAAATCCCACACGTCAACTTCTCAATGGCAGCAATCAGGTTGGGAACGATAATTCCTTGTCCTGCAGGGCACTACTGCGTCACCGGAGCCAGCGTCCCAACGCCTTGTCCTCCGGGGACATACTGCGAGGGCGGGGACGCACAGCCGGTACCATGCCCAGCGGGGACATACAACATGGAGGAGATGCAGACGAGCTGCAGGGCGTGTCCGGCAGGGTACCTGTGCTATCCGGGGGGAGTGGTGGACTACTCGAAAGGCAGCTACTATGCTGCAGAGGGCTTGTATGAGTGCGCAGATCCGAGCGGAGGCATCTTCATAGGTCAGGATACGCTTCTAGAGGGCGATCTGGGTAACGTGCACACAAGCGTAGACATGATGGGGTACCTGATTGTCAGCGGCAGCTTGCGGACGGCAGCTACCGGAGTCGGGAAGTATGACGTGTTCGTGTCGAAGCTCGACATGGGAGGGAAGCTTCTTTGGACGACCCTGATAGGCACACCCGACGACGACAGGGCAGAGGGGATGACGGTAGGGGAGGACGGGAGCGTCTACGTGATGACAGGCAGCTCGGGAGGCTCATTCCTGACGAGGGTCGGGGGATGCGGGAGAGAGGAGTGGAGGATACCGATGGGAGCAGATGCTGGGCCAGGGACGGCAGCGCATCTGACGCATCAGGGCGACAAGGTGTACGCGTCATGGACGGACATGGAGAACAGGTCAAGGCTGGTGCAAGTTGGGGTGAATGGGAGTGTGTACTGGAATCGATCTTTGGGGGGGAATCAAAGCTTTGTGCGAGGGGTTGTGTGTGACGGAGAGGGAGCGATCTATGTTGCTGCGCAGGCAAGCAATTCATCATTGGGTACCAGGGGGACTCTGTTGAAGGTCGGTGTATCAGGTGTCACAGTATGGGAGCGAGGTGTAATATCATCTGGTTACATTTCTGTGGTCGGGACTTTCGCAGATAGGGACGGGTATGTGTGGATCTTTGGCAATACGGGCATCTGCAGCAACATGGCTGAAACCTCGAAACAAGCCTTGAATCTTACGATCCATTCAGACTTTATCTCTCGTCCAGCACTCATCGGAGGCTGTGACATTCTCTTGGCAAAGTATGATAATCAAGGGCAGGTAGTACAGTCATTTGTGCTGGGAACGCCTGGAGATGAAAGGATAACTGATGTGACACTGTCTGACATGGGAGATATATTCATCCTTGGAGAGGCTCTGGTGCTATCGGAGGGATACCTTCCATTTGTTACAAGGGTACTGACAAGTAGCCAACTGAGCTGGACGAGATTGGTAGGCACAAACAGTACTGGCGTTGGACAGTCAATCTTTTTGCGAGATGGTGCGATATCAGTTGTGACTGAGGTTTACAAGGAAGCAGCATCGTCTATGGAGACGAATGTCAGCTTGGTAACGAAGCAAGTCCAAATCGATTTGGTGCAGATCGCAACAAGAGAAACATGCAAAGGTGTATCCTTTGGTGAAAGCTTCGAGTGTCCCGTGGGCCATTACTGTCCTATTGGCATCAAGAGCGCACGTGAAGGACAATGCCCACTCGGGACATTCAATCCTCACAGAGGGATGGAGAGCCTATCCCAATGCATCAGCTGCCCTCCTGGAAAATTTTGTAATGGCTTAGCTTTGACATCGCCTAGTGGTGACTGCATCGAAGGATTCTATTGTAGAGTTGGGTCAGCAAATGAAATTGCTTCGGTATGCGATCCAAGATCTTATTATTGTGATACCCCAGGATGCAGCAATTACTACAAAGGAGATGTTATTCCGTCTTGTGGAGGATCTTGTGAACCTGGCATGTTCTGTCCAGCTGGAACTCAGAGGCAAGAGCCCTGTCCACCTGGATTTTTTTGCATTGAAAACACAAAGGTCACTGGTCCATGCGCTGCCGGATATTATTGTTCTTTACCTGAAGGCAAGACTCCTACTCCTGATGGTAATGAAACCGGCTTTGGCCCATGTCCAGCAGGGTTTTATTGTCCACTTGGGACAGAAATTCCGATAAGTTGTCCAAGAGGGACATATTCAAACAAAGAAAAGGCAACATCAATCAGTGATTGTCAGATTTGTCCTGCTGGAAACTACTGTGATGAGAAAAATCTTAAATATCCAAAACCTTGTCCATCTGGATACTATTGCCAAGGTGGTACAAAATTTGCAAAACAAAACTCGAATTTCTGCCCAATTAACACATACTGCCAAGGGGAAAATACAAACCCAATCCTTTGCAACCCCACATCCTATCAAGACGAGGTCGGGCAGAGCTCCTGCAAGACCTGCCTCCCAGGTCTCTTCTGTCCAGGTACGTCTGCTAGCGCGGATCCCAACGGCACCGTGGTCTGTCCGGTCGGTCACTACTGCCCTACGGGGTCATCGTCGCCAAGGCTGTGCGCAGCGGGGATGTACTCGAGGGACCGGGAGCAGGCGGTGTGCCAGTACTGCCCAAGGCGATACACATGCCCGACGCCGGGGACGGTAGAGCCGCTGCCATGTCCGGTGGGTCACTACTGCGGCACTAACAACTCGTCTCCCGTGCCATGCCCGGCAGGTACGTACAGCAACCTGACCGAGCTAGAAGGCTCGTCGGAGTGTAGGCTGTGCGATCCCGGGAAGTACTGCAGTACGGCAGGGCTCACGTCTCCGACGGGAATGTGCGAGGCGGGCTATTTCTGCGAGGCTGGGGCGATCAACTCCGCAGGGGCGGCAGACGAGTACACGACGGGAGGCCGGCGGCGGGTGATGGCATGTCCAGCAGGGCACTACTGCGTCACCGGAGCCAGCGTCCCCACGCCCTGTCCTCCGGGGACATACTGCGAGGGCGGGGACGCACAGCCGGTACCATGCCCAGCGGGGACATACAACATGGAGGAGATGCAGACGAGCTGCAGGGCGTGTCCGGCAGGGTACCTGTGCTATCCGGGGGGAGTGGTAGACTACAGCAACGGCACAAACTACTCGGCCAGCATGCTGCAGACCTGTCTGTCGACCCTGGAGGCAGGGAGCTCAGGCGAGATGTGTGTCTCGACGATGGGGGGCCACGACTACAGGTGTCCGCTGGGGCACTACTGCCCCGAGGGGCTCAAGGAGCCGGCCCTTGGCAGGTGTCCGCCAGGTACGTTCAACGCTCATCACGGACTGAACAATGTCTCGCAATGCATGAGCTGTCCGCCAGGCATGTACTGCGCAGGGTCAGGGCTGGGCTGGCCTAGCGGGCCGTGCCTACCCGGGCGATACTGTCGGGAGGGGTCGGCAGACGAGTACGGATCGAGGTGCGACAATCGCTCGGTAGCGTGCGACAGTCCACGGTGCGAGCTGATGATAGCGCGCGTGATCGACGTGACGGGATGCGGGGGGGAGTGTCCGGCAGGGTGGATATGTCCAGGGGGATCATGGGAGCCGCTACCCTGCCCGCCGGGACGGTACTGTGAGAAGGCTGGTATTGCAAACGCGACGGGACCATGCGACGCAGGATACTACTGCATGAGCGAGGCCGGGGGCTCGATCGGGAGCACGCCGACCCCCGCCGAGTCTGGAGGGCGGGGACCATGCCCGGCCGGGCACTACTGCCCGGTGGGCACCGTAGCACCAGTGAAGTGTCCTCGGGGCAGCTTCTCAGGGAACGAGAGAGACACGCAACTGTCGGACTGCACGGCATGTCTGGCAGGGCACTATTGCGGGAAGGAGGGCATGCCAAGAGGAGACATATATGCATGTCCGGAGGGCTACTACTGTCCTCAAGGAGCATGGCTCGCTCGAACCGTCAAGACCGTATGTACGAAAGGCCACGCTTGCCCTCAGAACTCGTCGTCCCCTGTACCATGTGCGGCCGGGTACTACCAGGACGAGGTCGGGCAGAGCTCCTGCAAGACCTGCCTCCCAGGTCTCTTCTGTCCAGGTACGTCTGCTAGCGCGGATCCCAACGGCACCGTGGTCTGTCCGGTCGGTCACTACTGCCCTACGGGGTCATCGTCGCCAAGGCTGTGCGCAGCGGGGATGTACTCGAGGGACCGGGAGCAGGCGGTGTGCCAGTACTGCCCCAGGCGATACACATGCCCGACGCCGGGGACGGTAGAGCCGCTGCCGTGTCCGGTGGGTCACTACTGCGGCACTAACAACTCGTCTCCCGTGCCATGCCCGGCAGGTACGTACAGCAACCTGACCGAGCTAGAAGGCTCGTCGGAGTGTAGGCTGTGCGATCCCGGGAAGTACTGCAGTACGGCAGGGCTCACGTCTCCGACGGGAATGTGCGAGGCGGGCTATTTCTGCGAGGCTGGGGCGATCAACTCCGCAGGGGCGGCAGACGAGTACACGACGGGAGGCCGGCGGCGGGTGATGGCATGTCCAGCAGGGCACTACTGCGTCACCGGAGCCAGCGTCCCCACGCCCTGTCCTCCGGGGACATACTGCGAGGGCGGGGACGCACAGCCGGTACCATGCCCAGCGGGGACATACAACATGGAGGAGATGCAGACGAGCTGCAGGGCGTGTCCGGCAGGGTACCTGTGCTATCCGGGGGGAGTGGTAGACTACAGCAACGGCACAAACTACTCGGCCAGCATGCTGCAGACCTGTCTGTCGACCCTGGAGGCAGGGAGCTCAGGCGAGATGTGTGTCTCGACGATGGGGGGCCACGACTACAGGTGTCCGCTGGGGCACTACTGTCCCGAGGGGCTCAAGGAGCCGGCCCTTGGCAGGTGTCCGCCAGGTACGTTCAACGCTCATCACGGACTGAACAATGTCTCGCAATGCATGAGCTGTCCGCCAGGCATGTACTGCGCAGGGTCAGGGCTGGGCTGGCCTAGCGGGCCGTGCCTACCCGGGCGATACTGTCGGGAGGGGTCGGCAGACGAGTACGGATCGAGGTGCGACAATCGCTCGGTAGCGTGCGACAGTCCACGGTGCGAACTGATGATAGCGCGCGTGATCGACGGGACGGGATGCGGGGGGGAGTGTCCGGCAGGGTGGATATGTCCAGGGGGATCATGGGAGCCGCTACCCTGCCCGCCGGGACGGTACTGTGAGAAGGCTGGTATTGCAAACGCGACGGGACCATGCGACGCAGGATACTACTGCATGAGCGAGGCCGGGGGCTCGATCGGGAGCACGCCGACCCCCGCCGAGTCTGGAGGGCGGGGACCATGCCCGGCCGGGCACTACTGCCCGGTGGGCACCGTAGCACCAGTGAAGTGTCCTCGGGGCAGCTTCTCCGGGAACGAGAGGAACACGCAACTGTCGGACTGCACGGCATGTTCGGAGGGCTACTACTGTCCTCAGGAAGCTTTGTTGAGTTTTTCCATTTTCGAGTGCTCGCCTGGATACTACTGCCCTCCACGGTCGCTAAATGACAAGGCTGTCATTTGCCCTGCTGGGTACTTTTGCATTGCTCGAAAAGGGCTACCGGAGCCATGTGCGGCCGGGTACTACCAGGACGAGGTGGGTCAAACTGGCTGCAAGGTCTGCCCTGAGGGTCATGTATGCCGATACAACGCAACATCCAAACTCAATATCGAAACATGTCCAGCGTGTCCACCTGGCCATTACTGTGAAAAAGGAACTTCCATTCCAGCAAAATGTGCCGCAGCAACATACAACAGAGTCCAAGGGTTAACAGCGTGCATAGACTGTCCAGCTCGGTACACATGCCCGACGCCGGGGACGGTAGAGCCGCTGCCGTGTCCGGTGGGTCACTACTGCGGCACTAACAACTCGTCTCCCGTGCCATGCCCGGCAGGTACGTACAGCAACCTGACCGAGCTAGAAGGCTCGTCGGAGTGTAGGCTGTGCGATCCCGGGAAGTACTGCAGTACGGCAGGGCTCACGTCTCCGACGGGAATGTGCGAGGCGGGCTATTTCTGCGAGGCTGGGGCGATCAACTCCGCAGGGGCGGCAGACGAGTACACGACGGGAGGCCGGCGGCGGGTGATGGCATGTCCAGCAGGGCACTACTGCGTCACCGGAGCCAGCGTCCCCACGCCCTGTCCTCCGGGGACATACTGCGAGGGCGGGGACGCACAGCCGGTACCATGCCCAGCGGGGACATACAACATGGAGGAGATGCAGACGAGCTGCAGGGCGTGTCCGGCAGGGTACCTGTGCTATCCGGGGGGAGTGGTGGACTACTCGAAAGGCAGCTACTATGCTGCAGAGGGCTTGTATGAGTGCGCAGATCCGAGCGGAGGTATCTTCATAGGTCAGGATACGCTTCTAGAGGGCGATCTGGGTAACGTGCACACAAGCGTAGACATGATGGGGTACCTGATTGTCAGCGGCTGCTTGCGGACTGCAGCTACCGGAGTCGGGAAGTATGACGTGTTCGTGTCGAAGCTCGACATGGGAGGGAAGCTTCTTTGGACGACCCTGATAGGCACACCCGACGACGACAGGGCAGAGGGGATGACGGTAGGGGAGGACGGGAGCGTCTACGTGATGACAGGCAGGTCGGGAGGCTCATTCCTGACGAGGGTCGGGGGATGCGGGAGAGAGGAGTGGAGGATACCGATGGGAGCAGATGCTGGGCCAGGGACGGCAGCGCATCTGACGCATCAGGGCGACAAGGTGTACGCGTCATGGACGGACATGGAGAACAGGTCAAGGCTGGTGCAAGTTGGGGTGAATGGGAGTGTGTACTGGAATCGATCTTTGGGGGGGAATCAAAGCTTTGTGCGAGGGGTTGTGTGTGACGGAGAGGGAGCGATCTATGTTGCTGCGCAGGCAAGCAATTCATCATTGGGTACCAGGGGGACTCTGTTGAAGGTCGGTGTATCAGGTGTCACAGTATGGGAGCGAGGTGTAATATCATCTGGTTACATTTCTGTGGTCGGGACTTTCGCAGATAGGGACGGGTATGTGTGGATCTTTGGCAATACGGGCATCTGCAGCAACATGGCTGAAACCTCGAAACAAGCCTTGAATCTTACGATCCATTCAGACTTTATCTCTCGTCCAGCACTCATCGGAGGCTGTGACATTCTCTTGGCAAAGTATGATAATCAAGGGCAGGTAGTACAGTCATTTGTGCTGGGAACGCCTGGAGATGAAAGGATAACTGATGTGACACTGTCTGACATGGGAGATATATTCATCCTTGGAGAGGCTCTGGTGCTATCGGAGGGATACCTTCCATTTGTTACAAGGGTACTGACAAGTAGCCAACTGAGCTGGACGAGATTGGTAGGCATAAACAGTACTGGCGTTGGACAGTCAATCTTTTTGCGAGATGGTGCGATATCAGTTGTGACTGAGGTTTACAAGGAAGCAGCATCGTCTATGGAGACGAATGTCAGCTTGGTAACGAAGCAAGTCCAAATCGATTTGGTGCAGATCGCAACAAGAGAAATATGCAAAGGTGTATCCTTTGGTGAAAGCTTCGAGTGTCCCGTGGGCCATTTCTGTCCTATTGGCATCAAGAGCGCACGTGATGGACAATGCCCACTCGGGACATTCAATCCTCACAGAGGGATGGAGAACCTATCCCAATGCATCAGCTGCCCTCCTGGTATGTTCTGTGATGCATACTCCTTGCCAGCTCCAAGTGGGTTTTGCCTCCCTGGGTTCTACTGTCTACGAGGATCGGCGCATCCAAGAGGGTCGGTTTGTGACAATCGCACTGTAATCTGTGACACACCAAGGTGCGCGACGACGGAAGTGTCGAGGTCGTCGGAGAGGTGTGGAGGGATTTGCACTAAGGGAACCTTCTGTCCGAGAGGGTCGGACTTTCCTCGGCAATGCCCACCTGGATCGTTCTGTGCTGCAGACGGCGCTTCAACTGTAGCTGGCCCATGTCAAGCTGGCTTTTACTGCGAGGTACCCGGAGGGACCAATAGTACTCCGTCTGGAGCATCAGCACAAGCTGGTCCATGCCCAGCAGGGTTTTATTGTCCAGTTGGGTCGATTTTACCGAGCAAGTGCCCCAGAGGAACATTCTCACAGAAGAAGAAAGCCTGGAGGTTTGAAGACTGTAGCATATGTATGTCGGGCAAAGTTTGCCCGACATACAACACGACTGAGCCGAGCGCGTGTGATCCAGGCTATTTTTGTCCTCCAGGAAGCAAGGAGGCCACTCCAGAAAACACCATGTGCCCCAAACGACATGCGTGTCCCGAGAACTCTAGCGAGCCAATACCATGTGCGGCCGGGTACTACCAGGACGAGGTCGGGCAGAGCTCCTGCAAGACCTGCCTCCCAGGTCTCTTCTGTCCAGGTACGTCTGCTAGTGCGGATCCCAACGGCACCGTGGTCTGTCCGGTCGGTCACTACTGCCCTACGGGGTCATCGTCGCCAAGGCTGTGCGCAGCGGGGATGTACTCGAGGGACCGGGAGCAGGCGGTGTGCCAGTACTGCCCAAGGCGATACACATGCCCGACGCCGGGGACGGTAGAGCCGCTGCCGTGTCCGGTGGGTCACTACTGCGGCACTAACAACTCGTCTCCCGTGCCATGCCCGGCAGGTACGTACAGCAACCTGACCGAGCTAGAAGGCTCGTCGGAGTGTAGGCTGTGCGATCCCGGGAAGTACTGCAGTACGGCAGGGCTCACGTCTCCGACGGGAATGTGCGAGGCGGGCTATTTCTGCGAGGCTGGGGCGATCAACTCCGCAGGGGCGGCAGACGAGTACACGACGGGAGGCCGGCGGCGGGTGATGGCATGTCCAGCAGGGCACTACTGCGTCACCGGAGCCAGCGTCCCCACGCCCTGTCCTCCGGGGACATACTGCGAGGGCGGGGACGCACAGCCGGTACCATGCCCAGCGGGGACATACAACATGGAGGAGATGCAGACGAGCTGCAGGGCGTGTCCGGCAGGGTACCTGTGCTATCCGGGGGGAGTGGTAGACTACAGCAACGGCACAAACTACTCGGCCAGCATGCTGCAGACCTGTCTGTCGACCCTGGAGGCAGGGAGCTCAGGCGAGATGTGTGTCTCGACGATGGGGGGCCACGACTACAGGTGTCCGCTGGGGCACTACTGCCCCGAGGGGCTCAAGGAGCCGGCCCTTGGCAGGTGTCCGCCAGGTACGTTCAACGCTCATCACGGACTGAACAATGTCTCGCAATGCATGAGCTGTCCGCCAGGCATGTACTGCGCAGGGTCAGGGCTGGGCTGGCCTAGCGGGCCGTGCCTACCCGGGCGATACTGTCGGGAGGGGTCGGCAGACGAGTACGGATCGAGGTGCGACAATCGCTCGGTAGCGTGCGACAGTCCACGGTGCGAACTGATGATAGCGCGCGCGATCGACGGGACGGGATGCGGGGGGGAGTGTCCGGCAGGGTGGATATGTCCAGGGGGATCATGGGAGCCGCTACCCTGCCCGCCGGGACGGTACTGTGAGAAGGCTGGTATTGCAAACGCGACGGGACCATGCGACGCAGGATACTACTGCATGAGCGAGGCCGGGGGCTCGATCGGGAGCACGCCGACCCCCGCCGAGTCTGGAGGGCGGGGACCATGCCCGGCCGGGCACTACTGCCCGGTGGGCACCGTAGCACCAGTGAAGTGTCCTCGGGGCAGCTTCTCCTGGAACGAGAGGAACACGCAACTGTCGGACTGCACGGCATGTCTGGCAGGGCACTATTGCGGGAAGGAGGGCATGCCAAGAGGAGACATATATGCATGTCCGGAGGGCTACTACTGTCCTCAAGGAGCATGGCTCGCTCGAACCGTCAAGACCGTATGTACGAAAGGCCACGCTTGCCCTCAGAACTCGTCGTCCCCTGTACCATGTGCGGCCGGGTACTACCAGGACGAGGTCGGGCAGAGCTCCTGCAAGACCTGCCTCCCAGGTCTCTTCTGTCCAGGTACGTCTGCTAGCGCGGATCCCAACGGCACCGTGGTCTGTCCGGTCGGTCACTACTGCCCTACGGGGTCATCGTCGCCAAGGCTGTGCGCAGCGGGGATGTACTCGAGGGACCGGGAGCAGGCGGTGTGCCAGTACTGCCCAAGGCGATACACATGCCCGACGCCGGGGACGGTAGAGCCGCTGCCGTGTCCGGTGGGTCACTACTGCGGCACTAACAACTCGTCTCCCGTGCCATGCCCGGCAGGTACGTACAGCAACCTGACCGAGCTAGAAGGCTCGTCGGAGTGTAGGCTGTGCGATCCCGGGAAGTACTGCAGTACGGCAGGGCTCACGTCTCCGACGGGAATGTGCGAGGCGGGCTATTTCTGCGAGGCTGGGGCGATCAACTCCGCAGGGGCGGCAGACGAGTACACGACGGGAGGCCGGCGGCGGGTGATGGCATGTCCAGCAGGGCACTACTGCGTCACCGGAGCCAGCGTCCCCACGCCCTGTCCTCCGGGGACATACTGCGAGGGCGGGGACGCACAGCCGGTACCATGCCCAGCGGGGACATACAACATGGAGGAGATGCAGACGAGCTGCAGGGCGTGTCCGGCAGGGTACCTGTGCTATCCGGAGGGAGTGGTAGACTACAGCAACGGCACAAACTACTCGGCCAGCATGCTGCAGACCTGTCTGTCGACCCTGGAGGCAGGGAGCTCAGGCGAGATGTGTGTCTCGACGATGGGGGGCCACGACTACAGGTGTCCGCTGGGGCACTACTGTCCCGAGGGGCTCAAAGAGCCGGCCCTTGGCAGGTGTCCGCCAGGTACGTTCAACGCTCATCACGGACTGAACAATGTCTCGCAATGCATGAGCTGTCCGCCAGGCATGTACTGCGCAGGGTCAGGGCTGGGCTGGCCTAGCGGGCCGTGCCTACCCGGGCGATACTGTCGGGAGGGGTCGGCAGACGAGTACGGATCGAGGTGCGACAATCGCTCGGTAGCGTGCGACAGTCCACGGTGCGAACTGATGATAGCGCGCGTGATCGACGGGACGGGATGCGGGGGGGAGTGTCCGGCAGGGTGGATATGTCCAGGGGGATCATGGGAGCCGCTACCCTGCCCGCCGGGACGGTACTGTGAGAAGGCTGGTATTGCAAACGCGACGGGACCATGCGACGCAGGATACTACTGCATGAGCGAGGCCGGGGGCTCGATCGGGAGCACGCCGACCCCCGCCGAGTCTGGAGGGCGGGGACCATGCCCGGCCGGGCACTACTGCCCGGTGGGCACTGTAGCACCAGTGAAGTGTCCTCGGGGCAGCTTCTCCTGGAACGAGAGGAACACGCAACTGTCGGACTGCACGGCATGTCTGGCAGGGCACTATTGCGGGAAGGAGGGCATGCCAAGAGGAGACATATATGCATGTCCGGAGGGCTACTACTGTCCTCAAGGAGCATGGCTCGCTCGAACCGTCAAGACCGTATGTACGAAAGGCCACGCTTGCCCTCAGAACTCGTCGTCCCCTGTACCATGTGCGGCCGGGTACTACCAGGACGAGGTCGGGCAGAGCTCCTGCAAGACCTGCCTCCCAGGTCTCTTCTGTCCAGGTACGTCTGCTAGCGCGGATCCCAACGGCACCGTGGTCTGTCCGGTCGGTCACTACTGCCCTACGGGGTCATCGTCGCCAAGGCTGTGCGCAGCGGGGATGTACTCGAGGGACCGGGAGCAGGCGGTGTGCCAGTACTGCCCAAGGCGATACACATGCCCGACGCCGGGGACGGTAGAGCCGCTGCCGTGTCCGGTGGGTCACTACTGCGGCACTAACAACTCGTCTCCCGTGCCATGCCCGGCAGGTACGTACAGCAACCTGACCGAGCTAGAAGGCTCGTCGGAGTGTAGGCTGTGCGATCCCGGGAAGTACTGCAGTACGGCAGGGCTCACGTCTCCGACGGGAATGTGCGAGGCGGGCTATTTCTGCGAGGCTGGGGCGATCAACTCCGCAGGGGCGGCAGACGAGTACACGACGGGAGGCCGGCGGCGGGTGATGGCATGTCCAGCAGGGCACTACTGCGTCACCGGAGCCAGCGTCCCCACGCCCTGTCCTCCGGGGACATACTGCGAGGGCGGGGACGCACAGCCGGTACCATGCCCAGCGGGGACATACAACATGGAGGAGATGCAGACGAGCTGCAGGGCGTGTCCGGCAGGGTACCTGTGCTATCCGGAGGGAGTGGTAGACTACAGCAACGGCACAAACTACTCGGCCAGCATGCTGCAGACCTGTCTGTCGACCCTGGAGGCAGGGAGCTCAGGCGAGATGTGTGTCTCGACGATGGGGGGCCACGACTACAGGTGTCCGCTGGGGCACTACTGTCCCGAGGGGCTCAAAGAGCCGGCCCTTGGCAGGTGTCCGCCAGGTACGTTCAACGCTCATCACGGACTGAACAATGTCTCGCAATGCATGAGCTGTCCGCCAGGCATGTACTGCGCAGGGTCAGGGCTGGGCTGGCCTAGCGGGCCGTGCCTACCCGGGCGATACTGTCGGGAGGGGTCGGCAGACGAGTACGGATCGAGGTGCGACAATCGCTCGGTAGCGTGCGACAGTCCACGGTGCGAGCTGATGATAGCGCGCGTGATCGACGGGACGGGATGCGGGGGGGAGTGTCCGGCAGGGTGGATATGTCCAGGGGGATCATGGGAGCCACTACCCTGCCCGCCGGGTTTTTATTGTAGTCTTTCGGGGCAGGGATGGGTCACAGGACTATGTCCAGCGGGATCATACTGTGAGAATTCGAACGGTTATAGTGTTGTCACGGTTTGTCCGATCGGCTTTTACTGTCCCCCAGGTTCTCAATATCCTTTGGCATGTCCTCTTGGTACTTCCTCCAATCGTTACAACATTTCAAGTTCAACTGATTGCATTCCATGTCCAGCTGGATATTACTGCCCATCTGCTGTGACAGAGTGTAGCTCTCAGAATGTAGATTCTTGTTTGGGTTTGAAGGAGATTTGTCCGGAGGGATACTACTGCCCGCCGGGCAGTTACATCGGGTACAATCCAGAGCATATTTGTCCGAAGGGGCATTACTGCCCAGTCGGTTCCTCGTCAGCGCTGCCTTGCCCCCCCGGACAATACCAAGATTACATTGAATCGTCCTCCTGCAAGCCTTGTTACGCTGGCGCCTACTGTCCAGGTGTAGGCAATGTCGACCCTACCATTCAAGATGATGGAGCAAACATCTGCCCTCAAGGACATTATTGCCCTGCTCTTTCAGCCAATGCAACGCCTTGTCCCATCGGATTCTTCAATCCACTGTTTGCATCAGTCAACATATCCGATTGTCAAATATGTTTAGCGGGAATGTACTGCAACAACAGTGGACTTTCGTATCCCACAGGACTCTGTGACGCTGGGTATTTCTGCTTGCTGGGAGCGAAGACTGCAAACCCAGTTGAGAACCTGTGCCCTCGAGGCTTTAAATGTCCTGCAGGTTCGAGATGGCCTTTGTTGTGTCCTGCTGGGACATATTCTCCGAATATGGGCGCTGCCTCCTGCAGGAATGTTGGAGGAGGATTTTATCTCAACATGAGCGGAGTAGTCTCGTTTGGGCTTGATTTTTTTGCAGACAATTTCACAGAAATCGAGTTATATTCTGCTTTCAAGCAAAAAGATTTGCCCAATTCCAAGTTCATATGCCAAACTCTTCATGATTCCTTGATTGGATGCGAGAATCGTGACTCGAATTTGACCGTGGATTCATTTGAGTTTTGCGACCAATTCAGAATAGCTCCAACGCAATGCTCGACCTCTCCTGAAGCAAGCAAAACCTGCTGTTCATGTGGTGGTGGGAAGAGAGATTTTGCAATCTGCGAAATTTTGACTGAAACTATCTTTGGAAAATGTGCTTCAGGATATTACTGCATAGAGGGATCGCCATCTCAATACCCTCTGGCGGAATCGAATGAGGGGAAGGGGGACATTTGTCCGCCTGGCCATTACTGTCCTACCGGCACAACACGTCCAATAAAGTGCCCAGATGGTCAGTATCAGACTGACTTTGGCAAAGACTATTGCCTAGACATTCCAGAGGGCTATTTCAGTCCAAATGACACAGCAACTTCAATCGAAATTTGCCTGCAGGGCCACTACTGCCCCCGAGCGCATATCCTGTCACCTATCCCATGCCCCAGTGGTACTTACGGCAACATTACTGGAATGACAAAGCTTGAACAATGCTTTGCTTGCCTCCCAGGGATGTATTGTCCTGCTGAGGGCCAAGTATTGCCACGTGGACTTTGTTCGATGGGCTTCTTGTGCAAAGGTGGCGATGTCAACTGGAATCTGAACTTGTCATACCTCTGTCCAGCTGGATATTATTGTCCTGCGGGAAGTGCAGACCCAACGCAATGCCCCCCTGGGACATATAATGACAAATTGGGAAGAGGAAGCGTTTCGGATTGTCTGCCATGCTTAGAAGGGCGGTACTGTCCGACAGCTGCCGTAGCCACAGATAATCTTACGGAATGTGATGAAGGTTTTTACTGTCCACAAGCCTTTGGCAGTTTCACTATGTCGCAGATCATCAAAAAGTTTGAAGCGCCCCTGTGGTGCGGCGTAATGGACTCTTTGAACGTTTTTGATATTCCCGTTGGAAGTTCTGTAGCAGCCCCACAGCAATACATCTGTCCAGTAGGCCACAAATGCCCCAAAGGTAGCGGACAACCTATCCTTTGCTGCGACTCGACTTCCTCAGAGTACGGCAGCTGTGCCCTCTATCAACCTGGAAAGGGAAGCAATTCTTGTTATAAGTGTCCGGGCGGTCGGCATTGCTTGCAGAAAGCTGTTGGGAGCAGTATGGTCGTCAAATCCATTTTGTGTCCACTTGGATACTACTGCGAACTTGGGAATGTTCCCAAGATATGCCCTCCTGGGACTTACGGGAATCGAGAAGGATTGTCAGTGATAGAAGAATGCATTCCATGCATGCCTGGATTCTTCTGCAACAACGGAAGTATTCAGGGTCCATGCGAAGCTGGATTCTGGTGCAGTGGAAAAGCACAATGTCCGAATCCAGGAGACAATTCAACGTGTTCGAAAGATGTGATTGGAATCCAAGGTGGTACGCTCGTGAATGATTTGTGTCCGCCTGGCTCTTATTGCCCTTCTGGAACAAACGCACCGATTCGTTGCCCTGCCGGCACTTACATTGAACGATCCTCACCGTCGTATCCTGGCAGGTATTTGTGCGACTGCTTGGATTGTGAAGCAGGCAGCATGTGTACGGAAGGCACATCGGCCCTTGAGCCGTGCCCTAAAGGATTCTTTTGTCCAAATTCACGGAATTCGTCACAAGATTATCTTCGCGGAGCTTGTGTCGAATCCAAGAGCTCCTGCTCCATTCATCCAATGCCAGAACCATGCCCTCCAGGCACCTATCAACCTGATGTCGGGAAGAAGAGCGCGGATGCCTGTCTCATTTGCGGTAATTTCTCATTTTCAGTGGATTACAGAGGCTACTATTGTCCAAACTACAATTCATCAAAACAAACCATCTGCCCGGCAGGTCATTACTGTCCTGTCGGTATTGAGGATTCGGTGCCCTGTCCTGATGGATACTACTTGGAGCGAACGGGAGGTCGCTCAATTGATGACTGCAAAGTCTGTCCAGGTGGAGCTTACTGTCCGAATGGAACTGTCACACCGCTTACATGCGACGAAGGGACGTTCTGTGTGAACGGATCGTCGTCCCCAACCATTTGCCCAAGTGGATACTATTGCCCAGCCAAGTCGGACATGCCGATACCCTGTCCTCCGGGAACCTTTTGTATAGCAGGGTCTATATCGCCACACATTTGCCCTCCTGGTACCTTCTGCCCGTGGAGATCTGAAGCAGCGTACCTATGTCCACTCGGAACATACGCTGAACCCAATGCGACGATTAACAGGACTTCTATAGAGGCCGCGTGTAGCCCGTGCGCCCGTGGATATTTTGGGGCGGATCCTACCAGAACTTCATGTGAACTTTGTTGGCCAGGGTACATGTGTTATGGAAGTACCATCCGTGGTGATCCAGTGAACGCTACGTCTGATCTGGGAGAAATATGTCCTGCCGGATATTATTGTGAGAGGGGATCGTACAAAGCAACTCCTTGTCCAGCAGGAACATACAACAAAGAACCAAAGCAAGGCTCTTCTGCAGCGTGTATTCAATGTCCACGAGATTCTTTCAACGACAAACCAGGGCAAGCCGCATGCATTCCGTGCGGAGGGAGCGCTGTATCCAGAAATGACAGTCTGGAGTGTCAGTGCAAAGGTGCAAATCGCGTCTTTCAGCCATTCGATAGCGCCTGCCGTTGCATAGCTGGTTACACAGTCTACAACGGTCTCGGCGAAGCTCAACCCGATCAGGCAACAGCCGATGGAGTGACGGACTGTGAAGCGATCGTCATGCCGAGGTGCGGGCCAACTGAAATCAGGGGACCGTCTGGTGCTTGTGCAAGCTCGTGTCCTGATACATCTTGTGAACTTCCTCCTTGCTACTGCATCAACGGAATAGACATCTGTAATAACACCTGTCCAAATTACCAGATCGCTAAGGCTGAGAAGATCCAGGTAAAAATCAACACATGCTTTGTTTCTCCTGATTGATTTGAATTGCAGATTGACTCCACAGTTGGTACAGCTCTGACATGCACATGCCTCTGTCGAAACGACTCAACATTTCAGGAATGCGTTGACCCAAACGAGTTTCCAGCGCAGAAAACTTACGAAATCATTGTGGACAAAGCAGGAAATAGCATTCTCAAAGTAATCACGAGCACAGAGAACAGAACTTACTTTCTTGGCACAAAAGTACAAACCGGATCATCGGACACTTCACAAGCTACATTTTTGAGCACTTCAGGTGACGGCTTCACGGGTGTCCTCGACATACCAACGACATATTTTGATGACCTGGGACTTCAGGAATGTGTGATGAACACTGATCAAATTTGTATCGAGAAGCAGGCCCTCCGTTCAAAGACATCTTGGAAAGATAAAGTTCAAGACATGCGAAGAAATAGCCTCCGAGCGACCGCTGCAGCATCGTCTGTGATTGGGGTACAATCACCCATCATGTGCTTGAAAGCGGGAGCAGGTGTCATGTGGACGATCTCAGGGTCACTATCTGATTCCAGCGTGCACTATCCTGTGTATGTTTCGGACTCACTTCTCAACACCAATCCAACGTTTGATTACGGTGCTTTCGTAACTTTGAAAGACCAAATCTTGCGAGGAAACAATGTCTCGACCTTCTTCTTTCAGTTCGACACTCCAGGAATCTACGTTTTCAGAGACTCCGTGACACCTACCAAGCAAGCGGTCATTGGTGTGGTTGCTCCTGTTCTTGACTGTCCAAAGGCATTTGAAACGAATCAAATTCAACCCATGTCGATTGATATCCTGAAATCGTTTCCAACATCTTCAAAAGATACTGTGATCAATCCAGATTACAAATTCATAACGATAGTGGCATTGTCTATCCTAATCATTTTCGTTGTAGCTGTGTTTTTGAACGTTCTCAGGAACCAACTAGGTTGGGGCAAGTCTCTGTCTTCAAGGCCCAAGTTTCGAAAACATGGTTCCCAACAGGACTACTTCTCCTTGGCTACAAGAAAGGAACGGTCGAGCGTTGGGAAGGAAGTTGGAAGTATCAAGACTATGGACGCAAGTTCTGAAGGTACCGAGCTGATGGGATTCAGTGTGAGCATGCTGTACGACAAGTTGGAGGATCAAAATAGCCTTGTGTCGGAGCAACTAACTCAGCAAAAGCAAGACATCCGCGAATTTTACGAAAAAGTGACGCGTGAGACGGCAACGCTGCGTGGTTTGGTTGATAGGAATCGCAATATGGGTTTCACTGAAGATGAATTACACAGAGCCAAGGAAAGAAAGAGTTTAATATTGGAAGAAATCCACCGTCGAAAACAGATCGGGCTCACAGGCACTGTCGTGTTTGAAGAAGCCATGAAATCTATCTTTACAAAACCCGAAACAATTGAAATCCTGCAAAAGCTTCAAGAGAGTTTGACGAAGCTCAACGAAAACTATTTGGCAGAAGCACAGGGTCCAGACGGTCATATCTCCAAATCAATCATAGAGGAGCTCGATGCCGCTGTTCGACAAAACATTCCCATCTTACCGAATTTTCAACCATTAGATGAAAATGGCGCAATACTGTTGTCTGGCTCCCGGCAACCATTTGCGAAGAAGGACCTTTTCGACTCGGAAGGCAATTTGAAGATCATTCCAGCAGTCATGGAGATCGATCGAGCGACCAAACTTGTCAAACCAGTTAAGGGGCTTGAAATGATGACTGGAAAAGGGCAGATCGTCCCAGTACCAGAGAATTGCTGTATTCACCCAATCTCAGGAAAGGTGATCCCGATGGAAGGCAACGTCTATTTCGATCCGAGAAGGCGGTGTTTCAACTTTCTCTCGTGCATGGACTTCAAATCGCTGGTGGCTGGCCCATTGCCGTACGTTTGCAATCGTCAGAACCCGAAGTCAATGTGCTACCCCGATGCTGCTGCTTACATTCACCTGATTGCCAAGGAGGATAGAGGATTTCCCCTGAATGAGTCTCGAACGATGTTAGATCCTTTCACGGGGACTCGAGTGCCTGTCTTGGGTATTACCTCAAACCTCGCCACTGGGGAACTGCACGCAGTGGGAGGGGCGGTTCTTGATCCGGTCACTAATCTACTGAAGCCTATACGTATAGGAGACTTGATGGAGGATCCGGAAACTAAGGAGGTATGCATGATCACTGGTGTGATGATCAGTGAAGAAACTTGCAATGTGGTGCCGCTGGGCTGCAGGTAATCATTAGCGTTTCTCTTCTCTCCGTATGATTTGACGAAAGTTTGTTTTTCTGCAGGAGAATAAATGAACAAGGGGTTGTTAAACATCTTGTCCCGGGTTGTGATGTTGTGGACATCTTTTCTGAAGAATCACTTGTATTGGGCTCGACTATTGCAAACCCCATGAACATCAAACATGTCATTCCATCAGGCAGCCACGAAATATATGGTTTGCGAAATGCGAAACTTGACTTGGAAAAGGATATGTTAGATCGTCTATCAAAATTGAAAGGCAAAATATCTGCAATACAACCAAGTGAGGTCAAGTCCCTGCATAACATGGCATCCAAATTGATGGATGTAAACAGAAAGCTCATTGACAAAGCCTCAAGTTGGAGTGAGCTCGTGCTACAGCATCACAATGAAATGCTGGCTATCGCAGAAAATGGAGGCAAGATTGGAATGAAGTACGATTTTGTACTAGCTGAAGACCTGCCACTCTTGATCGGCTGCACATACTACGACGATACAAGTCGCCATGAGATTGTTGTCCTTGATGTTGAAGTGGATGAAGCCACTCAGCTGTTCGAAGGTCTAGGATGTACGATCATTGATCCGATCTCAGGCAATGTCGTGCCAGCAGTATTTGGTGGAAGAATGAAGGATCCGCATTCAAGGAATATAATTCCCGTAAATGGCATTAAACGCGATCCTAGCACATTTCAAGTTGTGCCTCAGTCGAATCTTTCGTCACCTGGGACAGAGACCGAAGCAATCAGCAGCAATGACAGTTTCAGTCTGATCAGTGAGCTCCTGAAGAAACTCGCCGAGAATCAAACAAGCTCTGCAGCGCTTCAGAGTGTGATGCAGAAACTTCAAAACAAACCAGCTGTCGCTAAAGCTCAGCCCTATTCTGATGATGAGATGGAGGAATCCGAGTACGAAAGTGAAGGCACGGAGTCTGCGATCGACGTGGACGAGACCTCGGCTCCTTCTTCTGTGTCGGAGATTGAAATCGATGCCATAGACCCCGACGAAAAGTTCGTCAGCGATCTGAGAAAAAAAGGTCAAAATGTGTTGATGATCCTCTCTCAAATCGTTTGCGACGACCCCGAAGCCCTTGCCAAGGCTGTGCAAGAGCTTGAAAACTATCATTACTCCAGGGTTGAAGAATTCATCCACAGACTGAAGAAGCACTTTGGGCAACGAGAGGAAGCCAATAGGCTGATTGCAGAAACTTCTGAAACTGAAATTTCGGGCCAAGTGAGATCGATTCAAAATGAAATCGTGAAAGAAGTTTTTGAGAATGACAAACAGCTGGTAAAAGAATTGTTCGAGCGTTTGCACCTCGAAAATTTGGAGTCTCTTGTGAAAAGCCGGAAGAACGATCTCCTGCAAGAATTCAGTGGAGAGCATAGCGTTTCAGCAGGAGACAAGACAAGATACAGAATCGCCAATGAGCTCAATCGCAAGTACGTCGAAGAGTCGGACCGTATGCGAAACGAAAGTTTGAATCAGTTCTGGAACTTCCTAGAGGAAGCTGATGACGGTCTTATCACAACCATAAAGCATTCCCAGATGAGCAGAGAGAACCTGATGGACGCGGTCAGGTCGCACGGAGAAAACATCAACACCTTCTACGACTCCATGGAGAAAGATCTTGAGGATCAGCTTGAACAGCTTCTGATGGAGAAGGAGAAGGCAGTCTCAAAGAAAGTTGCCATCCTCGATGCTCACATCCACGGTCGTACAGGAAAAGCACTCTGGAAGAAGGTAAAGCTCGTTTTCCAGCTCACAAGGTTGAAGGGAATGAAGCAGCAAGACACTCAGCAGATCCTGCCGGACGAGAGTCGACTGAAGGAGTACGAGCAGGCGCTAAATGAGTTCACCGAGTCGAAACTGCAGTCCTTCGAGGAACAGATCGAGGGTGAGATACAGGGGAAGACGTCTCAATATGATGCAGAATTCTTGAAGAGACTGGAAGGGAGTGAAGTTGAAGACCCTGAGGCGATCAAAGAATTGTTGCAGAATCACGATCTAGAGCGACAGAAGTTGCTGGAGAGATTGAACATGGACAAGATGTCTCAAATGGAGGAGTTGAAGAAGCAGCTCGAAGAAAGGAAGACAAAGAAGATGATCAAGCTCAAGGCTGAAATTCATGAGAGAGCAGCTCAACAGCCCGACAGCCTAAAGACAGAAGAAGGCTCCAAGCTCTTCCAGATACAGTCAGATCTCCTCATAGAGCAGGAGATCGAGGTCACTAAGCTTGAAGCAGCTCTGACTCGACAAGAATGCTCTGAGATGTCCGAAGTTCGCAATCACAACTTGTTGATCTTCGAAGCTGAACAAGCGACTCTCAAGCAGGAAGCAAACGAACGCATCCGGGCGGCCTCCAGTGATTCAGAGAGAGCGAGGCTGATTGATGAGCATGAGATACAGTTGGCAAAACAGACTCTCATGCAAAATGTGGCCAAGGGCAAGAGCGAGGAGGAGCTGAGGAATCGTCTTTCAGAGCGCAGAAAGAAAAGGGAACAATTCCTGCAGCTGCAGCACGAGAGGCAGAACGAGATGGTAGTCTCTGGCAAAGAAGCCGAGTCTATTGCGAGCGAGGTCAACCATTTCAAGAAGGAAACAGCTCTGGTGTTGAAGCACGAGCAAGAGAGAGCAAACGAGCTGCGGGAACAATTGCTGCAGGCCCAATCCGAGATCCAGATGCTCAAGGATGAGCTGAAGCTGCACGTGAAGAAGCAAATCGAAGAGCAGGAAAAGAAGATCGAGCGCGACCTCAATGCGTCCTCTGACGAGAGGCGCGAAGAGTTGCTCCGACAGCACACACAAGACATTGAAAACCTGCGCAACATGGAGCAAGCCGACGCCGCTCGTCAACTTGCAAACTTGGAGAAGCATCTTCAATCGAAGAATGCAAAGAAGAAGAAGAAGTTGGAACAATCGCATGCAAAACAGATGAAAGAACTCAAGACCCAGCTTGAAAACGAGAAAATTCAACATCTGACTGCAGACGAAATCAGCTCATCTGTGGAAAAGGAATTTGCAGACAAAGAGAGGATTGAAGCAGAAAACATCACCATGAAGATGGAAGAACAGAAGAAGAAAGTGATAGCTGAAGCTAACGAAGAATTCATGATGAAGATCAAAGACGATCTAAGTGAAGACGAGAAGCAGAGGCTTATCTCTCAACATGAGGAGAACTTAGCCAAGTTGTCCAAGTACATCGACAAGGAGAATGCACGAAGACAAGAAGCTCTGAAAGCACAACTTCTTGAAAAACGGAAGAAGAAAGAAGAGAGAATGATGGCAAGAAAGCATCAGAAAGAAAAACAAGATGAAATTGTCAACAAGCAGCGACAAGAACTGGATCAACTCGAGAAGGAACAAGAGAGGGAGAGAAAAGAGCAACTGAAAAGATTGGAGGAAGAGCTCCAAAAGGAAAAGGATGAGGAGCTACAGAGGATTCTCGCAGCAGAAGCGAACGTTCCTGCTCCTGACGTGCAGGAATCAGAGAGCAAGATCGAAGAGGGTGACATTCCAGGTTCAGTGTTGAGCCAGGACACAGAGAAAGAAAAACTGCTCGAGGAAGCACACAACAAAGAGAATACCATAAGGAATCAAGCTTCTCTTGACCGTCAGAAGCAGGAACAAGATTTGCAACAGAGACTGGAAAAGAAGAAAGAGAAGAGGATGTTGGAGTTGAAGCGGAAACAGGAAGCAGAGATGGAACAGAAGCTTTATGAGCAAGTCGAAGAAGCGACCAAGATGCTGGAGTTAAGCTCAGCCGAGCAGAAGGCTGAGAACGAGGCAGAAGCAGAAGAAATGGAAGACGCAGGGTTGGACCTCTACGTTGACAAGACCGTTGAAGACGATTTCGAGAAGAGACTTGAGGAGGAGCGTCAAAATCTACAGCACGAGCTCGAGAAGATGAAGGAGGAGCAGGAGAGGATGAAGCGCGAAATCCTCGAGAAGCAAGAGCTGGAGATGAAGAAGCTGGAAGAAGAAATGCAGAAAGATCAGGAAGCGTTCGAGCAGGCCCTGATGGCTGAGCAGCAAAAGAAAGCTGAAGAGCTCAAGCAAAGGAGGCAGGAGATGGAAAAAGAACTGCAGATGAAGGCAGACAGCGCGACTGCAGAGGAACGAGATCTGCTGATTCAGCAGCACGAAGAGAAGATGAAGATGCTAGAACAGGAGGAAGCCATGAAGAAGATGTCGACAGAAGAGGAGCTGAAGGCGAGAGTTGCTCAGCGCAAGGAGAAGAAGAAGAAGTTGCAGCAGAAGCGTGCAAACGAGAGCTTGCAGCTGCTCTTGACGGAGCAGAAAGAGAGGGAGCATGAGCTAAAAGAAATCCTACGACAGAAGCAGGTCGATGACATGATTGCGATGGCCCGAGCTGGGAATTTAGAAAATGCGATTCACCTCTTGCAACAGTTGCACAGCAAAGAGCTCGAGGAAGAAGACGTGAGCTTTGCCGAAGAATATGCAAAGAAGATGGCATCGGCTCAAGATGAAAAGCATTCTGAAAACCTGGAGCAAGATTTGAAAGCGACAAGAGAGAAGAGGTTAGAAGAGCTGAAAGCTAAACATGAGAAGGAGATGTCCAACATTCAGAGCATGAAGAAGCGGGAATCAGACCGAGATGTGCTCATGAAGAAGCTAGAACAAAGAGCTTCTGAGTTCAAGAAGATGGAGGACGAGTTCCGAGCTCGAATGGAAGCGGAAGTTGCTCGAATAGAGGAGGAAAATGAGCGTCTTTACCAGAAGGAATTGGAGGAGATCAAAGGAAAGCGCGGCAAGATTGCATCAGGGCATAGAGGAAGCTCCCGCTCCCAAACTCGTGAGAGCATTCAGAAGGAACACGAGCAAGAGAGTTTGTCATTGTCGTCGGCGTTAAGTGACGAGCAGCGGAAGCAAGAGATCATACTGAAGAGGAAGATCGAGCAAAGGCGGCAAGAGAGGAAAGCTACTTTTATCAAGATATGCACAGATCTGTTTCATGAGATCCGAGATGGCAAGAGTTTGGATTCTCTGAGTTTCGACAAGTTGACCAGCTCTGAGGTCGATTCTGCCAAGAAGATTCTGGAGAGAGGTAAGAGACGGTACGAAGAGAAGAAGAAGTTGCCAGTTGGCAAAGCTGCTGAAAAGTGGATGAAGAAAGCTTTGAACCGAAGGCTCTCAGTCGATCTCCTCGCGGAAGACGAGCGCAGGCAAAATCAAGACGAGGCAGGCGGCTCGTCTCAGGTCGTTAAGCGTTGCCTCCATCTTTCATGTCTGATCGCTGACGTCCCGCAGCTCCAGTCGAGCTTCATGCTGCACAGGCCTGCACAAGACGAACAGGTGCATGCGCTGACCGCGACCTTCTTTCAACTGACACTCGTCACTCTAGTTCCACGACGAACGAGCACAGCTGGCGGAGCACGAGAGGAAGGCAAGGTTGGCCAGGGAGCGAGCAGATGCTATAGCTAGGGAGATCGAGGGCTTGAAGAAGTCTCAGATTCAGCAGGGCCAGAGCGACGCGATCAAGATCTCTCAGGACGAGTTCATGGAGATGCTTCGGGAATCAAACCTAACTACAAAGCTGCTGGAGGTCGAGAGGCTGCTCCGGCTGCTGGTGGAGAAGAACAGCAAGTCCAAGCCGTCCAGCTAGCCCAGGTTTCTAGTCTTTGTAGATGTAGTTTGGTAGGAACTCACACACGAAGTCGATGGTGGTCAGGGTACCATGAGGGCCCGTCACGCTCTCCCCGTGCTTGTCGAGCAAGGGCATGTCCCGATAAACTCGTTGAAACAAGACTCCTCGTCTCACCGCCTGTAGCGAGCCCAGCTGCACGCACACGCTGCCGGCCATGAGGTCTCGATGAAGCATGCCTCCTTGCTCCAACACCATCACACACAACATCGTCGCCTTCGTGTTGGCCGTTAAGTTCGACTCGAAATGTGTCTCCCCTTGCGGCCATCGCGTTTCCAGAGCTCCCTTCTGCACTGAAGTGTCGCTCCATACGAGGGACTTCATGTCGTTGGAGGATAGATGCTCCTGACAGCGAGTGACGGAGAGTACTGGAAAGGAGAGGGTTGCTCACCTTGCAGCAGAAGAAGGAGACTGAGTCGTTCCTCTGCCTCTGATCCATCAGATCTCCGAACTCTGAGAGCGAGCCCGCGGCGTAACGGACGAACAAATGATGCTTCATGCTGTTCTTCTTCCGTTGCGACACCATGTTCTGAACCTTGAGGATCCGAATGCGCAGAAACCCTCCCTCTACGTCGCAGGTCGAGCCGTGCGACTTGCCGTTGACATTCAACGGGAAAGCCAACGATTGCAACTCGAGACCGTCTTCGATGGGAAGGTCCTGTTTGGGAGCAAGCAGGTTGAGTTTGATTCGAAGAAAGATCCTGCCGTTCCTTTGACCTTTCTGAGCTCCAAGTCAATAGTCATGAGAACAAGCACATTTGAAATACCAGAGGACAAGACTTGTACTTAACTTGAGCGTTCGGAGTAAGCCCTAGCTCCTTCTGCAACGTTGACATTTGAATTACACAAGTCCCGACGGCTTTGTTGGTACTTTGTTCTATAACTGTGATTCTCCTGTAATCTGCAGATCAGCCCAGAAAAGAAACTCTTCACAGAAACAGATCCATCACATGGTATCTTCTAAACTCTTCACCAGGAACTCGTATGTCTGCTCATCATCGCATTTCCAGCCTTGCTGCATCGGTCTTCTTGACAAGTATGCGACCTGCACGGAAAAACACTTGAGATAGATTTTTGCTTCCCCTGTAGAAAACGTACATTCTTGTGATTGGGAGGAACAGAGTCGTTGAGTGAATCGCGATCTCCATACTCCACGATACACATCAGACTGCCCTCCCCACTCGCTGATTCAACTCCTTCCAGGTCATGCCCACTTTGCACAGTGACTGACAACAAGGAGAAGCTCTCGTCTATCCTAGTGGACAAGTCATACTCCATTTCCCGTCGGCGGTTCCTCTCTTTCAACGACAGCGCCTTCTGAAGGTCGCCAATGATCGCCATCTTCTCCGAGGACATGTCGGTCGGGCCGAGTTTCAGGTCTGAGCAGATGAGCTTGTTTATCACCAGCTTCTCGAACGCCATGCGCAGCAAAGGAATAGCCATGACATCCAGCAGGTCGGCGATCCAGAGAGAGAAGGCGAGAGAGGGGATGTTGGTGAAGAACATCTTCAATCCGCAGACGTTTGGGAAGGAGGGGTAGTCGTAAGAGGCGTCCCTCGCATCGAGCTCGATCCATTCCAGCTCTAGTCGAAGGTTACCGGAGATCTCGAGGTTCTTCATTGAGATCGGAACTCCCCAGACACTGACAGTCAGGTTCATGTCCTTGGTGAGCAACTTCACGTCGATATCCAGCTCATGGCACCAGTCATCCGCGCTCATCGTCTTCTTCGACACTCCCAGCAGGTTGTTCTTGGGCCTCCCGGTCACGCGGCGAATTTGAATCGGCTGAGACCCGAACTGCGTGCTAACAACTTTGACGCCTAACTGACTCGCGTAGAACTCGATGTTGCTAGCGACGAAGCTCTGAAGCCAAGGCTCGTAGGTCTGCCATGCTTGTGCCAGCATCAGATTCATCCACTCATCCTCCACGCTGACGGGGTTGACTGAAAGATACTTGAGCTGGGTCCTGATAGAATCCTTGGAGAAGGTGTAGGCCTCCTCTCGCTTTTCCTTCCACTGCTCAGGTCATTTGGTGGGATGCACAAACAAGCGCTTGCAGTCTCACACCTTGTTGAGGATGGGAGGAATGCTTGATTCGAAAAATACCACCAGCTCGACGAAAGGGATACACAGAAAACAATCGATTCTCAGCCATCCTATCAGGAAGCATAGAAGCATGACAGACAGAACATGCAAATACTGAAACCAGAGTAAGGTCATCATAAACAGATCGAAGAACGCACCATATCGTACGTTCCTGCCAACCAGTACTTCAATCGATCGTTCACGGGGACAGAACAGAAGATTCCATCAGGCTTGCGATGCATGGAATAAGTTTTGACTGCAAGTATCTGAAGCATGATCTGGAAAGCAAGCAATCGATCATCCATCAGCAGTCTGTATGCACCATCTTACCAGCCACGACCATGACATGTTCATCCTCCCTAGTCCTGCTGCAAGGACCATTGGGATCCTCAATCGTAAACTCTCCTTCCATGGAAGTCGCAAGATGCGTCTTGTGATTTCAAATTGGGCGTTCATATCTTACGTTCATGAACACATCTCCCACACCATCATCTCATCATACATCATCATACATCGTCTCTTCATCATCAAATTACCATATCTCATCACAAAGCTTCCTCTGCATCATCAAATATCATCATCATCATTATATCATCATATCATCATATCATCATATCATCATATCATCATCATATCATCATATCATCATATCATCATCATATCATCATCATCATCATCATATATCATCGTCATCATCACTTCTTGGCTTCTTGTCGCATCTCTTTCCTCAGGAGGTCCCCCCGACCTAGCGGGATGTACCAAAATGGAAGGACAGAGTAGGACATAGTATCCCCGGGCCGGCGACTAGCTAGGTCTATGAGTAACGGTCCATTTATTTAATCAGGTTTTCATTCTACTCTCGTCGTTTGACGCTCAGGCTCATACTGACTCTTGACTCCTGTTGGTTCTTGCCCTTCACCCTGTCGTTGCCATGGTAGAGCACCACCTCCACGTTCTTGGAAGCGCTCGCTTCGCTCAGCACCCCTCTGATCTCCTGTCCTGTCACCTTCCCCGTGCCCAGAAGATCATCCTTGGTCAACCTGTCCCAGTCCCACAGCTCGATGGTCAAGTCCTCGCAGTTGTCCAGCTGCCAGATGGGCAGGTCGAAGGTCTCATTCCAGACAGGGTCCAACGTCTTGATCCTCTTGTCTGTGACGTACTCGAACTGTCCTCCTCCCTTGCCGATCTTCACCTTCACATACGGATCGCAGGTTCCCAGAACATCTGCTTTAGGAAGGTTCGAGGCGGAAATGACGCAGATAGTGAGGATCGCTTCATGCTTGCCCTCGATATCTTCTTGTTGCCATGCCCTCTCGATCTCTCCAAAGCTCAACTTCATCGGCACTTCGTCCTCCAGCGCGTCCCACCTGGGCACAGGGAAACATCAGGCGACGACAACCTTCACAAGGCTTCGCATACATCCACTTGTACGGGTGAAAGCCAGATCCGCTGACCTGTTTCACAAGCTCTCACTCCCCCCCCCCCCCAACATCCCCTTGATCGCCAGCTACCCGATGAGGGAACATCTTCTTGTCGAAGGTGCCGATGGCGTCGATGGCGTCAGAGCTGCGACGTCATGTGAGCGGATATATCGAGTCACAATCATGACGTTACTTGTTGGAAAAGATGATGAATCCAAGGCCGTGTAGTCTGGGGTCTTTTCCTTGGTTGACGACAGCCTGGAGATAATCGTGTCAGATCTCAACATGTAGAAGGCGAGACATGACTTGGTTGCCGAGCACAGACTTGCGGACTCGTCCAATCTGTTTGCGTTCGGGTAAGCTTCAATCGTTACCACAATCACACATGATCACTGACCGCAACTATGTTTCGTAGCAGATCCTTCTCTGCTTTCTTGTAGAACTAAGTGTCGAGACGTCAGTCCACCAACAAACGACTCGAAATCATTCAGCTACCATTGCAGATCTGCACATCCTTTCTATGTATTCATTCTTCTTGTCGACGCTAGCCATGTCATATCTGGTTTAGCCATGCAATCAGAATCATGCATCACCATTAAGTGCACAACATCTCACCTGTAATAAAAATTGCCAAAGAACGATTCCTCCGTCAAAAAAGTCTTCTTCTCCTCCTTTTCCTTGGCTTTTTTTTCTTCTCGTTTGTACAGGAAGGTCAACAACATGTCTCGAACCTGAAAGACATAACTTGTCAACCGAAAGTCTACAACCAAGGTCTTGAGCTCACAAGGGGCCGGCCATCTCCGTCGTGATCAAGATCTAGAATTTCAACCTTGATAGGTCGGTCAAACGAGCCTTTCTTTGCGTTTCTGCCTCAGCCCTCCTTCACCTTGTGCAGCTTCATCTTCATGATCTCAGGCCTGGAGGTCCAGCACAGATCCATGCCTTGGTACACTTCCTAACAGGGACTCAGCAGGCAGTCGCAACGAGCGCATGACGTGACTTGAATCTTCCACGAGGCTTCTGGAGCGAGGGCGGCAGGGCCGTGTATCCACTCCCAGTCTCCGTTGTAGATGATGCTTCCGCTCCTGGGGCTCCATGCCAGGGGCGGAGCGCCTGCCTGAGTGAGACGATGGCCGTTCTGATGCATGACAGCGCTGGTTGAAGGGTCAGGAGGGAGGGCGAGGGAGCAGGGTGAGCGAGGAAAGACCGCAGTATGATTGGAACGCCCTGAGCATCCACGGGAGATATCTGCAGGAGAGCTTTGAGGAAGAGGCAAGAGGAGGAAGTGAAGTGCCTTTGTGAGCAAGTCGTCTCCTGCTATCTTGGTGTTGATCTCGTCGGGAGGAATGAATGGGAAGCGAACAAGAAGCATCTGTTCAAGGTGTCAAAATACCAGAAATCCCCGCCGGTTCCCAGCATCACAATGTCGATGATGCCCACAGACTTGTGATTGATCTTGGGCTTCAAGTCCAGCAGTTGCTTCTGTCGGGCCTGAAAAACGAGTCACATTTGTGAAGCAAGCTTGCAGACATCTACCTCTTCCTTCTTCACCTTGTCTGATTGTGAAACTCCGATGCTGAGAGACTCTAGTTGGAAAGGTGAGGCAAGCAGATAAAGGTGGTTGACGACACATACTGCTTTCTTGTACACGTTTATCGATCTCTGCCTGCAACTTGGCATACGCATCCTGGGGTTGCGTCAAGTGCAGTTGACAGATCACTAGGTACGTGTACCTCAATTCTCCTCCATCGAACGTTAATCCAGTCTTTCACAGCCTGGAAGACCAGGATCTCTTCGCATTGCATCTCATCATTGCTGTACCCGTGATGAGCGAGCGCAACACAAGACTAATGCCTCCCCCACCTCAGAAAGATCTTCATGCCGCTCGCCGTCAGCGCCTGCGCTCCGTCACGCCCGAAGCAGATGCTTTCGAGATGTTCTATAGCAAAGAAGACAAGCTCTGTTGACACGTCAGGAAACTTGTGCAGACCCCCAGCTGTTGGACCTTGAAGCCAGTCCCGCCCTAGTCCATCCGGGTCGATCGCCATGGCCGCACTCCACATGTAGAAACCCCAGTCGGGGAAGAAGCCCTGGGGAAGCGGGTCAGGAGACTTTGCTAGCACAAGAAGCGAGGCTGACTTGTTTGTGGAGCATCACCAAGAGATACTTGAGACCAAGCTTCTTCGCTATCAAGATGAAGTCCCTCACCTGCAAGTACAAGACTGTGAGACATGCACGAGGTGATGGCGATGGAGGTCTGGAGATGATGATATGATGATGGTGATGGTGATTATGATGATGATGGTGGTGATGATGATGATGATGATGATGATGATGGTGATGGTGATGGTGATGGAGGAGGAGGTGGTGGTAGTGGTGGAGGAGGAAGAGGTGGTGGTGGTGGTGATGGTTGTGGTGGTGGTGGTGGTGGTGGTGGTTATGATGATGATATTCACCTGATCTGATCGGACTCGAACTTGTTGTCGTAAAAGCCCAGGGTCGTAGGCGTAGACATACTTGATAAGCTGCATGTAAATCAGCCATATGAAGATTTCTCATCAAGTTCTCAGGCAGCAATTCCATAACCTCATTCAACACCGTCGGATTCTCAACACTTGTAAATCTCAGAATGAGTTTGGGTTTTTCCTTGGATACATGTTAGGCGATGTTTCAAGTGACATTGAAAGGATCGGGTGAACTTGGCACGCAAATCGAGTTTACACGAAGAAATCAAGTCTGACCTGCTGAAAGACGTTCGTTACGGTCGTCTTGCCTGTCTGTGAACTCCTTGCGGCCGATCCATGTGCACACGTACACCTGAACATAGATAAATGTCAATTACGTGTCCGCTCTGTGCAAAGCTACAACAACATACCTCAAGCCGATACCTGAGACGGTTCCTGGTACCTTCAGCAGCTTTAGCAAGGGGGAACGAGGAGAGGGAAGGATGAAGAAAGGGGGGAACGATGAGAGGGAAGGATGAAGGGAGGGAAAGCATGGGTGTCGCTCAGTACAGAGATGCATGTGCTGGGGTTCCATTCGTGCTCAACAAAGGGACCGGCGCTTTTGCTTTTCTCTGTGCAAGGATCAGAAAATAATCTACTCCTGGCTAAACATTACTCTTCTTCTGGGTTTGGTTGATTTCATCTGGGTCGTCCTTGAACAGCTCATTTCGGATAGCTAGAATGATGATCAGCGCAGCGACAGCAGAGAGAGATTATACCTTGTATGATAGCGTCTATTTCAGAATTGTCTTGAATATCGATGATTTCAACCAATTCCTGTCTTGATGTTCAGGAGTTTCTTGTATCCGAAATCCAGTATTTCACCTTTTTCTTTGTAGATGAATCAAAATTCCCGTCGTCATCCTTGTTTTTAGTCATCGACTGCACAGCGCTTCAAAATGGATTTGATGAGCATTGAGTAGAAGACCTCTTGAATGTATTTCTCCAACTGAAATCACGTTGGTTACATCACACGCATTACAAAACCTCAACGCCGTCCTACCTTATCGAAAAGATTCTTCAAGTGATCTCTTAGTTCTCGACATCTAGCCCACAGCACCGAGCAATGAGCTGAGAACAAAGAAGAGGTCATTCATGGAATCTTTGAAAAGGATCATCCAGAAAGAACACACCAAACACTTCTACTCTTGTATTTCCTTGCGATGCCTCCACGCTCACGTCGGACAACGACCCTGATACCTGTGTCAGATCTACAAACTTGGGACAGAGAGAGTTCAGAGTTCAGACATGGCATATCTGTCTCGATCTTTGGTACAATCTTCCATTCTTCCTGATCAACCTGACAGTTTTCTCACGCCTTGCCAATCCACAAGATAGTCAAAGACCGCAGTAGGTAGCAGTCCTTGAAAGCTCTCCACCTGTCTGTCAGTGAGCAAGAAATCTGAAACTCGATCCAAGTCCGTACCACATCCATTGCCCAGGCTTTCACTTCCTCTGATTTCTTGAGATCTTTCTTCAGCTGGGCTGGAGGGAAGCATCAATGTGGAGAAGTGGCGCGTAATGGCGATTTCCAACCTTCTCTCTCCTTCGATTCCTTCAATGATTCCTTCAACTGCTCGACTTGCTTCAGACTCTCGTCAAGCCTGTTGAGCATTCAAACATCAAAATCTAGGAACAATTTGTTGCAAAAGAATGTACAATTCTTGTGGAGTTTTCTTCTTCTCCTTCTCCTTCTCCTTCTCCTTCTCCTTCTCCTTCGCTTTCTTCGAGTCTTCTTCATCTGTATTTTTAGTTCCAGTTCTAATCTCAATGTTCACCTACAAGGCGGTCAGGGAAATGACCTTTGCAGACATGAGCTGGATTTACACTAGTGGGACTCCCATCTTTTCCTGTTCTGGTTTTCCCTTCAAACTTGATCTCCGATTTCAGAGGCATCCATGTGCTGATGTTGGCCTGGACAGGATGGTTGAGACTGATTACAAAAACACACCAACAGCTACCTGCAACAGCCTTTCCATCTCTATCCCCTTCACAAGAAACGATCCTGTAGAAGCATCGGGCCAGTGAGAGGGGAACAACGTGGGGTAGCAATCGTACCGATGAACTCGTTCTTTCCGAAACGATCCCAGTCAAAGATCTCCACCTTGGATTCGCAAACATTTCAGCCAATGTCTGCAGGACAGCATGCCTACGTTCAGATCCGTCTCGCTCAGTTTGGCCTCGTCGATGTCGAAGGTAAAGATCTGCCATTGACAGTGAACCATTCGGAAAGCTTCGAGTTGTTTGCCCACCTCGTTGAAAGTAGCATTGAGAGTGTTCTTCTTAGTCTCTGTCTTGTGTTTCTGCGCACAAACGTTTCAGCATCGTGCTCCCGTCTACCACCCCCCTACCTTCTCCCCGTAGGTGACCATAACGTAGGGGTCACACTTGCCAAACATCCCTGAGTCCATCTTGGGCAGATGGGCTGAAAGAAGAGTCAGAAGGGTCTTTGGTGCTGCATGGCTCGCCATACCTACGTCCACCACCTTCACCTCCAGCTGGCGGATCCACATGGTGGAGCGCCGAACCTGTCGCAACGTGTAAGTTGAAGCTCCGACACTTCCCGTCGCTGCTTTTCTTCCACACTAACACACTAGCTGCCTGCCTGCCTTCCTGCCTCGATCCTTCCCTGTATCCCTTTCTCCTTCCCTGCCTGCCTGCCTGCCTGCCTGCCTACCTGCCTGCCTGCCTGCCTACCTACCTGCCTGCCTGCCTGCCTGCCTGCCTGCCTGCCTGCCTGCCTCGCTCTAAAGCGACTGCCCTAACGCTTCCCTTCGCCTCATTTTCGCCCGTTGAATCACGGGGGTAGAACTACTATGTTCGAATTGACAGGCGGGCCAACCCCTGGTCGGTGAATTAAACAGTACAAATAATTAGTTAAATACCCCCCCCCCCCGCTTCGCCTCCATGCGGTCTGTGTGGGGCGCCGTTGAATTGAGAACGGGTGCTGAATGAGGCCACGGAAATGGCGAAATGGCGGGAACCGGGAGGAAGGAGAAAAAGAGCAGAGGGGGGGGGGGGGGGGAGAAAAACATGGGGGGGGAGCGGAGACGAGTTGACCCTCCTCTCTTTGCTGAGTTTCCTCTGTCCTCTAGTTTATTTCATCCTCTTTGAACCCCGAAGAATCACTCCTTGCCCCGTACGCGGTCAAGTTGTTCAGACATGCACAGGTTAGGGAGAAGATGGCTGAGGAGGCGGGAGCATCTGAGGGATCATCAGAGCTCAACAGTTGTCGCACATACGATATGATGTTGTTGATTGCTGAGACGTTGACAGGCACGGGATGAACGATGCAAAACTAGCTTCCTGGAACACTTACTGGAGGGAGCAGGGACGATAAGAAGGCGTCTGACTGATAGAAGCGCATACGAGCATGTGAGGATACTATAGCCCTTTATTGAGATGGCCTGCCAGTGCGCAGCCGCTAGCGCTATGCGGGTCGATCGCTTCCTCCTTGAACCTAACCCCAATCTGCGAAGACACGAGAAAATGAGGCGACACAAGGTAAAAGAGAGAAGGATGAGCCGATAGGGAATCGACGACAGGAAGCTGAGCAGAGAGGAGAGGAGAGACAAGGTTTCTCACCTGGATCCACGCTAAGAACGACGATGCATCATCCTCTGTCATGTTGTAGCGTTGAGCGAAATCCTTGGGTGAGATCTGCAGTCAACATCAAGACTCCCTTCCTCCTCACTTCCTAGCTTGTACCTCCGTCAGCCCCTCCACGTTCCCTGTGAGCAGGTCTGCAATCTCTCCAGCCTTGTCGTCACCGAACCTAGATCCATCACAGTCAAGTCACCCAACGGGCCGACGATGTGCCTCACAGGTTGTATTTCTTCACAATCCGATCGAAATTTCGTTTCATTCTCTTCAGCTGTCTACCGGCAGGATCGTTATCATCCTCATCATCCAAATCCAGCTTGTGTAACTTCGGCGCAGCGCGTATGAAGAGCATGTTCTCTGGTTTCACTCCCAGCACCTGCCCGTCCTTCGCTAACCTCACCGCCCAACGTCCTTTCTCCTCATCGAATCGGAGCAGCTCTCCTTCAGAGCCATTGTGTTCCGCTGCAGCCTTGAGGTTCTGAAGTTTCACTGTGGCTCCAACTTGAAACTGGGTGTCATCTGAAGTTTCCTGCATGCTGGAAACTGCAAAACAGAGAATCAGTGAGTCGAAGCGGTGGAGTCTTCACATTCAGACTACAGCTTCTCTTTGGTCATTCATCGATGATTTCAGACTCATTTCAGAACTTTCATCTTCTACTCCAACGAGATTTCAATGATCCTCCAGCAACAATGTGAAGCCATTGCAACAACACAAACAAACACAACAAGGTTCAGTTCAGTTTGTCTTGGGCATGCAACATTACAGACCTCAACACCATGGTACCAACAACGCCTGACTTACAAGAAAAACCATCAAAACAACATCTTCTTCAACACAAGAACTCGCATTCTTGCCCGCTCTCGATCGCTCGATCGTTCAATCCCTCCGTTCTCCCACCACATTTTCGCACGAGCCCCCTCATCCCCCTCGCCATTTACATCATCTCCCTCATTCCCATGACTCATCTCCCTCATACCCATACCCTCCGTGAAGCAGGGCGAAGGGTCATCATGGCAGGGGAGAGCGAAGCACGCAGGCCATGCACAAGGTATGTGAAGTTGCGGTAGGAGGGAGCATGGAGAGCGCGACATGAAGTACACGACATGGTGGAGATTCCATGATGCGATGACAACCTTATGATGTGATTGAAATGTCTGAAGGGATGACCACGATGTTTGACATCCTGATGTTTTGAATGTTCATTCTTTCTGCTTTTATTGCTGTCCATGCTCGAGTTGGTATTGTGCATGTGCATAGCAATGCAACTTTTTGTATGTCTGAAAGCTTTGCTGCTCTATCGCGTGCTCCATGTGCTAGGGGCGTCACACGGTTATGGACATTCTTTGTACATGTGTAAACGTTGACAGTCTCCTCGCAACGAGAGTCGAGCGTGCTGACTTCTCAATTCGCAGGTTGACAACCTTGAAAGCTCTCCCTCCCTTGCTCCTGATGACATGCATGGTGGTCGTCCTGTTTCAATTTGTAGGCAGGAGGGATGCGATTGAATTAGCGGGGAAGCAGAACATTGAAGTTCCTCGGAATCTGCTGGAGCAGATGAATCAGGAGCTCGCAACGGACACCAAGACTATTCTTAACCTGAACCAGCATGTATCGCAGTTGCAGTCTGTGGTCTCGAGGTTGAAAAGCAAGCGAGGCGAACTTCGCCAGGTCCACTCGCAGAGGCAACATAGCATGTTGGATACAGCCAGCAACGCATCTCCGGGAGAAGACGAGATGATGCAGCGAGCCCGACAGAATGCCATGGACAATCGGGAAGTTGCCTTCCTATCAGCGAGGCATCGCTTGCTTGAAAAGCAGTCGGATTTCGTCAGAGACTTTCCTTACTGGGCGGTCAACTCTGCGCTGGCAGATGCGTCAAAAGGGCATGGACAAGAGGGTGAATGGAGAGCGGACAGAGGTCCTCCATATGTCATGGCTACCACTCTCTACAGTGGGGTTGGGGTGAATCGCAAGGGAAGTGCTGACATGGTTCGAAAAATCTTGGGCATCAAGACTTCGTAATAATCTTTCGACGGTGCTGCCGTGTACTGACTGCATTGGATTCCTCAGGTTCCGATTCCACAAGTGGGAAGGAGACAGTTTCCTCACAGACTTTGACGGACCGCAGTTTCGCTACTTGTACCGGAATGTGCACTCCACTCTTGTGATTCCACCGCTGGAACGATCTGGTGAGCATTTTGTGGTCTCTGCTAGCCCTCCAGGGCTGACGATTCTGCTGTGGAAGGTGGACCCATCTTGGGATGGAATGCTGTCCATAGGCTGTATCTGTACGTCAATGAAGGGTCGAACACTCTCATTGTTCTCGGGGGGCCATCATCGGTCATCTTCATCAACAACAACGTGATCAACACGGATGGGGGGTATGATTTACAGTCAAAATGGGCCCCGGGTCCATACGAACGGCAGAAGGTGTGGATGGCTGCCGACTGTTGAGGAAGAGTGACCAGATGCTCGGCAGGAGGCAAGAGATACACCGCTTGCCGCATGCGCCACCACACTGCCAGGGCCTGGGACATCGGTTCATGGAGTAGCCATATCCTCTCTACCGTAAGACCTCAGCTCGCAAGGCGTACATGCTTGCTGACGACATCAACAGTGCGGAGGCTGTATCATATTACGAGTCTGGAGATGTTTCAGTCATGTTCTCGATCCCTTCTGGGTAAGTCGTTTGCAGGACAGCGCTCGTTGGATCATTTCTTGCTCATTTTCTTGTTTTTACGCAGTTCTGGAAGAGTCCTGTATCTTGGATACAACTTTGCAGAGCCCTTGACGCCCTGGGTCCATGCCCTCATCGCCGCCACTCAATTTCCAGACTACAAGAAAAAATGACCCTTCCCATTGCTTGCCTACTGTCTTTTATTACAATTCCCTCTCCAAGTTGAAAAATACATGAATGTTGGTTAAAGCATTTACAGCATCTGCAACAAAGCAATCAGGTCTGCATGTACGGATGACCCTCGTCATCACTTCCCCTAGAACTGTGCCACTTCCAAACAACAAGTACAATGATTCCCAGCAAGAAAGATCCTCCTCCCACTGCCCACAAGATCGCAATCCCATCCGTGTTGGCCAGCTGGATAGGAGGTAGGTAAGGAGGCTCTTTAGGGAAGTAGTAGCATCCAAGTGGACGAGGAACAGTACCGTTGACATACGGTTGTACCTTAGAGACATAAGCATCACAGATAGCCTTTCCCAGAAGGAAGATGTGAGTCCTGTTAGGCGAATTGAGCACTTTGCCATCAACTACTATCCACGGACTGGACTGAATGGGAGGAAGGAAAGTTTTTGTCTTGTACAAGTTCCTCAGTAGGAGTTCCGAGGCCCGTTTGCTATGCATGCAATCTGCGATCTTCTTGACCGACATGCCGCCTCCAAACTCGTCAATGCACTGTAGAGCAACCTCAGACGGCATCCCCTGACAGACATGGGACGAGGAGGAGCCTGTATGAGCAACAGAATCGATAAGAGGCACTTCGCCGTCAGCACACGTTCTGACAATGATGCAACTAGAAACAGGGAACCAATCTTCAAGCGCGGGATAAGCATCCTCGACACATGAGAGGATGGCGTTACCGACACATTCGGAGGGTCCATGCTCGCAGAAAAATTCAGGGAAACCGGACTCCAGTGTAATATTCACATCCTCGGTCGAGTTCGATCCATCCACTTTCACCACGGAGGGTACCTTAGGGTCCATGTCCTTCACCAGTGTATTTCCCGATGGATACAGGTGTAGCCTGACGATATCCTTCATTCCCGGGGCCTCGATGACAGGCATGAGCACCCATTCTACAAACATCTGACTCGCCCTTCCCTGCGACTCCATGTAGACATCCACGTCAACATGGTAGTCGACTCCTTCAGGCGGTGAAAATGAAACATGCCGCAGAGGAATGACTTTCTTGCCTTGTGCGCTTGTAGTGTCCGCCAAACTGACCTTTGTCTTCCCCTTTGAAACGAATTTTCTCTTCAAGTCCGCGAGAATTCCTGACGTGGAATTGGTGACGCTCAACTTCGCCACACTTGCCACAACAACATCAACCCCATCATTCGGTATCCATGCAATGGCAACTATCAAAAATGCCACCAAAATGGCTGAACCAAGGATTCTCGCCTTTCGTGCATGAATATTCCTAGACTCCCACGCACTTACCATCTTGAAGTTTACTTCCTCCGAATTTCTTGTTTTTGTCTCCAAGTTGCCCTTTGACGCTCCCTTCTCTCTCCCCACCCTCCTGACTCACTTTCTTCCTTCCTCACAGCAACTCTGTCTCTCCCTCTTCGCCTCCTCGCAACCCCCCTCAACAGCTCCTTCGACGTCTGGCAGCCATTCCCGTCTATTTCTGGTAATCACTACCCCTACCCCCTTCTATCTATCACCCCTATAAAGTTCCATGGACAGCACGAACTAACTCCTACTTGTCTTTCAAGTTCAACCGCTGTCCCCAAAAATTAACCGATATCTTTACTTAACTGCATAGCGCCAGCCAGCGCGTGGCTCCGACTCCGAAGTTGGACCCGGTGACCGCTGACTGGCAGGCCGGGTTGCCGCAGGGGGTGCAACTTGACATCTTCAATGGGATCGCCCCTTGTGCATGTGCATTGCTGCGTACCGGACCGTCGGCGGCCCAGAGAAAACAAGTCTTCAGTCAAGTTCTTCTGCATCTAATCCGCGGCAGCACGAAGGCATGTGAAAAGAGATCGAGAGCAGTAAGTGTTTCACCAGCGAGTACGGGCCCGGGGGATGCGCAGAAAATTCATGATTGGCACTGAGGATTGGGTGTAAGGACTGTGACTCACCTCATAGAGTACACTAGGAGATATACTTCAGAGTCGCTGCTGATAGGTATAACAATCACATGACGGTTATAAACCCGTTATTCTACTGTCAAACTGGGGGTATGTTTGATGGCACCAACGGAGAGCATGCAGACCGATCGCCCTCTCCTCTCCCCTCTCCTCCGACATCTCCCCCCTGCCCTCCTCCTACTCCTCCTCCTCCCTTGCTTGACCTCCTCCCAGTCGTGTTCAGCTCCTGTGCTAGGAAACGACGACGTCTACGGCTGGATCTACGTCGTTGGTGACTGGAGGGCTGGACTCGGGTAGGCAGGTCCTGAGATAAGAGCAGGCTCGGGCGGAAACATCATCAAGAGCTCTGATGCTGGATCGACCTGGCAATGTGTGCATTGTGGTCTTATGAGGCTCACGACCGAGGATCTTTACGACGTAAACTTCAACAGCGCCTTGCGGTTCGTCTGACTGATTGGTCAATTTGACGGTTGACAATCGTGGAAGAGGTGTAGCTGTGGGCAGGAATGGTGTGATCCTGAGCACATGGAACGGAGGAGCCAACTGGCAGCTCAATCAGGACTTTCCGATCCATCTTTACGGGGTGCATGTGTTCCGCCCCCTTCAGATCTACGTAGGAGGGCACACCCATGTTGTGAGGAAATGATGATGCTTGCAAGGTTGTCGGCGATGGAGGAAGTGTATTGTATACCGACAATGGCGGGGACACGTGGAATCGACTCGCAACGATCGAGGCGGTTGATGTCCAAGGAAAGAAGGTCCTGCCCACCTTGAACGCTATCCGTGAGCGAAAGAAGGACAGAGGGTGAGCAGTGAAGGTTGACACCTTGAACAGGCTTCACGGACAACTCCAACGCAATTGTTGTCGGGCAGGCGAACTTCTGGTAAACATCGTGTTCAGCAGCTCCCTTGTGTGATGGAAGGATATCAGGTGGGTAACGTCCGACGGCGGTACCACGTGGACCAGAAACAACTTGACTGGTCAGTTGGACAGATCAAAGTTTCTTTTGTTTTATTTTCATATCTCATCCCCCTTATTCATCTCTGTGTGAATTTCCCAGGTGTTCCCTGGAACGAACAAGGTGTGGTCATGCGACGCCTAGCGCTGGTGAGTGTGTGTTGTGCTGGTGGCAAAAAACATCGATTCACCAAGTCGCAGGACGAGATAGCACACTTTGTAAGATGGCACTTGCTTGCATGGATGTAGCTTCCTTTTGAATTGGAGCTCATGTTTCGATTCCTTTCGTTTTCAAGATTGCGATTGGAAACAAGGGGATTGTGTACACGATATCAAGACAGACGAAGTACCTCATTGCGACACTTTGACATGTTGGGAACATTGATGTTTTCTCGTCAGCGATCAAAACGATGCTGTGGAATTTACATGGAAGAAGGCATGTTGCGAAATCTTTGTTGTCTTGATTGACATGCGTCTGCGCAGCTCACCGTCGTTGCTCAGAACCTTTCGAGAGGTGCGTAAACATTTCGAAGTTTGCAAGAAGAGCGTCTATGAGCTGTCGACAATAATCATGTGCTTGATATCGGCAAACGCCCATATGTCGAGAACATTGTTGTTGTTGTTCATGATGTCAAGTCTTGGAGAGTGATGTTATCACTAACCATGTTTCATGTCTCAGTGGAGTTCTATGGATCCTATACCCTCAACTTATCAACATTCGGTGAGTGAGAAGGCTCCATCTCAGGAGAAACAAAGGATCTGAATTGTCTTTCTCAGTGGTTGTTGGCAATGATGCAGATAGAGGAATCGTCTATTCTTCTTTTGGCGCATCCGAGGTTTGAACATTTCTATGTGTTCGTGATATTCCTGGAACATTGTTTTCCTGGACACTACCATAAGAAGGATTGCATAGCTACACACACCTTCGTATCCTCCTCCTCCTCCTCCTCCTTCTCCTCCTTCTCCTCCTTCTCCTCCTTCTCCTCCTTCTCCTCCTTCTCCTTCTCCTCCTCCTCCTTCATCAGCATCATCAACAACATTGACAGTTACCAAAAGTTTGCATCTCCTTCAAAATCGCCCATTCATTCAAGTCCATAACACATCAAATCAGTCTCTCACCGTCAAAGACCTTC